GGAAAGTACGTTTGAACTGCAACCGCTGCTAAGAGCCATCTGCCCATTTCTGAACGAAATTTTTAAAAACCAAAACTGCATGCACAAAAACAAGGAGAGGAAAACAGAAACAGAAAATCACAGAAACGAAGCATTTCCAAGATACAATCGCCTCGGTTTCAAGATCAAATTCATAGCATACAATCAAGACTATGATGAATGCAAGCGCACGACCAGAATACCTGATCCTCGAGCCTGGCCCAAGGAAACACACCAAAGTGGTGCGTTCGGTATCCAAGAACGACGACATCATCCCCAGGTTTGCATTTCAACATGTCTTTTGCGAGGATCGGACCGATTTATTCATTAGAGAAGGAATCTCAACCATTGAGAAGGGTGCCTTCTCCAAGGGAAGGTCTCTTGGTAACGTGCATTGCCCCAATTCATTACAAGTAATACAAAAGGACAGCTTTGCGGGCTGCATGCTGCATATGCAAAGCATCGAGCTTCCGCCACATCCCATCTCATTTGGCAATACAGTATTCTCAGGATGCATCAAGCTGCGGAATGTGGCCATTCATAAAGGCAGTCGACTGGGTCGGGGGGTATTCAAAGGTTGCCACAATCTGGAAAAGATCTTTTCCTCTTCCGAAGAAATGGTCTCGGCGCTGACAGACCGTTTTGAGAAGTTGCCACTCCACCAATTATGCTACTCCCACTCGTTCTCCTCCTTGAAAGAGACAATTCAACAAATGGAACAAGCCATGATATCGTGTACTGAGGTTGCCACTAGTCAGCAAGATTGCTTAGGAATGACGCCTCTCCACATCTTGTCCCACTCCACTGTTCAACACATTTCACTTTACGAACTACTACTACAACGAGATCCATCAGGTCTTGTGGTGCCGGACAAATGGGGCAGCTTGCCGATTCACTACGCCCTTGAAAACCGGGCACCTCCCGAGATCATTCGGTACCTCCTGCGAGTACATCGCCGTCTCAACCAACCAGTGGACTATCGATACTTTTTGCTGGTGCACGGGGCTGACTTTTTTGAGACTACCACAATGGAAACCGTCCAAATCATTTTGGAATCAGAGACAATCGAAGAAATCGACTGGTCACTCTGGATTCACAGTTCCAATTGCTCGGCATCGATTGGCATCTTTCGAGATGTCGTCATGAGGAGCCTTCAGACAAGACTGGATAATCTGGAATCCAACCAGTGGAAAGAAGAGATTGTCGAAAAGATCAAGAACATTCCAAAAGACTGTTTGCAAATGGCACCTTGGTCTTCTACACCATACTCCCAGTATCAACCCCTATCGACTACTATTTTGTCTTCTGGAATTGAGCCAGTCGACCAAATCGTATCCAAACTTTCTTTGTATGAAAAAAAGACAGTGTCGCACTTGCTGGAGTTGGCGGCTTGGAAGCTCAAGGTTGACACTGAAACGACTTCAGGCAACATGCCAGCAGAAGAAGAATCCCTTCGACAGAATTGCCTGGTCCATTGTGGATCAGACTGTATCATTTCAAATGTTTTGGCATCATCATTTTAATAAAGATGTGATTGGTTGATTCCTTCTACGGTATCACGGTGGTTGGAGGAGCATTCAATATTGAATATACAGCGCAGTATGGGCGGGTTCTGCCTTTCCATGATGGAACCAATTGAAATCTTCACGACAAAAACTAGGACTACAGTAGTCCTACAATAAAAATAGAATAGAAAAATAGCTGCATTCTTTCACATTCTGTATCATGTGAGACCCATCTACAATAAATAAACGTGTACTTAGAGCATGCTTTGGAGCTGAGACGCTTTTGTGTCTTGTGTCCATACATGATGACTCTCCACATATATAATAATATGACGTGTCACGAATATCGGAGATACTGAAATAGAAATACTTTCCTGGCAAAGACCATTTTTTCGCTGGAGGACAAATTGGTGGGGATTTTGGTTCTCATCGAACGATGTGGAATAGCCGGACTGGCTATTTTATTATTGGTGTTCACTGAAATTCAACTTGTCGGACAAACTCTTGATGCACCAAAAGACCTCTCCAAAAACTGAAAAGTTGTTGTGTTGTTGCACTTTCAAACGAAAGAGAACCGCGTCATGTGTCAGTACCACATAATCTAAACTGAGGTCAATCCAGACACAAAACACAACAGCAACGATGCACAATAATACTTCCTTGAATGACACCATGAGTAGCTCATCCACCCCTCTTGTTTACAACGGCCAAAAGACGCTTTCACCTGGAAGTTCCAATGTCACAATCAACACTCCAGTCGTCCCGGATCGGCGCTTTCAACACTACTTTGTGGAGCAAGTCGGTAAACTCCACTTGGAAGAAGGCGTCGAGGAAATTGGTGAAGACGCTTTTTCCATGTGTTGGACACTTGGAAATGTTCGAATGCCCTTGTCTTTAAGCAAAGTCCAAAAGAATGCCTTTGCACACTGCATGTTGCATCTCCGAAGCGTGGAACTCCCTCCCAAACGCATTCAAATTGGCGACCGGGCCTTTCAAGGATGTGTAAGACTGCGAAACGTCGCTCTCCAAAAGGATGATCCTTCGGCAAAGAATCTTGGAAAACATTTGTTCAAGGGATGTCACAACCTTGCGGTTCTCTTTCAAGATTCCAAATCAATGGTTCAAGCTCTGACGACACGATTTGATGGTTTGCCTTTACATGAGGTTAGCTACTATCAATCCTATTACTCGACCAACGAATGCTTGCAAAAGCTAGAAACAGCGACCGCGGAATCATCATCGGATAGTAGCAAACGACGACGACGACAAGATTGCCTTGGAATGACTCCACTGCATATTTTGACCTTTTCCAAGACGGCACAACGTCTGGAGCTATACCAATGGTGTGTCGAAAACTGCCTAGACGACTTGGTGACCAAAGACGAATGGGGAAGCTTGCCGATACATTATGCGTTGGAGAATAATCTACCGCTGCCCATTGTCGAATTCCTGTTGGAGCAACACCAGAAGTACCATCCAAACCAACCCATGTTCTTTGATCAGTTTCTATTGAACCAAGGTGTCGGCTTTTTGCAAGCAGCATCCTTGCCACTGGTGCAGTTGGTCTTGGGGTTCCATGAGAAGCACTGTCTGGAGCCCTTGGATTGGGATCGGTTGCTGCACGATGCCATTTCCATGTCCTCTTTGGATGTATTTCGATGCGTGGTTCAAAGGAGCATTTCACCGCGTGTCAAGGCCTTGGAGTGGCAACCATGGAGGGATGACATTGAACTAAACATAAATGCCATTTCCAACGAGAGTCTTCAGGGTGAATGCTGGACGCCCATGCAACAAGTGCCTCCTTCAGGGATTGATGTTGTGGAAAAGATACAATCTAAATTGGCTACATATGAACGAAGGACAAATATGATGTTGTTGGAATTAATTTGCTGGAAGTGTCGAACAATGGCCGCTACGACCACCCCAATGAATGAGCAAAACTGCGAGGAGAAGAAGAATAGCGACTATGAGGATATTCGAACCAACAGTCGAATTCACAGCGGTGCCGAGTACATTGTCCCCCTTGTCCTTTCCTTTCTTCAATAGCAAAGAAGAAATGCAGTACACAAACATAGAGCGCTATTATATTATATAATATCACTTTGGTTATTTATAAAGTACCAGGTACTCGTACAGTAGCTGAGTTTAATACCTTCAAATTTGGACTGGCATAGGCCTTTTTTACAGTCTTTGCGAAACAGAAACACTCATAAAATAATATTGCATGCAGGCTCTCTCTCTCTTGTGCGAAGTGTTGGTTTTATTCCATCTCGATGAAGATGATGTGGTGGAAATTAGTCCAATACTACCATAACAATGGATCATCAGACAGAGGACGACTATTACGGACAAACACCGCAACCCATAATCTCCCAAATCTTGGTTGTCCACAATGATGAGGACGAAAAGGCTGATGATCCTCGGTTTGAGGAAGACGAAGCCTTGCTGTCGGAAGTTGCCGATGCTTGGTTGGTCAAGCCAGTGGCAAACGAATCATCTAAAACGGATCTCATGAAAAATATGAAGCCCTCCGAAATCAGACAACCCAAGCATAAGCAACAAAAACTGATAGTGTCGCCCGCGGGCAGAAGAAAGAGAAAATTGGAGTTTGAATTCACTGGACTAATCAGAAGAGAACGTGAAGTATCTTTGCTGAAAGACTGTTTCAGGCGCATGTTGGGACGCCCGATTGATGACGGAGAATCCGAGACCTGCAGTAAAGAAGTTGTCTTTCTCTCGGGATTGAGCGGCGTTGGGAAAAGTACCGTGGCGCAGACATTGGAGCAGGATGTGGAAGCACTGGAGCACGGTGTCTTTGTACGAGGAAACTTCGACCAAACTGCAAGGGATAAGCCATACTCGGGCATCGCCAAAGCATTCGGTATGATTTGTGAAAAGATTGAACAAATGCCGAACGCTGTTGTCAACAGGGTTGCCACAAAGATATCTGAAGAATTTGGAACAACGGTTGAAGTTCTGATGCACCTCATTCCGGAGCTGAAATACATCATAAAGGACTATTCCACGACGACATTCTGTACCGACACTGCTGATCACGATATCATGAATGGACTTGACAGTCTTCGATTTGCATTCCGTGCATTGACACGAGCCTTGAGTGCTGAATTCTCGCCCATGGTGTTGGTCTTGGATGACCTGCAATGGGCTGACATTTCTTCCCTCCTAATTGTGGACTGCCTCGTAACCGATACGCAAAATAGAAATCCTCTGATGGTCATTGGGTGCTATCGATCTGACGAGGTCGATGAAAATAGCATACTTGTAAACAAGATCCATGCTCTCCGTGAAAAGACCAACAAGTACACTTTCAACATTACAGAATTAAAAGTTGAGGCCTTTAGCGCAAACGATATTAGTGACTTGATCAAGTCTCAAATATCAGCAGGTGACAAAACTATGATCGATGGCCTTGCAGCACTCTGTGAAAAACGAACTATGGGTAATCCGCACTTTGTCTTGGAGTTCCTCAAGATGCTGAAGAATACAGGTTTGTTGGTGTATGATGGTGATTCCGAGACGTGGACATGGGATCTTGCGCAGATCGAAGAAGTGACAATGTCCACTGCCAATGTTGTTGTTCTATTGCAGTCCAAAATACAGAAAGTGCCAAAGCGGGTCCAACGACTTTTGCAATATGCAGCGTGCCTTGGCTCTTCCTTCAGCCTTCCGACACTCCAGCTCATCTGGAAGAAATCAAATATCCTTGATATGCGCGTATCATCTGAGCCCCTTGAGCAACTGCTTGCCACGGCCGAAGAAAATCGTTTCATCGAAAAGTGTGGTCCCAAGCGCTACAGATGGGTCCACGACAAAGTACAAGAGGCGTCATTGCTGCCTTCCAAGAAACCAATGGCGACCTTTCAGCTTGACGTTGGATCATCACTGTACTATTGCTTGGACGAGAAGAGTCTAGAAGAGGAACTTTTCAATGTAACGGATATCGTCAATAGCGGAAATACCAAGAAGCGCCCCGAATTTGCTCGATTGAACTTTCGAGCTGCGAAGAAGGCAAAGGGAATTTACGCCATACAAAGTGCTGCAAACTACGCGGCAAAAGGAATCGAGCTGTTGCAAGAGGGAGAGGTTCTTACCGGTCATATCTTGACGCTACAGCTATATACGATTGGTGCAGAGATGGAGACTGCGTTAGGAAATGTCAAGAAAGCGGAACAATATGCAGAGGAGATCTTAAAGCGACCCCAGTACTCAGCAATGGATAAAATGCCTTTCAAGGTTCTTTCAATCCGGAAAGGACTCGTAGTTGATTTCAAGTATGATCAGACAATTGAACGATGTCTGGCGCGGCTCAAAGAACTTGACTACAGGTTGATTTGGAGTAGGAGTACAACATCTTTGCAGGCATTGGTGGAGCTAAAGAAAGCTATCAGAAGGGCCAAGCATACAAAAATGTTCAAGGAAACTGGTTATTCCCTGAACAAGATGACGGATCAAAAGTACCTATTGTGGATGCGACTCACAGGGATATTTGGCTATTCGGCATATCAGAGCAGAAAGTCTGTACTGTATGTTGTTGGTACGTGCAGGAACGTACAGATAACTCTCGATCACGGAATTGGACCAGAATCTGGCGCCATTTTTGCTAGCCTGGGGTTGTTGGTTGTGATTTTTCAAGGAGACTTTGAAACAGCTGCAAAGTTTGCTGAAATGGGACTAGCAATGCAGAAGTTACACCCAGCTCGTGAAGGGTCATGTGTGTATATGTCGTATTCATTCGTTCTATGCTGGAAGAGACCACTGCAAGCTTTATTGAAGCCACATTATGATGGATATGTTTCCGCTACCAGAATGGGCGACTCCACCTTCTCATGTTGGTGCTTGAGCGCCCACCATGTCTGGTTGCCATATATGATGGGAAAGCCGCTCCGTCTTATTTTGAAGGAATTTTCTTCACTACAATCCCAGATGGAAGAATTGTCACAGGTATACCCTCTTTCTCTATCGAAAGCTTGGTGATTTGGATCGACATGTTTCTCACTATCTTCGCGTTTGTCTCTGTCGTCCTTCAGCCGGGACCTCTACTCTTCTTGAAAATCTTGTGGCAAATGATGGTTAATCTTACTTCCAGCTTTTCAAATTCGCACAAGCTGGAGGGCCATACTTTCAGCCGAAATGAAGTTGACGATTGGGAACGAATAGGAGGCACTTTCGTGCATTTCGCAGAAGGCGAGCTATTTCTATTCCTGAAGCCAGCGGAAGCTGCCGATAGGGCGATCGCTGTTGGAGACAAGTTTTCAAAGCTGACGCCGAGTTTTTGTTTGGTGATGATTGAAACGTTCCATCGTGGCGTTGCTTTGTACATCATGGCTCGAAAGACCAAGCAACGCAAGTACAAGAATCATGCAAGCAAAATCCGCAAAACAATCAAGAAGTGGCTGCGGGCAGGAAACCCGAATGTCGAGCACTATAGTTTGTTGCTGGACGCAGAACACGCGGCTTTGAGTCGAGCTTATGCAAGTGCAGAGAAGCTGTATGAAGAAGCAATCGTGTTGGCCTCCCGAATGGAGTATCTTCACCATGCTGCCCTCTTCAATGAGAGGTATGCTGATTTCTTGCTAAACGAAGTTGATGATGCGGAAAGAGCTTCGCATTATTTGGATGAAGCCATTCGGCTGTACGAGCAATGGGGGGCAACTAGGAAGATCGAGATGTTACAAAGCGACTTGGAACGATCTCCTGCGTTTCAAATGGAGTGATTGCGAGTTCTATATGTTTTGGTGTCAGTCTCTCAATATCGTATCTTAGGGGAACAGTTTTTAAAGCTGGCATCTTAACTCTTTCAATTACATGCAGCCACTCTCTGGAGTTATAGTACTGTATCTCAATCTTGGTTTTAATGTCAAAATTGAAAATGCTGCCAGAAAAAGAAAGACTACAATAGTACCGGAGGAATGCTGGATGAAGTCCCGGAAAAATTTGAGGGAAAATGACAGTCATAGCAAATTCAAAATTGTGTATCGGATAGTGGCAATGAATTTGAATCTACATAGAAGTTGAGGGTCATGTTTGCAATATTGACACCAAGCTTCGCTACTTCATTACCGGTACAGGCGCAACGAATTCAGATGATGAGTCATTATTCCTTTTTACAAAGACTTGTGACACAATCCTGGGTTTTATTGCTCTACATTACGAAGTAAAGTCGAGATTGCGTCCAAAATGAAAACACGAAGCATGTCAGAACCACGAAAGCTTGACAGCAAGCCACGAGATCTATCAAGTCAAGAGAAATGCAAAGAGTGGGCCAGGATCGAGCCAGCCCTCATTCGTTTGTGGGGCATAGGTGCGATCGGTCCCAATACGAAGTTCAGTGATGTGATGAGGGCACCAGGTGTAGTTCTTGGAAAGCTTGCACAACAAACCTTCCAATTCTTTTGGAACAAACTCAGAACACACCTGATAGATAAGCAGGAACAAAAGCGACGGGTGTCATCATGTACGTATGCTCAGAATATTTTTGATTGATCATTTGCTGCTTCCATTATCTTCCCACACTAACACCAGCGCCATTCAGCCGGTTTTCTTCCTTCCACTCGTGCTTCCAAGAGATCCAAGTCTATACGTCATGGCGAGAAGAATGGTGACCATAATATGTTCCATCCTGTGACAAATTTCGTTCCGTACATAGATACGAATGGTGACAAAATGCTGGCGGTCGTCATCCTTCTACCTTCTGGCGTCTGCGAGGATGATAAATCACCATTCCCATTCAAGGCGGGTTACCGCCTGGAGCTTGATCATGATGTCCTTCGGCTGACCGTAAAGATGCCCGAATTGTTCGAGGATTTCGAAAACCTTTTTTATGCTGTGATTGAGAAAGACGAGTGTACAAGGTGGGCTATCCGTGATGCACACAGGAGAAGCATGATGAAGTATCGAAAGGATTGGAACGGTTCCATAGCATTGACGGCTGAAATTCATCTGCCTTCTAAACCTGTCCGAAATACTTTCAGATGCTCACAGGTCAAGCAAAAAGCAACAAGTGCGAACTTCTTGGTTTTCTATTTCACAATGGAACAGTTTGATGATGGCACCTGCAAGTTTGACAAGCCACACGAATGTTAGAAACTCAGTTCTGTAAGGTACTGTAGTATTGCATCGTTTAAAATATATAATACATTTTTATGTTATGAAATTCGCTGTGACGTCAGGAAATTGCTTCACGGTTAGCAATTTTACATGCGAGATACTCCTAGAGTTTCTGCCATTTTGGACAGAGACGTTTCCGATGTTTGCTTTTTATGTTCTTCGTGCTCGTGCAAAATGTTCTTCATGATGGTCTTGGAGTCTTTCATGAGTACAAGTGGGAGGTCTGGTTGCAAGGTCTTGAGAACACGGCGAGCAGCGTCTCTTGCATTGGCCGGAGTTGAGTTCACGTCAGACGGCAACTCCAGCATTCCCTCTTGGAGAGCATACAGATCATCCAATTCATCCTCCAGCTCAGTGACTGACTGTAGCTTGCTCTCCATACTTTGAGTGTATCGCAAAGTCCGTTGCATGTAGCGTCCAATGGAGGTTAGTGGGAAAATGTAAGATTTGCCATATAGACATTGCTGAATGATCGCTGCCGAGTCGTTGCACACCGCCGTGACACCGTATCCACCAAAGGGGAGTTCCATTTCGGTTGCCAAGCCATTCAAAACATTGGCATATAGAGCTGATAGACGCACCGCTCTACCGACCTCAGAAGCCTCCTTCAGAGCACGTCCTGATTCGACGTTTTTATTGAAGGGAACTTCTGGATCCGCATCCGGCTTCCACCCACAGAATCCTTCAATACCAATGAAGTGTTGAATAATCAAAGGATTTGATATGGCAGACGCATTGAAATCGTCATACTCTTGATCTTGTTTGCTAGTAAGGGGCCCATCGCCGATGGTAAGACGCAAGCCCGAATGGGGCATCATTGCTGGTGCCATGTTGCCGTCCTTATCTTCGTACCCGCTCTCTAGGAAGACTCCGATTGGAATATTGGACCACGAGCCGTCCGATTCCTTGATGCACATTCCAATGCCAAAGGATGTGATACGGGATGTCGGTACAACCGTAATATCATGTCCCATATTGATCAATCCTTGAATGAATTCAGCTGGCTTGGAAATCGCGGGTCCATCCTCGGTCAATCGAATGGTAAAGAGGGGATCTTTATCATCCGGATTGGCCAATCGATGATAGTTAGCACCCAAGCGATTCAACAAGACAGCAACTAATCGCATCTGCAATACTTGTCGTTTGGTATGTGTGGAGAGAGCACCGCCGTGTCCCAAATGCAAGTCAGGGAAAAGACGTGGGTTGATGGGAACAGGCTCTCCCATACAACGATCATTTGGATCATACTGTTGCGAGGCCTTGGTATCAATATCACTGTCCTTTGCCGTGTTTACATCCTCGTACTCGCTGTCTTCTTTGATTTCTGCTTGGGCGGTCTGAAGTTCTATCGGGGCATGATCCGCGCAATGCCCTTGGTCCACCATGGTATTTTCTAATTTCCGAATTGTCTTGTGAAAGTCTCGATCAAGAACAAATCCAGAGTTTGGAAGAATGCCGGTATCGATGGCCGGGCCATGAACATTTTCACCATTCTTCATTTTCTGAATGGCGGACAAGTTGGAACCTGGCAATTTGTCATCCGCGTCGCTGACGTCCTCTGCCTTGCTGCTCTTCTCGCCACTGTTGAGTTTGGCATTGTTTTCCGACAGTGCCAAGACACTCAAGATTGAAATGGGAAGTCCTGCTCGATCGTCGTCTTCTCCTAGCGTATTGGAGGCTGCCTGTTGGGACAAGATCCATCGCGTGGCCAATTTGGAACCAAATTTCTGTGCCTGTCCTTCAATTGGACCGACGCCAACGGCCGGCAAGAGAGCCCGACCCAAATTCGGACCCAAGGCCTTGAGCAATCCAGAAGCAAGACCAGCCTCCAATTCACGTTGTACCAACTTGGGCAAATCCTTTGAGTTGAATCCCTTGGGAAGTTGTTTGGGGCGTAGAGTAGAAAGATAATCACCCAGTCCCACAAACTTCCATTCGGGATGTGCCTTTTGGAAGGAGGGATTGACTTGTAATAATTTCAAATTGGGAAAGACATTGGTGTCTTGATTTGGTTCCCCACGGACCATGGTCACACCAGCTCCGAACAACCATGATTCTTCCTTGACTTGCTTGAGACGTCGTCGAATTGCTCCTTGATATTTCAAGTAGATAATTAACGAGATCAAGCCGACCACGGATGTTGCAATGCCTCCAGGACTCAGAACCACTGATCGAAGCGATTGCAGTATCTTAGCAATCGTGGTGGTCGGGGAAGTGGCACTGGTGGCCATTGTTCTCGTGGTACTAGTTGCGGATCGCCCTGCTACCGCGGCTGCAGGGGCGAATGTTGTAGGACAAAACATGCTGGAAAGTCCACCGAGCGACGCGTTGCTCGTGTTGGGTGGAGATGGCCCTTGAAAGTGCCCTTGCTTTTGTTCGGCACTACCACCTTGTCGAAACAAAGAAAAGCTGGATGAAGCAGGAGATGCTGTTGCGGTTGCCGCGGTTGCTCGATTCGGGTGAGCAAACATCAGAGATGGAAAAGTAGGAATACGGCTTGATTGTTTCATCTTGTCGATAATTTAAATTGTGTCTGACTTCTTCTTGATATGTTGGAGAATAAAGATTACAGTATAATGGTGCGATGTGTGATGGCGTTTGATTTTTATTATGATGTTTGAAATGTCAGAAAAGCGCAATAATCAGAAAAGGCTTTTCTAACACCTGTCTGTCCTTCGCCATAATCGTTACGACTGAAATACGAGAAGATGATTGGCTGATTCTGACAAGAAGTGTCAAAGTATTCGAAACGGGTGATTCCGCCGGTAAGAGGGTATATCCGGGCTGGTTCGTGGTGTTTCTGATACGAAGTATTTTAAAATAGAAGGGTAATCGAAGTTGTGGTCTTTCACCGGATGGTCTACTACTAGGTATTGCATACAAGGCTATATTCATTCGATGATGTCGCTCTGGAACGCTTCAACTACATGGTACGATATAAACAGCACACTCCCCTCAGCCATTTGTTCTCGATAGAGTTGAAAGTAAGTACTATCCCGTATAGTACAAGTTTCCATTACTTTAGTAATAAATAGTTTACATCAGGTTTGCCAGGGAATTGCAAAAATGGCGCCAAGGGGGGCCCATTTTACAGACGAGTTATCGTAAAAGTACTTTCCTCGTTGGCTTGCTTTTTGTGCTCTTTCTGGTCTTCGTGTTCTTGCAAAATGTTTTCCATGATAGTCTTGGAGTCTTTCAAGAGCGTAAGTGGGAGTTGTGGTTGCAAGGTCTTAAGAACACGGCGAGCAGCGTCTGCTGCATTAGCCGGTGTCGAGTTAATGTCCGATGGCAATTCCATCATTCCTTTCTCAAGAGCATCAAGATCATCCAACTCTTCTTGCATGGAAGGGACCGACTGTAGTTTGCGATCCATGCTTTGATTGTATCGCAAAGTCCGTTGCATGTAGCGTCCAATGGAGGTTAGTGGGAAAATGTAGGATTCGCCATATAGACATTGCTGGATGATCGCTGCCGAATCGTTGCACACCGCCGTGACACCATAACCACCAAATGGAAGTTCCAATTCGGTTGCCAAGCCATTCAAAACATTGGCATAAAGAGCTGATAGACGCACCGCTCGAACGATTTCAGAAGCATCTTTCAAAGGTCGGCCCGACTCGACGTTTTCATTGTAGGGCACTTCTGCATTTTGATCCATCTTCCACCCGCAGAATCCTTCAATACCAATAAAATGCTGAATAATCAAAGGATTTGATATGGCAGATCCTTCAAAATCGTCATATTCTTGATGTTGATTGCTAGTAAGAGGCCCATCGCCAATGATAAGACGCAAGCCCGAATGTGGCATCATCGCTGGTGCCATGTTGCCGTCCTTATCTTCGTACCCGCTCTCTATGAATGCTGCAAGTGGGATATTGGACCACGAGCCATCCGATTCCTTGAGGCACATACCCAATCCAAAGGATGTGATACGAGTTGTCGGTACAATGGTAATGTCTTGTCCCTTGTCGATCAATCCTTGAATAAATTCAGATGGCTTGGAAATCACAGGTCCATCCTTAGTCAGTTTCATTGTAAAAAGAGCCTCTGCATTATCCGGATTGGCCAATCGATGATAGTTAGCACCCAAGCGATTCAACAAAACGGCCACCAATCGCATCTGCAATACTTGTCGTTTGGTATGCGAACAGAGTGCGTCGCCATGTCCCAAATGCAAGTCGGGGAAAAGACGTGGGTTGATGGGAACCGGTTCTCCCATGCTACGATCATTTGGATCATACTGCTGCATACCCTTGGTATCGTCATCGCGGTCCTTTGCCGTTTTGGAATCCCCGTACTTGCTGTCTTCTTCGAGTTCTGCTTGAGCCGCCTGGAGCTCAATCGGGGAATGATCCGCACAATGTCCTTGGTCCACTATGGTCTTTTCCAGTTTCCGAATCGTCTTGTGAAAATCTTGATCGAGAACGAAGCCAGAGTTTGGAAGAATGTCGGTATCAAAGGATGGGCCACTGTCATTTTCCCCATTTTTCATTTTCCGCATGGCGGACAAGTTGGAACCTGGCAATTTGTCATCCAACGACGGAAGTGGAGAGGCGTCATTGTCGTTGTTGACTTCAACTACACCCTCGTTGTTCTTGTTGGTACGTGTACCACCGCCACTGTTAAGTCTGGCATTGTTTTCCGACAGTGCCAAGACACTCAAGATTGAAATGGGAAGTCCTGCTCGATCTTCGTCGTCTCCCAGCGTATTGGCAGCTGCTTGTTTAGACAAGATCCATCGCGTGGCCAATTTGGATCCAAGTTTCTGAGCCTGTCCATGAATCGGGCCAAAACCAACGGCTGGCAAGAGAGCCCGACCCAAATTCGGACCCAACGCCTTGAGCAATCCAGAAGCAAGACCAGCTTCTAATTCACGTTGTACCAACTTGGGTAGTTGTTTGGGAGTGAACCCCTTGGGAAGTTGTTTGGGACGGAGAGTTGATAGATAATCACCCAAACTTACAAGCTTCCAGTCAGGATGTGCCTCTTGAAAAGAAGGGTTGATTTGAAGTAGTACCAAATTTGGAAATATATTGGTGGCTTGGTTCGGTTCCCCACGGACAATGGTCACACCAACTCCAAACAACCATGATTCTTCCTTAACTTGTTTGAGACGTCGACGAATAGCGCCACGATATTTCCAGTAGACAATCAACAAGACCAATATGACCACAATTGTCGCAATGCCTCCAGGACTAATAACCACTGATTTAATCGAGTCGACCATGCTAGTTGCGTTTGACTTCTTCTTGATAAGCTGACGAATAAAGATTACTCTTGATACAATGTTTTGATGTGAGATACTCAAAAGGAGAAGATGGAGATTGAATTGTAATGTGCGATGATGTCTGCCATGACGTCGTGTTGTAATTTTGTGAGAAGAACGAAATCTTGTAAATGTGCTGAGAAAATGTTTTCCCCGCACCTTTGGAGGACTACGACTGAAAAACGAGAAGATATGATTGGCCGGTTCTAATGAAAGTGGAGATTCTACCGGTCCGATACAGTAGCAAAGGCGTTTCACCTTCTCAACCCAAAAGTTTTGATGAAGCTTAATTTTCACTTGATAAGAGGAATAATCCAAAAGGGGAGTAACGTTGGTCTGAGAGTGGCATGATCTAAGGGGAGGACTGTGTGCTTTATTTACGATACATACTACTATTTCATTTGACACAGTCACTCAAAGGGGGGGGGGGTACAGATGAACCTCCTCCCCTCCCTCCGACGTACAGAATTAGTCTCACATGCATGCAAACAATGATGCTTGAATGCGAATGAAAACCACATCCTGAGTCCCATCATAACATTACTGAAGATGACATTCAAAACCACACGCTCAAAAGAAGTCGCTGTTGCATCTCAATGTGTAACTATCGCTGCAAAGCTGTGCCAAGCTGTTCGACTTGAACTTGCATCGCTTCAGGCAATGACAAAATCAGACCAATCTCCCGTCACGATTGCTGATTTTGGTGCTCAGTGCATCATTGGCAATAGCCTCAAGGAGGCCTTTCCGCAAGATGAATTGGTGGCAGAAGAGGACGCAGATGATCTAAGAGCACCAGAAAAGAAAGAACAGCTTGCGGAAATTACCAAATATGTCAACCAGACGTTGACATCGCATCATGGTCCAAGCTGTGCAGTGACTGTGAAAGAAGAGTCAGAGATTTTGGATTCGATCGACCATGGCAATGGGACACCATCGGAATCAAAGCGATACTGGACGTGTGACCCAATTGATGGTACCAAAGGCTTTCTTCGCGGCGACCAGTATGCAGTATGTCTTGCACTTGTCGAAAATGGATCTGTTGTTTTGGGAGTCATGGCCTGTCCAGCTCTTGAAATCGATGGTACGATCGGTCACTTGTTCATTGCCGAAACAGGCAACGGAGCATGGCGAAAACCATTGACTACTACAATAAACGAGAACAATGAACAACCATTTACCAAAATAAAAGTGAATACAGAATGCGATGCAATGGTTCAGAGCTTTGTGGCAAGCCATGGCAATCACTCGGAACAGGAAGAAGTGGCACAACAGCTGGGAATTGAGAATGTGATTCGAATGGATTCTCAAGCCAAGTATGCTATGGTGGCCAGTGGCAAAGCATCTTTGTACCTTCGACTCTCAAGCTACAAGGAGAACATTTGGGATCATGCCGCTGGGAAGATCTTGGTGGAAGAAGCAGGGGGTAAAGTGACGGATCGGAACGGCAAGGAGCTTGGGTTTTCAGAGTTCAAAATGACGCAGAATGATGGCGCAGTGGTGACCAATGGGGTGTTGCATGAGAAGGTTCTTGAAGTATTGCAAAAGGGCAATTCGTGATTTAAAAATCAGGGGTTCGGAAATTATCAATCAATCTGTTGTGGCATTCTACTTGGGCAGCATCAGAATTGTCACGCCAATTTCAAGCTTATGCTGTGACAGAAAGCTGCTTTGACTTTCGATTCGTCAGAATAATGTTACGTAGCGTGAATTGGAACGATCGGCTTGCCTGGAATAAGGCAAGAATCCACCAGGAACCGCCCAAAGTCGAAGGCCGCAACGGACTCAGCAGTAGGCTGATGGTAGCAATCGTAGTGATAATGTACGACTTGGAAAGAAATCCCAAATCTCGCTGTGCCAAAAGCATCCCCTCGCAAGTCAGTGCAACTGCGTGCATGGATATACTCAAACCAAGAATGGGAGCCGTTCGCCGCAGGGCTTGTGCCACGGCGGCATCGGCAGTGAAAAGCCCCGCCCCTCTGGCCGGGAGCAACCACGCCAATACGGCCGCTACCAGTCCTGCTCCTACCCCGGTGCTAAATAGTAATCGCTTGGCTCCTCTTTGTGGGACTCCTGTTCGTCGTTCTTTGGCTAGGATGCCTGGCAAAAAGACTTGCGATGTCATCCCCACTGAATCTCCAACGGGACACCAAAAGAAGAAACTCCTGAGAAGGACTTGATGAGCTGCCAATGCCACCGAGCCTAGTCTCCCGACCGACAACGCAACGCCATTGTAGACCACGAGCTTTCCTAAAATGGTGAAGAAAATTGGTGCGGCATATTGAAGAAATCGTTTGGTGCTGTCCAACGATGGTACTTGTAGCAATGGCATAGTGACAGATGAGGATGATGAGGATGACGACGATTCGTTGTTTCCTCGTCGTTTTCGAGATTGTCGGAGCCGGCTCAAGAGAAATCCTGTCGATGCAACATCGGCACAAAGGGTACCAATGGCGGCTCCCACAATTCCCAAGGGTGTTTTCGTCACCAACGTCAAGGTCCCAATCACATTCAAAATAAATGCCAAACCGACCGATACCAAGGGTCCTTTCGTATCCCTTTCTGCCAAGGCTATATATCCAGTTGCAAACAAGTAGAAAACGATATTATAAGCAATCTTCCTTTTGGTGGCAATGGAATGTGGGACGAACAAAGTATATATAGTACTTACCGGCAGCTCGTGCCACACTTGCCATAATGACAAATGGTTGTCCAAATGCTCTTACCAAGGCATACTTTAACGCCGAAGGAACGACGGATCGACTGGCTTCACCGGCAATCATGCCCAATATAGGACTTCCAGCCACGAGTACCATGGCGCCTAGTCCGATACCACTGATCAATGCCAAAAATAGCGCCTCGCTGACAATTCGATCCGATTCTTGTCGATCGTCACTAGTAGTACTAGCATTGGCATTGGCATTCGTTACAAGATTGGTGGCTGCAGTGGCAATGAAAAAGAACAAATAGGAAGACGAATCAATCAATGTGCAACCTGGACTGAGCGCTGTAGGAATTATTGTGAGTCGTCGTATTCGTCCTTCTCATGTGCATAACGTGTCAGTTTTTTAGTTTTGTTTTGACAAATCAAAAGTCGTACCTGCCAAATCGGTTGCTCCACAAAATCGACCTACGGCACTGGTATCAATCAAGGACATGACTGGTGGAGCAATCCATAACGCCAAAGTTGGGGCAATGAAACGCAATACTGCCTTTGGACTGAGACTCCTCAATTTTTCCGAAGACGACGAGGACGACGAGTCATCGTTGTCCGCCAACAATACGGTGGTTGATTCCTTCTCTTGCACGATAATTTCAGTTTCTTCAATTTCATTGACAATTTCTGTTGTATTGCTGATGCTGATGATATCCTCAATGGTTTCACCACCATCCTTTTCTTCTTCTTCTTCGCTGTTTGCCGTCTGAATCATATCGTTCATGACCAATGTCTTTTCAGAAACTCCAAAGGCTTCAGTTGGCACAGCTTCCTCTTCACCATTAATAGCCTCATCCGATGTTCCTTCGTCATTATTCAGGATGACTGGTGATTTTTTCTTATGCAATGATGATGGTAATGATGATGATGATATTATCCGGTTGGAAGTGCTGCTGGGTATCACTTTTGACAGTGGAAATCTTGACAGTGGAAATGGAAATCTTGGCACTGTTTGTCGGCCGGAAAACCCATTGACAATTCTGAAGCATTGAACACTGAAAAGAAGCAGCATAAAGCCACTCCTCTCTGGCCGTCTCGTAATCATGGTGGAATGGATATTAAAACGCTATTGGAAGTATCCAGGTACGTACTGTAGGCGGAGGAATATCGGAAGTATATACCCGGTAGTTGCGGCTATTGCAGAATTCAGAGTTATTTGAAAATTCGGAATGCATGATGTATTTTAATATTTTGGGGACGTCGCACAGACGGAATTTGGATTTCAATAAAAACCATCATCATCATTATCATCATCAACATCATCATCAATTTGACTGTCATCAGCATGGAGAAGGACAAATATTGGTTCCCATCCCATTCATTGTCATGATTTTAGGGCAAAGTCCTCGTCGAAGTAGCTCTTTGCGAATCTTCGTACCTCGAAAGGGACAGCAACAAATCTTCAGACGCTCTCAAGGATCACGCATTATTCAGAAGAGTCATAAGCGACACTTGCACGATGGTCAGAATGACAAGAAGCACCAAACACCAATTTCCGTCGCAACGCCACTGGTATTTGCTCCAAAACCAAGCTCGAAACAGTCAATTCATTCCTTGAAAGGCACTGCCTCCATACTCGACCCAAAGTGGGCACACTTGTCACCTTGCATCGGTGCGGCTCTATCCACTTCTCCATTGATTGGTAATTTGATCAAGCTGGCATCACGATATTCTCCGGAGAATGATGACAGCAGTGCTACTGATCATGATGATGATGATGATGATGACGATGATGATAACGAATCATCTCCCTCCAGCCATCACCGAAAACGTTTGTACGATACCGCCACACTCGCCAATCAGGTCTTTTTTCAAATCATGCCGGAATCCTCCTTGTTTCTCAAGAGGACCAAATCCATGCCGGCTGCCTATCTAACACCGCGACTGATTGGTACGATTGTGGGACGTTCCACCATCGTGGCCAAAGCAATGGACATTAACACTATCCGTGACTACCTTCGAAACGAGTTTGATATTCGTTCCAACAAGATTGGGAATAAATGGACTGGCGTTTCGTTGAATCGGTGGGTGGATCTCTTTCGCTTAAGCAGCCATCATCATCATCATCATCATCATCATCATCATCATCATCATCATCATCATCATCATCATGAGGAGGAGGAGGAGGAGGAGGAGGCGTCAACTACTCCTAATTTGGATTGGATGCCCCTTTCAATCTGGTCCGTGGCCTTGTGGGAAGTCAGTCATAATCTACCACCAGACAATACCCAAACACCCCAAGAGAGTTGGCTGGAATATTTGCTCGAGTGTGATGCCCATGTACAGCAGCAATTTGGTTCAGACGAGTCCATCTTTCGTAAAGAGGACGACTTGGCGCAGGCGTTAAAGCGCAGAGATCCATCGGCAATGAAGAAATGGCAGGAACAAACCTTTTGTGCCAACCGAGACCTGAGAGAGGCGAATTTCCAAGACTCGATGGATCAGCTGCTGGAGATTTGGGAGGGAACGACGACAAGTTGTGATGGATTGAGCAGCGAAGACTGGACTAAAGCTAGTTTGGCCTTGGAAATTGTTTGCGCGTCTGTTGCTTTGGGCCAAAAAGTATCAGGTTCCGGTACAATAAGTGCACCATCGAATGGCAAGAAGGACACGACGAAGCTGTCCGATAAACCAGTCGTTCCGAATGGATATTTCAGTGTCGATGAAGGGGATTTGAAAGCAGGTACGTGATATGAGACAATCTAGTAACTTTCTCACCGTATATATGAGGGGTCCAAAGTCTCACTTTTCCAAGTTTCTGTTCATGTTCCAGACTGTGTCGAAGTTACTATTCGAGAAATCATTGATCTTTTGCTATGGAATGAAGACATTGGCGCGATGGATCTTTTGCGACTCCCATCCACAGCATCTGCTGATCTCAAAATCTTTTATGAAAGGCTCGATCAGCCTGAAGCTGCTGCCTTTGATGTTGGACAGGAATGGTTCAACATTTTGAGTGGGCTACCTGGATGCGACTATTTGGCAGTCGGAAAGGTTCGAGGGATACCTTATGAACTAGCACCTACAATGGACAATGTGGCCCGAGTTTGCCAAAGCCTTGTGATGCACGGTGGCACTAATGCGCCTGACTCGACCACGGGTCTCGGTAGCATTTCTGAAGAATCGTCACATTGGAAGTCGCTCGAAGATGTTGCCAATGGATGGAAGGGTGGACCTCCGTTGCACGTGCAAAGCGATGCTCTAATTCACCAGGACGCTTCGAATCCTGGTGGTGATTCCAAAAAGTATGAGATTGCCACGCTTCAAGTCGAGGGCAATCCCAACTGTATTGAGATTCGAATGCGCTGCGACTGGGCTCAGAAATCTGGATTCAGTGCTGTCACTCATTTGAAAGAGGGCAGATCCATATATGATAATAAAAGGAAAGAGACAATGCGGTCACTTTTGCAGTCAAAGGGTGCTAATGCCACCAAATCGTTTTCATTTGGCCAGCTTGGCAATCTCCTTGCGCTTTCACAGAATTCAGATCTGGGGCTGCTGTCGCCTCTTGTTGTCAAGAACAAAGACAAAGGTGACTTAGATTTACTACTACTGGATTTGCTTGTCACAAGATTTGGTTGTGATCGCCGAGGGATTGTCAGCCACTTTTCAAACTCTGACCCAATGCAGCAACGCGCTCGGCAACAAGAATTTGATCGTCAGCAGACCGAACAAAACCATGATTTACTTCGAAGTGCGCTGCATCAAATCTGCGACCTCTGCGACCATGATAGAGAGCTCTGTAAGATGCTCTTGATCTCTTTCCTTCAGGAATCTGCAGACGTGGTAGAATCATCGTCTGGGAATGCTACTGGTACTGTGGATGTGGATGAAAGTCTCGAGGTGAAAATCGCATCTCTCCCGCAAGATATCTTGTCATCGAGTCTCGCCCAGCAGGCACTCTGGAATTCCAGGTCTGGAATCATTCGAGGGAAAGTTCTTGCTGCGTGTGCCGAATTGAAATCCGGCACTATCTCTTGGTGGGATGTTCTTTTAAGTGACTTTAGTCCAAGCGAAATCATCTCAGTTTTAGCACTCCTGCGTGCATCTCACGGATGAGACAGTCAGTTTCATTCGACTTTGGAACGTATTGCGCCTTTTGATTTCCAAATGCGTTAGTTTTAAAAAGATGTTGTTCGCCATGAATCGTGTCGATAACGACACCTAAAGTACCTAAGAAGAAAGACGTGTACAATCCGCTCAAAAACAATGTTTTACTTTTGAGCATGGTGGGAGGAAGCAAAATAAAGGGTATTTACTTGGATTTCAAAGGATCGAACACCGCCTCTGCAGGCTATTTTGCATTGTAGCTAACATCCATCGTACTTGTGCTGCGGCCACACGGAGGTCTTGGATTATCCTGTGGTCCAAAGGTACTGAAGTAGGCAAAATGAGACGGCACAATTGTCCACTGCGCACTTTCAGTGTGTTCTCGTGGTACAAGTACCACCGCATATATAAATGATTATATTGAAGAAGCATCACATCATCTCGCATTGCAATTCTAGTCGCGAGAAGGCATCCTGCAATGCTAAGAGTGACAATGGAGTCACCCGATGGCACAGATATTGGGGACACATTTTCGAAAATATTCATCGTTGCAAGTGATGGTGATGATAGGGACCAGGCTTCGTCGATTGCTGATAGTGAAATATTGTCGTATGAGGAATCAGCCAGCAATTCGGTTTTCCAGCAGTCCATTCGCACAGAAGTTTCATCTGAATTGCTGATGGCTGATATGAAATCATGTGAGCTCAGAAAGCAAAGACATTCTGAGCTTCGCATATTGAGAGATGCGACAAAGGCCAGTGAAGAAATGGAAAAGTTGAATTTTGAATCCGTTGGGTTGGTCAGTAGGGAACACGAAATTAATTCACTGAAGAAATGCTTCAATCGGATGCTTCCCAGTTCTATTGACGACACCAACGCAAGTGACAACTCTGCCAAGAAGGAACTTGTATTTCTATCTGGGTTTAGCGGTTCTGGAAAGACATCGTTGGCTCAGACTGTGGAATCAGATGTTGTACGTTTTGATGCCGGCATTTTTGTTGAAGGAAAGTTCGACCAAACTACAAGTGATAAGCCGTACTCTGGTGTTGCCAAGGCATTCGGCAAGATATTTGAAAGAACTAATCAAATGACCAACAAGACGAGGGAAAGACTCCAAGCAGAGATCCTTCAGGAGTTTGGAAATGACGTTGAGACACTTGTTGATCTCATTCCTGAACTCAAATTCATTATACCAGAATATTCCACAAGGACGATCTCTGCAGATGCCAACGACCCCGAGCTAGCCAATGGACTTGAGCGGTTACGTTTTGCATTCCGTACTTTGACCCGGGCATTGAGTGCCGAGTTCTTTCCGATGGTAATTGTCCTCGACGATTTGCATTGGGCCGATATCTTGTCCTTGCAAATTCTGGATTATCTAATCACAGACACAAACAACCCAAACCCACTCATGATCATTGGGTGCTATCGGTCAGATTTGGCGGACGAAAACAGTGTTCTAGCTAACAAAATCCTTGGCCTTGAGAGCAAGACGACCACGCATTCCTTCAATATGACAAAGTTGAATATTGAATCGTTAAATGCAGACGATATCTGTTCCATCATTAAGTCTCAGATACCAACAGGCAGTGAAGCGTCAATCAAAGAATTGGCAGCACTCTGCGTGAAGAGAACAATGGGCAACCCATATTTTGTTCTCGAATTCCTGAAAATGTTGAAGAACGAAGATTTGTTGACGTACAATGCTGAAGCACACATTTGGAAGTGGAATCTTTCTCAGATTGAACATGTGACAATGTCTACCGCCAACGTCGTTATATTGTTACAGTCCAAAATGCAAAAGATGCCGATGCCCGTTCAACACATCATGCAGTATGCTGCCTGCATCGGGTCATCTTTCAGCCTGTCCATTCTTGAGCTGATTTGGAAAAAGTCGAAAATCTTCCGCCATAATGTGCGAAACGAGCCTTTGCAGCAGCTGATAGACATTGCTGAAGAAAACTATTTCTTCGAACAGTGCGGCACCAAGCGTTACAGATGGGTCCATGATAAAGTACAAGAGGCAGCATTACTTCTTTCGACCAAATCGTCGTTTCAGCTTCATGTCGGGTCGTCGCTGTACTATAGCTTGGACGAGAAGGGCCTGGAAGAAGAGCTATTCAACGTAGCTGACATTATCAACAGTGGAAATGTGAGTAAGCGACCCGAGTTTGCTCGACTAAACTTCCGAGCAGCAGAGAAGGCAAGGGGGATTTACGCCATACAAAGCGCAGCAAATTACACCGCCAAAGGAATCGAGCTGTTACAAGATAGCGAAGTGTTGGAAAATCGTGGATTGTGGCTCCAATTGTACACTATTGGTGCCGAGATGGAGCTTGCTTTGGGAAATGGAGAAAAGGCTGAACTATATAGTAAGGAGGTATTAAGTCGGGACATGTATTCTACGATGGAAAAGATGCCGCTCATGATTGCATCCGTGCGAAAGCTAGCAACAGTTGATTCAAAGTGCGACGAAGCAATTGAAGGTTGCTTGGAGCTGCTGCACAAACTAGGATACCGACTTCTTTGGAGCAAGAATGCGACACCAATCCAGGCATTAGTAGAACTTCGTCGCACTGTCAGGAAGGTAAAAGGGGCATCCGGACCGAAAACACTGTGCGACTCTTTAGGTCACTTAAAGGATGAAAAGCAGCAAATGCGCATGCGTTTGATTGCCACTTTGGGATATGCTGCACATCGAACCAAGAGGAGCCTTTTGTATCTACTGTCAGTATGCAAGAATGTACAGATTACGCTGAAATGTGGCATTGGGAAAGATTCTGGTGTCAGCTTTGCTAGCCTTGGTTTATTAGTACTGGCTTTCCAGGCTGATTTTGAAACAGCTGCGAAAATTACCGAAATGGGATTGGCCATACAGAAAGCCTTGGGTCCAGGACGAAAGGGGGCTTGTCTCTACATGTCCTATGCCTTTTCATTAAGCTGGAAATTACCATTCCAAGCTTGCCTACGGCCGTTGTTTGATGGATATGCTTCTGCGATTAGAGTAGGAGACTCCGTATTCGCACTATGGTCCTTGACAGCGCAGCGAGTATGGCTTCCGTATATGATGGGGAAGCCGCTGCGTCCAATACTGGAGGATGTTGTTAGCCTCCATTCCCAAATGGAAGACTTCTCTCTGCAAGGGTTAGTCATGACGTTGCGAGTAGTTTGGCAAATGCTGATCAACCTTACTTGCGACCACCCACATGCACACCAGCTGGAGGGTGAAAAGTTTAGTCGCAGGTCATTGAATGAACGGCAAACCGTGGGGATTGGCATGGTTCCCTTTGCTGGTATGTATAGAGAACTTGTTTCATATCTTCTCATCGCTTGATTCGCTCACCAGTTTGCTTTCAACAGAAGGGGAACTTCTTGTATTCTTGAAACCCGAAGAAGCCGCCGACCATGCAATTGCTGTTGGAAACAAGTTTGGGAAACTCATTCCCGGCTTATGCTTGGGCATGATTGAAACCTTTCATCGGGGGGTTGCCTTATATACAATGGCAAGAAGCACTAGGCGAAGAAAATACAGAGTTCTCGCAAACAAAATCCGCAAGAGAATCAACAAATGTATGCAGGCGGGAAACCCAAACGTGGAATACTACAGCTTGGTGCTGGAAGCTGAACACTCGGCAATGAACGGGGCGTATGCGAAGGCAGAGAAGCATTATAATGCAGCTATATCACTTGCTTCCAAAAGCGGCCATCTACACCACGCTGCCCTCTTTAACGAGCGGTATGCTGACTTCTTGCGGAATGAACGGAAAGACAGCGACAGGGCTGTTGATTATTTGAATGAAGCTATTCGATTCTACGAGTTATGGGGAGCAACAAAGAAAGTGAAGACATTGAAGAGCTCTTGTTTGACCGCAAAAATTGACTAAATAGGTGTATGTTATGTCAAAGTATCACTGTACAACGTTCATTTTTGTTCTTAGGCCAACGTCTGCTGTAGTTCTTATTTTTAAAGGCTATAATAGTGTCTGCTACTATTTTCTGGGGTTTCGATCTTGAGAAAAAGATCGTCCATTGCTAAGCAAACGGTGAAAAGCGAACGAAAAAGATTGCTCATTCCTACCGGTACTTCCAGAAATGGTCAAATGTGTCAAAAAGCTCGCCCATTGGATCTTCAGTGACGTGATGATGCGGGCCCAAAACGCCAACGATAGTAATGGGTCCAAATAACTAGGGAAATATTATAACCTGTCGTTTAGGAAGGTTTAAAAAAAGTAGGCAAGTCTTCCAATTGAGATTATGATATGGACTATTTCATGGCATCCTTGTTTTTCTCCTCATGAAGCAAGGTCGTTTGTTCTTGTCTTCTCCTCACATAGCATCTCTTTCCTGAATCACATTTTCCGTTCACTCTTTTGGGTTCGCTCGTGTCAGATTCTTCTCACTAGGGACCTTTCATAGCTGGCATTTTGATATAGCTACTTCCTCCCCCTCTTTTGCTTTCTTGAACAATGGAAGCTGATTTCCGATGTTTTGGCTTTTCCCAACGAAAACCAATACTTTCCAGTTGTTCAATTTGTTCATCGGTAATCTTGGCTGATTTGTCCCCGTTTTGTTTCTTGTGATACTGGCGACGGAACCACCTAATCACCCACCCCCTTTTTACAGCCTTGTCGTTACACTTCCTCGGGACGTCATGTCCACTGTTCGGAGAATGTTCCCTCAATAGATCAAATTTGCGATCAAAATCTGTCACGTACTTGTTTGAGTGGTCCTGGATAGCGGTCCTTTGTTCTGTTTTCTGACAAAGATTTAAGCAGCGATCGAGATGATCGTTGTCCAACCCCACCTTTGACCCGATCTCCTGTTGCAGCTTCGTAAGATGTTGGAGAGCTTTTGCTCCCTTCCAATGGTTTTCTCCAACCAGTCCCATCAGACGCATCTTCATGGAATTCATTGTAGATGAATAACCCGCTTCGTTGCTTTCCTTTCGTTTTCCGCATTCTTTAATGATGGCAATGGCCTCTTGCCGCATATCATCGAGATCCTTGAGTTCAAGGTGTTTCAAAAGCAGCATAACAAAAGTCTTGTCGAATGGGTCATCTTCGTATCGATCATCTGGTTTGCGTGCTATGTAGCTCATAGTAGAATCATCACCAGCACTGGACGAGTCAATCAGCATTTCTGTTGACTTCAAGTTGTCATCTTTGAATGATGGCTGATGCTGCGATGATCCCTTCTTGAATTCTTTCGACTTTCGATTATTTCTTTTCATGAGGATCCATTCGCCTTCCATTTGGCTGTAAGGTGAGGAAGATCTTGTTGTCTGACGATCCATGGTGCTTCTATATAAACTGACATTTGTTGTGTCAATGAGAAAGATGACATTTGGTTGGTTTCAAATGCTGGAAGCAGTTTTCCGGGACTTGCACGACATTCGGATCAAGCTGTTCGGATCCGATCGGCTCACGGTCTTGTGGATGAGCGAATAAGAATCAGTCCAATGTGTCGAATGTTCCAATCAGACACGATCGATCCGATCGATGGTTACGGGATGCGATCGGCCGACTCGCATATCACACCCAATCATGACTGTTACGATGCCAATAATAAGCATGTTGAATGTTCTACTTACACCGGTGGATAGCGGAGTACTCGTACCGGATTCTCCAAGTATACAATGGTTACAGTTCAAAGAAAATTTGTGCTATAAAAATATTTAATATCACGGAATATCATCTTCTGCCCCTTCCTGAAACCCAAGTTCCATGGCATGTTTCATCTTCATTTGATTCTTTTCCTCTTCCAAGTCCTCCAACTGGTTTTCTAGACCAACAATGGTTTGCTTCATTTTGTCGTTTGCTTGACGGAGGCTTAGATTCTCCCCCAAATAAGCTCTTTGGTGCAGTAAAGCATTCTGAAGCTTTGCCTTGAAAGAATGTACATCCTTGTTTGCCCGATTGAGATGCTGTTCATTGTCCAACTTTGACTTCTGCAAACTCTGGTTCATGTGGTGAAGTTCTGTTGCTACTTTTTCCCTGTCAGCAATAATGGATTTGCGACTCTCACAAGTTTCTAGCACCTGCGAGATCGCTCGCTTGAGCTTGCAATTTTCAGCTCGAAGCGATTCTTCCGTATGAATCTGCTCCAATCGACGGCGTTCCAATTCCTGTTTCAGACCTTTCATATTGTCAGAAAAGTCCTGAGAAATACTTTGCATCGTTTGTTTTGCCTTTTCTTTTTCGGATTGAAGATCCCTAAGTTCATTCTTCAGTGCATTGAGCTGGGCATCTTTGTCTGCGCAAAGCTTCTTCACTAGTTGATCCATGCACAAATGGAGCAGATCGTCTTTTCCGAGACGTTCGAATGGAGAGGAGGACGAAGGATCGCTCAGTACATCAGAATCTGCCTTCGTTTTCTTTGATGGCGGAGATAAGAAAGTGGTACTGCTATCGTTGCGGCGATTGGGCTTCGACTTCTCCTTTTCCTCACCATCACAATCACCGACAGCAGACTTACGCTTCCGTTTCAAAGTGCTTTTAGTTGTGAGTTCCTTAGTCTTTCGGCTATGGTCGTCAATACTTTCATTTTGGTTGTTTACAGATTCATTCAAGTTGCTGCATGGGGCAGTTTCGTCGATCCATTCCAACTCCTCGTCATCATCGTCAATGACAATGATAGGCCCAGAGTCGTCGTGTTGAGAGGGAATTGAAGCATCTCTGCTGCGGCGAGAGGACTTGATTGATCCGCTTGTGCTTTGATGGACATTATTGCCCTTTTGGCTCCGTGAAGCCTTGTTGGAGACTTTGCTACGCTCTTCACTGACTTTCTTCATTCGTAAGGATGCAGCACTTCCCTCCTCCTCCTTGCCCTCCCACAAAAAGCCAATGCTATTTAACTTTTGAATGCGGTCATCCGAAAGAATCTTGTTCTTGTAAAGAAAACGCTGACGAGCGACCCACCGGGACAGCTTTGGTTTATCCCATTCGTGGATCTTCTTGTGTGCTACCAGCTTATCGAATCGAACATCCCACCGTTCCTTGGGGTTCTTAGATGAATCTAGTTGAGTAGTTGTTGCTTTGATGTTGGACGTACGATTAGTCCTTTGTGGTGTCGGCATCGATTTGGTGGCGACGGAGCTATTTCGAGTCTCATTGGGCTTGGAGGAATCCTTGTTGATGGATCCTTGGGGTTGCTCATGCTTATTCGACGGCATTGGTTTCTCCCAAAGGAATCCAATGCCGTTCAGCTGCTGAATTTGCTCGTCGGTAATATAGCTGAGTTCGCCATAGCGTTTCTGACGATACTGATAGCGTATGGTTTGGATCCAACGACGAAATGTCTTGTTTTCTGGGCAGTCTCGTGCAGGGAGAACATACCCACCATTAGGGTGATGCGTCTTCATGATATACTTCAACCATTCAAAATTGCGAGCAAAAGCTGCTTTTCGTTTGTTTGGTGAAACCTTCTTGATTACTGCTTCTTTTGATGGTTTCAATCGGTTGGACGTGGTAGGAGCTTGCTTCGATCCCACGCGAATGTTGATTCTGGATACTTTGGATCTGGTATCATTGCCATGATGATCATGATTACTCCTCATGGGAGGTGGTGTCCACTCATCATCGGATGAGTTATTGTCTTCAGAGATAGATCTTGCGATTTGAGAATCCATGATTTTGCAGTAAATGTATTATGATTTGTGTCATCGTCATCTTGTCGGCAGCAGGTGCAGAAGCGATCATCTTGTTGCCGCTCTTTTGCAAAAGCGGCAATGAGATGATCGCCAATCCGCATTCCAGGACTTGATTCAACGGATCAAGTGACCAGTCATTTAGTCGTGGCGAAAGCTGAGTCCAATGTGTCGATTTGGGTCTTCTCGTGATGGATGAAGAATGCGATGATCCAATCGATACTACTGTTGGACGTCTCGATGAGCATCTGCTAGGTACTGTGTTCAATTTCCAAATAATTGTGAGGCACGACTCTTCTTCAAGTATTCAACATAATGAGTTAGCATACGGCAGGAGCTATTTGTTTGCAAGCAAAGTATGAACAGATAGTTGGCAAGCAACTATTGCTTATCTGGCTGTGCTGCTCACCATAAGACAATTCTTACTATTATACTCGATCTACCTATTCATCCTTCTTGTTTTTTATGGTATCTAGCAAAGTTTGCAGGGCTGGAATAGACGACATGATACGTTCCAAGGTTTTCTGATCAAGTTTCTCCTGCATGGTAGTCCACAACATGTTGAGAATGGTGATTCCTTGGTCGCGGTCGATTTTGAGATCACGAAACACAGCCGTGAGCTCTGCCCCCTCCTCCACACTGTCAATCATTCTTGTGACCGATTCTCCAAAGATCGGCTCAAGAAAGGTCTTGAGCATGGTCAAAATGCCAAGTAGCTTGAGAACTTGAATGATCATCCCGACAATAGAACTTGTACCACCAGTAGTAGCCGTAGACGATTTTGCATCCGACGTAGTATTAGTAGCTTGGGGAGGCGGGATGGACTTCTCTTCTCTTGCTTCTTCCTTTTGAAGCAACTTCCCGGCACCCTTGAGATGTTCCAAAATCTGCTCAAAATCAAGGCTTCCTTCGTCTGTCACGTAATTCTTCTTGATGAACTTCAAGATGGCACCCAATGCAGTCTGGGCAACATCCTCATCAACGTTCAATCTGTTTGATACATCGCGTACTAGTTGATCCATGATGATTAATGACTGAGGTTATCTTGATTTTGAATATATACTGTACTCGTAAGCAAAACCGGTTCCGTGGAAAATGAGTGTTTGTTTTCTTTTTATGTGCAGGGGCTTCTCACGATGATACCGTTTTTGAGGAAGAATTTTTAGATCCTGCCTACCGGTATGCCTGGCCATCGTCCCGACGAATAATTTTGGGGGGATTAGGCTCAAATTAATTAAAGGGACAAAAGATGAGGATCCTTCCTTTTTTATTAAAAAATATTTCCTTCGCTCGAAAACGAAAATGAAAATCCCACAGCGCACACACACTCTTTATATGATGTTCGATTTTATAATAACATTATTGTCCGGGCACGTCTTGATTTCCAAGTAGTCTTTGTTTTGCCACTAAACCAAAGCAATTTCAAGGATAAACCATGAAAGCTTCTGGCGAGGATTTCGATCCTCAAGAAGAGTTTTATGATGTCCTCCAACAAGAGATGACGCAGATTGAGAGTCTGATGGATATGGAGGACGATGATGCCTTGTTTGATTTGTTGGATGAAATGCATGACCGCAATGAGGAGGAATTAGAAGATTGGAATGAAGTCTCATTGGCTCGGTCAACTGAAGTGGATGTATCTGCTCAATCATATGAATTGACTGATATGCTGGACGAGGATTATGGTGCCATTGCCAAGGCTAACGAAAGGAATCAAAACGAGGAAGATAAGAAGACTGGTCTCGAGAAGAAGAAGAAACGAGAGCAGGGACACAAGGCTCGCGAAAAGGCTAACGCAAAGGCCAAGGCTGCTCATGAAGCTAGAAAGGCCAAGGAAAAGAAGGAACTCGAAGTGGGCGAACGAAGAGAAAACGAAGTGCAAAAGGAGCATGAAAGGAAGGAACGCGAAGCCTTCGAGAAGCGCAAGACGCAGTTGATAGAAGCAAAGGAAAATTTCGAGAAGGATAAGGAAAAGAAGATGGACATCCCTGGAAAGGCATCTACTGGAGATTGCTTAGCATCCTACAGTGGTCAACCTCCGGCATTTGAGGATGCAGATCTGGACGATGATGTCGAATCGGGCAGTGTTTCCATCGATACAGACTCTAGCGATGATTCAAAATATAGCTCGGACCACAGCGACTACCGCAATAACAACGGAGCTGTAGGAACGCCCTTAGCTGTCTCTTTACAAGATGACAGCGATTCAGAGGATTCCAACTCGGCGCCCCCAACTGCACAAAACGATAGCCGTGTCCGAATGCAATCTTCCAGCGCTGGAAGACTTAGTACTATGAGGGCCAATGCACAAACAAGTCATGGATTGTCCCCTGCAGATGAAGAAATTGCGACAAGGTTCCGAAATATGTTGACGACGGGAATGTCAATTGGAGCTGTCTCACAGCAGATGACGACCGAAGGCGTCGCACTACATATTCAGGACTCTGTTGTTGCCAATAATGGAGAGGTGCCGAGACCACCAGGAATTTCTGCTCCGCCAGCTGGAGGCATGGCATCTGCTCCAGGTGGAGGCAAGATTGTTGGGTGTACGATGACACCAAAAGGGACTACGTTTGGGGTTGTGCGGAAGAAACAGGATGCAAATCTTGGAACTCAATTCAACAATGCCGGTATCGTTATGACACCGGAAGAGGTTGCCTCCATGCGGAAGAAGCGGGGTGAATGCTTTGTATGTGGCCAGAAGTGTTTCAAGAAGAAGGTCTTCAAAATGATTCCTTTGAATATACCGGGAAAGGTACAGAAGGGAAAGTGCTTAGTATGCAACCCAAAAGACAAGGGTGCAGCTCCGGGTACTAGTCCTATAATGGCCAGGTTTAAGACAGGGCGCGGTCGAAAGGCACCTCAGAGGACTAAATCAGGGGGCGAATTTGCTGGAGATGGTGATGAACCAGTCCCAGGTTCACGAATTTCCGCATCTAGTCCTTCAACAGGACATGACTTCACTATGCATTCTGCAAGACGTGCCACATTGTCCGGTCCAGTGACAGGTCAGAGTCTCCCTGTCCTAGGTTCACGTTTGTCCACCTTTCGACCTTCAACAGGATATAACTTCAATTTCCGTCCTACGAGAGGGCCCCCAAGACCTGGTCCGGCGAGAGAGCAGGGTCTCGCTGGGAGTCCAAGTCTTTCCACACCTGAACGTAGCCCTGGACGCGACTTCGGTTTGGATAACTTTCTGGATTCAAAAGAATCCGCAGATGCGGATGATGACGGGGATGCTGCTATATCTGGTGCTGTGGTTGTATCGGAGCCTTTGATTGAAGAAACTGAAGAGGAGGAAGAATCAACGCCGCCAACAGAGTATGGTGAGGAAAATGCCAAGGCCGGTGGAAAGAAGGTCTTGGATGAAAAGAAGTCGGATGGGGACGAAGAAATAAGGGCCCGAAAAAAGAAAAAGAAAAAGGAAGATGGCGACAAACCAGAATTGGGAGGTTTCTTTGACAATTCGGCGGGAGCACTCGAAGCTGTTTCACAAGGCATACTTGCTGAAAGCGCTGCACAAATCACCCAGGACTCGGTTGCCAGCGGACTTCAACTCGACGACCTTTTCTCTCGACATGGAACCCCGATGTACGGAGGAGCCTCGCGCATTCCAATGCCACCACAACAGATTGCGGAATTGCGCAAGAAACGGGGTGAATGTGTCTCATGTGGGCAGAAGTGTGTTGATATTAAGGTCTTCAAAAAGATTCCTTTGGATATCCCGGGAAAGGTACATAATGGAAAGTGCTTGCAGTGTAAGCCATCCGAATTCCAAGAGCCAGCACGACAACATGCCACGACTATCAGGCAAGAGGATAATTACATGGATACTTCTACTGAATCTAGTACAGTCATTCCAGATGAAATTGCAATCATTCTGGAGGCCGCAACTACAGAAGCAACCACCAAATCTAAGCTTCGCCCCGAAACGTTACAATTTTTGGATACGATCCATGGCTACCTGGTCTGTCGCGGCAAGATGGATGCAAAGCATGCAGAGGTTGACGAATTCAATATCATCGCCAACCACCCACTTCAAGTTGATCCTGAGAAAATTCGAGTTTCTGCAAATGATCCATTTAGTTACAAAGCTCAATATCAACAGCAGTCTACACAGGGTCATTCTATCAAATCTCTCAAAGAACTGTACGACGCTGCAAATGCAACTGTCCCTATTTACCGTATGACAATCGACGATGTCATTAGTAAACTGCTTGCAAAACATGGAAAGGATCATGTCGATTTCACTCTGAAACTTTGTGACTTGAAGAGCAAAGTCCGGGCACAGGAGAAAGCTAAAGATGACTATGCAAAGAGAAACCCCAAACCGGCCTTTTCTTGGCTCTACGATATTGTTCGAGGAAGCGTCGAGTTTGGATCGGCACTCCATGTCACGGAATTCTTGGATATCTTACAAGAGGAACGGTCTATCGAAATCGTCAAGGCCAAGAATCGTTTCAAGAAACCTAGTCTGACTGGTTACAGAGATCTCAATATCCAGTTCCAGATTGACACAGGAAAGGGCTTCAAACATGTGTGCGAGGTGCAGATACACCACAAAGCAATCAAGAAACTCGACGAGGAGCTTCGAAGTCATGACTACTATCAATTTTTTCGATCATACTTTGCTGGGGCTACTAGTAGTCTTGAGGAGCGACTTGAATTGTTGAAGCGGATTAGCTCCAGGGGTGCGATCGATGACTTGTTCTTGAGAGATATGTTAACGACAAGCAAGGATGTTGAACGGCTAGAGAGACTCGGTGTTCTGTTCCGAGACCAGCTGTGTGAATATCAATGGGCGTTCTGTGTGTACGCAAGGCTGTTCGAGATCCACAAGGAAAAACATGGAACGAAGCATCCCTCCGTAGCCAGTACCTACAGTGGCATGGCTTTGGTGTTGAAGGAAGCAGGGAAGCTTGATGAAGCGATGGTGCTTTACAAGGAGTCCCTGACCATTTTCAAGTCCGCCTTCCACGAACAGCACTCAACTATCGCAAATACATTGTTCAATATGGCTTTGATCCTAAAAGAGCAAGGTGAGCTTTCTGAAGCCATGTCTTTATTTGAACAGTCATTGAAGATCGACAAGAAGAATCTTGGAGAGGACAACGCTGCTGTAGCAAACACATATAACGAATTGGCTACTGTATATCGAAAGCAATCGAAATTGGAGGATGCAATGTTGCTGTTCCAGAAGAGTCTCGACATTAAGAGAGACGTACTTGGGTCGGAAGACGGGTCGATTTCGGACACGCTACAGAACATCGCGGTTGTACTAAAGAATCAGGGAAAGCTGGATGAAAGTGTTGATCTGTTCCAGCAATCGATTGACATTGCCATTAAAAGCATGGGTGCGAATCACTCATCAGTTGCCGTCGGATATCGCAAGATGGCTTTGGTCTTGGAGAAACTAGGGAAAGCGGATTTAGCGCTGGAATTCTATGACCGATCACTAGCGATTTACGTGAAGAATGTTGGAGAGAAGCATCTATCGGTTGCGAGGTTATATAGTGACATGGCTTATACTTTCAAGGCACAGGGTGATCGAGGGCAATCCAAGAGATACTTGTTGAAATCAGTAAATATCAAGAGGAGGGTATTTGCAGAGCGAAGCGTCGAAAGCGGTCTGCGAAAAAAGCTGGTCATGATGAAACGGATGCCCGAGCAGCGACACTTGAGCCCTTTAAACATCGAAAAAAAACAGCTAAAATGAAGTCACAATATTTGCAGTTCTTGCAGTTTCTCAAGATTGAAGTATTTCGAGATAGCATGAACTAAAATTAATAATAGTTTAATGTTATTAGCATTAGCACGTCTCATCACATTTCATCGAATGGTACGGAACCTTCATCATCCATATCTGTGGGTCGAAAGACCATGACTCCTTGAAGGTGATCGACAGGATCCAACGCCAGCTCTGGTGCAGCATTATGGCCATCTTGTGGACCCGGCATTAGCATACTGGTCGGTTGAGTTGTGGTCGTGGCAGCCCGTTCAGTTCCACTAATGTAGCTCATGATCGATGACAGATCCCAATCATTGTCCAAGTCGCTATTTGAGACCATGGCTCCTTGAGGGTGGTCGATAGGATCCAGCCCTAACCCTGATGCAACACTGTGGTCATCTTGTGGACCGAGCACAAGCATACTTGTTGGTTGAATTGTTGTCGAGCCGGCCCTTTCAATCCCACTAGTTCCACTAATGTAGCTCATGATCGATGAAAGGTCCCAATTATCATTGGAATCTTCCTCTTTGTCTGAATACTTCTGAATGCTTGGAGGACAATTCTCCAGCGGCATTTGGATTTTACTGATTTGGTTTGAACTGGAAGAAATGTCCACATTTCCGCTGAGCAACTCGTCTCCTGGACCAAGCGCTTGAGTACTGACTGGTTCCGCTGCCGTACTCCCGAGGCCGATGCCATGAGTAACTGCATGCGCGCGTCTTAGGGGTTCTACAGGTACCAGGGCTTGAACTGATTGAAGGTTTTCGTTTTCACTGTAGCTGTACAACATTGGTGGCAGGCCCCTGTTATTGTAGGCATAATCGGTTTGCTGGGCAACAATTGGCATACTTGGGGGATGGTTCTGCGGTGGGCCTTCGCGCGTATCGAAAAGGGTCGAATGTTCAGTTGAGACTTCAAATCCGCTTGGTTGCGCCCGAATTTGCGCGCTACTTCCTCCACTTTCGACCTTGTCTTGATGCTGACGAAACCCTTCGCCCACACCGGGTTCGTATAAGCTCGGTGCTATCCCGGCCCTTTCGATCGGATATTGCATCACATCACTTGACATGCTGATTGGGTCATCGCGATGAATTGCAGCGTTGTCGCTAGATAGGTTTGAAGCTGAAGATGGGAATGTCGGAATGCTTCTTGTATTATCCCGCTCAGCATCTTTGATTTCGTCCACATTCGAAGACTTTTTCGAAAGCCTTCCTTCAAGGTTTACCTTCACAGTTGACAATATAGATGATGCACCACCTCGCAGCTTTTGAACAGGCGTCGTTCGTGACTCAGAGGCACTGGATTGCGTTGACTCCAGGTTTGCCTTCAGAGTTGACAACATAGATGATGCACTACTTTGAAGCTTTTGAAGAGGTGTTGTTCGCGACTCCGTGGCCGTGGATCCGGTCATACAACGCCGGGACAGCACGTGACATACCCAATAGATGTCCCAACGGTGAAGCTGCCGTCCCATTGTTTCACTTGCATCTTCACTCGGAAGCGGGCCCATCACCAACAACCATGCAAGCAAAAAACCCATACTGTACAGGAGAGCCATTGCTGTCACACAGCAGATAAGAATGCCAAGTTCCACCAAAGGAATTGCCCGACACCCAAAGAGAAAAACGCAGCCTCCAATTGTTGAAATGGCACTAGCACAAATCGGCGAGCCAGTGATGAAAATAGCTTGCTTCACTTTGGTCTTGCGATTAGCACTTTTCGATCTATGATAGGCATGCACGACGTGTAGTGAATAGTTGGCACTCAATCCAATGAAAATGGAAACACCCAATGCCTGGACAGGACCAAGAGCTCGATCAAGCACAAAAAACAACCACCCCGCAATGCACATGAACATTAGAATGATTGTCCCGATAACCATTGCAGAAAGCAGCAGGTTCTGAGTGAAGAAAAGAATAATCGCGAAGCAAAGCAAGTTGGCAAGTAGCCAAGTATTGACAGTTGCATCAATAGTCTCTTGAGCTCTGGCACTGTTCCAGAAAAGATCACTCTGAGCGACCATCGGAGGAATATCGCTGGGAGCCTTCTCATTCATTGTGTCTGAAAATTCTGTCCATTTGCTGAATGACCCAAGAGATGACGATGCACGGGACTGGAATGTGACACTAGCGTATAGAGGCTGCCCAGCGAGGCCAGGAAGAGAAGTTCCAATCTCATCCTTCACAATTTCTTCGAAAGCCGGATCCTTGAACTTGAGGATTTCCACGTAACTCGTAAAGAGTTCCTTTTGTATCGGAAATCCGCCATCTTGTTTCCTGGCAAAGTCGGCCAGCATCTCTATCCATGTGGGCTCAGAAGATATGGCGTTGAGACTTTTGGTAGCTCTAGCAGCCAGCACCACTTCCAAAAGCCACTGTTGATTGGCTGGTTTTGTTACATCAAAACCAGAAACGCCAGCTAGAAGGGACTTCTCGTCATCCTCAACCTTCTTCATGCTGCTCTTGACTCTCCACGGGCCAGTGGTATCGGTGCTCTGTGTATCGATCCCCCACAGCAGTTTAACTGATGTTTCTACCAAAGAACTGGTCTCGTTCCCTGTGTTTATGCCCGGTGTCTGACTGGGAGTCGGAGCAGTTGGTCTCATGGTCGGTGAAGCAACTGGTGTACCACCTCCAATGCCTCCTCCACCACCGACGCCATTGCCGTCATTTGGCGTTGGTGTCACTCCGCCAGTGCCTCCGCCGGATCCAGTCCCACCGCCATTCGAGCCTGCCCCACCGCCTCCGCCATTTGAGTTGGTGCCACCTCCAGTGCCTCCAGTACCCCCTGTTGTCCCACCACCACCTACAGATCCACCTCCCCCGGTGGAACCGCCATTTCCCCCAGTCCCAGGATTGCTACCTGGGTTTCCACCTGAGTTCCCACCCGTTCCACCGCTGAAACCACCACTTCCACTTCCAGCATCACCACCGATACTTCCAACACTTCCGCCAGTACCCGAACCTCCTACTGACCCGATTGATCCGCCCAATGAAAGTGATGCCGGGTCGACTTGACTGTAGTAGTTATTCTGAGAGAAAAATTAGAATAGATCACTGGCAGCTTGCACAGAAACAAGTTAGTGAACACATACCTTGATTGATGTTAACCGGCCTTGATTGTATTCATTCGAAAAAATAATAATCGAACCATCAGTGAATTCGAGATTTGCAAGTCCAAGACTGCCAATGATGATAGCAAACAGGATAGATAACGCAAGAATTGGTATCCGTCTTCGGACAAGAAAAGGAGCGTAGCCGTTGTAAAGTATCCTGTCCATCAAGCCCAAAGAAGACGGTGCAGCAATTTCGCCAAGGTTCTCATTTCCATTGCTGTGGCGTGGATTTCCCGTCGATTCATGCCTGTGCAAGCTTGCTTCCACATCGTAGCCGCTTTTTCTTCCTGGGGCTCCATTGTTTTCATAGGAACCATTTAGATCAGTACTGGCAATATCTTCATCTCCCTTCTTTCCCCCCGAGCAACAACAGCAGCAAAATGGTTTGAAGTATATCTCATTCACCAATATAGCACTCGGTAAAATAGTCATCACATGGAAAAAGTTGATCAAAACAACCATTCCCATGTAGATACCAAAGTCTTGGATCACCACCAGCACTCCAAAGGCATTGCTAAAGAAACAGACTGCAGCCGTCATACTCGAGACAAGCATCATTCCTCCTGCGGTCGAGTAAGCCCATAGCATTTGCTTTCTTATCTTTTCGACGCGGCTTTCTTCTCTTCCATTTGCATCTGGGTCTGCCGAACTCTCGACAAACGATGAATTGGATTGGTTTTGGTTCTGGTTTGATCCATCTTCTTCGTCTTCTTCTGCGACCATACCGATTTTGGCGTGCTCATAAGAGTCAACCATCAAAAAGATGTCGTCTGCACCGATTCCCAACATCACAAACAAACCGGCGATATGAAGGAGAGTAATTTCAGGAATGCCAAAATGAGCCGTGCACCAGTAGTACGAAGTTGTAAAGGCAAGGATCAACCCGAGCATTCCGAAAAAAAAGACGAAAAAGTCTTGCACTTTCAAATAAATCATAATTCCAATAACCACCAAACTTCCAACACTCCAAAGGGCATCGTGAAGCAAGGCTTCATTGGCTTCTTGCTGCAACAAGAATCCGTTCTCCCAGGTGAAAACCAAGTTCGGGTAATACCTTTCTTGGTCCCGTTTGATCAAAAAGTCCTCATAAAAGCCTTTCAAGAATGAATTCACAGCTTCGCTGCTTTCACCTTGAAAGTAGATGAAACTCTTGGTCATATTACTCGCCAAGTTGTTGGGAATGTTAAAGTACTGATCGACTTTTTCGGGAGTTGCCTTTTCCGCCAAGGTCCCCTCAATGTCATCTACAAACGTTCCATCAGCCTCTAGTAGCCAGGACAAGGGAGTTCCGAACCGGCAGGATCCGTCTGACAAACGCCGACAGAACTCTTCATAACGCGGATACTCTATCACATCTCGTTCAAACTGCTTCAGTTCCTCGAGCAATGTCGGTGTAAAGACGTTACCACCATTTCGTTTCTCGTAGATCACCTGCAATGTTGTTCGGTAAAGTGCTGGTCGTTGTGAAACTCCATCATCTCCGCCTTGCAAATGACGGCTGGTATTCGCATCACTTTCGCTTGATTGGCCTTCCAACCATGCAAGGCTTCTTCGGTCGTCCGGTTTGTAGATTCCCCAATCTCCAAGGGCATTGCAAATAAGATCCGCCTGTTTCGACGAAGTCTCCTGAAATGCAACGGCACCATCATAGTTATCAGAAACAATAGTTACGCCACTGGAAATCGCAAGATAGGATTGAAAGTCTAGGTTGATGTTGACCGTGTATCCAGCCCGCGAAACGGCGAGCCAGCTCAAAAAGATTGGTATGCCAAGAGACACCAACAAGAAGCATCGTGGATAGTGCGTCAAGGCATACAACCAGATCTGGTAGGGGCCAATGGGTGGTGGGCTATTCTTCTTGGACCGATGATACCGCAGCGCAAAGTAGACCATGTACGCGAATACCACAATAGCAACACAAATCACAGCGACTGCCAGCCAACTGAGACGTAAGGTAACCTCATCATCTGTACCAGTATCCTCACCATTGCCATTCAAGACTTCTTGAATTGACAAAGAATCACCATCGCTTGCATCTGATGATGCAAAAGAGGAACCACCAATTGCTGGAGCTTCCGCATAAGTCCAAGAGAGCTGCCGCACCACTCCTTCTAGAAACTTTCCAAACGACTCATCCTCGTTGTCCCGAGGAAAGGCGTATTTGGGACATTTCTCAAAAGCATTGGAACTGTAGTCACTCGATGGAGTAAATCGATGAAAGCGATCACCCCTGGCCTGTTCCATCTCCCGCAATAGTTGCTCTTCCAATGCCGCATTCATGCCGCCATCGGACGAGGATACCCACACATGGTGCACCGAGCTCGGCGCTCGTCCCACAAAGTATTTCAAATCATATGGCAGGTTTCCAAATGGTAGCTCCACAGCTTCCAAAACTGTCTGGAAGGTTTCGAATTGCGGCAACGCGGGATGAAAGAGACTGGCTCCCTCCACCACCACCAGAGCCGATTCCATGGTAGTGAAATAGGAGGCCGCCCGATTGGCAAAGATTGCCGACGCCACACTTGCGGATGCTTCTTGCGGATTGGATAAATCGCAACCTCCAATACTCCCTCCTGCCACTGTCACGAGACCCTGCAAACCGGTCATAGCGGGCACGGCACCAAAATAAAAATCTTGCCAACTAACCTCTTCCCTTCCAAATTGCCGGACTACCCACGCCAAAACCGCGTCTCGGTTGGCCGCCCCACGGTGTTCCAAGCGTTCCGTGTCGCATCCCGTAACATGTCCCTGTTGGCCGTATCCCAAATGCCAATCCAAGGTGCAATGCGGAATCAAAATGTAACTCCAATCTTTCATATTATTGTTGTTGTTGCCGTTGTCAATCTTGTCCCACCAACCTGACTCTTGTCGTTCCATGAGTGGAACGTCAAAAGCAGTCGTATTGTCAAACAAGGAGGACGTCAGGGTGGAAACAAAATCTGGAACCACTCCATGGCACGAACCCAATCGTGGCAAGGCCTGATCGTCCGTGTCATTGTAAGCTTGGGCATAGTCTTGCCAAGGAACCTGACGGTCTGAAGCATCACACGAACATTGGTTCCCCCAACAGGCGGGGCCACCTTCAAATTCCACAATCAATTTCCGGTAATGTTCCGGTGAGCCTTTGCGAAACAAAAAGGAAAAGTCGGACCGATCGCCGCACATGGGCGACAAAACTCCAGCAGGCAGGAGGGATTGCAAATCTCTCGGAAACTCAATGAAATAGGATCTATGAGATTGCATGCTCTCAAGAACATTCTGATCCGCGTGGGAAAATCCATTCAGCAGGGCGTTTGGTTTGTAGAACAACGCGTTAGTGCATTGTGCGCAGAAGAAAGAAATCAGAAGAAGAAAACTCGGCAAATGTGGTGTCATTTGTTGTTGTATTCTCATTGTAGCTTGTGTGTATGTGTGTATGTGTGTGTGTGTGTGTTCTCGTTGTTATTGTTATTGATTCGCTTTATTCTTCTATAGCCATTTGGTTATTGATTTTATTCTTTTGACTGCATCCAACCAAACGATTCGAGTAATGAATGGAAAATGAATGGTGCAATTCCGCGGTGATGTCAGCTCTTATTTTTATCCTGTCTGAAAGAGTTGCCGATTTCATCATGTGGTTCGTCGATTTGGGACTCGAACTTGTCAAGCATTCACCCTTTCAGTAGGGAGTTGCACCAATCTATTTTTTCAAGACGAAAAATACGACATCACTAGCGCGAGGGGGTCGTTTCAAACAAAAATTCCGCGTGCCGATCTTGCGAAACTGGAAAACCGCAAAAGGAGTCGTCCGTCATCATTTTTAAAATTTATAAAAATAGTGGCATTACGCTCTACAGTAGCGTCTCTGCTTTGTTCTACTTTATTTACATTATAATATATGGGTTGGTATCATTATTATAAAATGAACCAGATGTCAGTATAGTGATGCAAAGGTTGGGATGCATTTCTAGCATAGTGTACTCATACACTAGTTCTGATAGTACTAGTAGCAATTTGCTCTTGTTTACGTCACTGATATTATAATATATATGTCATACTCAACCAGATACTTTTTAAAAAGGAATGCAAAAGTTTTGAATGTGTTTATAGTTCTACAGTCATACCGCTTCTATCCTCGCTTGCTTGCTTCTTGTGTAGTACACGTACTAGTAGTACTAGTAGCCTACAATATTACAAGTTGGTCACTGCCACCAAATCTACTTCGTCACAGGCAACTCGTCCCGATTCTCTGGTCGTTCCCAATCGACCAATGATCATGGAACTAAAGCCCTTTTTAATCAACAAACTCACATCATGCTTCTTTTCGGCCACAAATTGTACCGTGGCGTCCTTTCCACAATCTGCCAAGATGGTCCCTCGTCCACCCTTGTGATCATCAATGTAACCAGTCAAATCATAAATGACTCCATACAAGGCATACCAACAAGAATTTGCATCCGGGTGTTGGGCGACGTCCTGCACAGTATAAAATTCCATGGGGCAACCCCAAAGTTCCGTGGGCGGAGCCGTGGTCGGTCTTTGCGTCGGTGGAGCCGTGGTGGGTCGACTGGTGGGAGATCGGGTGGCACCACGTTCGGTAGGAGCCATGGTAGGCCGCAGAGTGGGAGGAGATGGAGCTCTTGTAGGGGATCCGGGTGTCTTCGTGGGAGCCATCGTGGGAAAGTCGGTCGCTTCAATTTCTTGCAAACTTCCCAATAGATATTCGTCCACAATTGGCAACATGACAATGGAATGCTCAAAGTCATAGGCAGTCGTGGCGTCCGTTCCACAATGACGGGTAATCAACGTTGGCAATCCTGGATGAATGGGGGCATATTGTGTCATGTCATAGACATTGCCGTGAATCGTCATCCAACAATCGTCTGCCGAAGCGTGGGATTGAATGGTGGCCATACTTACCATGCCTTGAAAATTGTCATGCTGCGATTTGCCTCTTGTCAAATCAATGTCGTCCTCTTGCAAAAAGAAATAGGCACCCAAGGCAGCTGCCACAAGGGTCAACATTCCCAAGACAAAGGAAACCAATCGCGAATAATTATTGGGTTGGCGTTGCAAATCTTGATAATCTTCTTGAAAGATGGGATCTTGTTTGAGACTATTCTTGAAAGTACTGCTGATAGGAAGAGGTGGTGGTGGAGGTGGAGGAGCCTCACTGCCATATGGAGAAAAGTTGCCTTGTGGTGCCATGGTGCTTACAGTAATCTTCTTTTGTGGTTGTGGTAGTGGATGGAGGAGAAAGATGTGAGTGGGAAATTGCCGCAATTTCATGACTGTTTGTTTCCCAACGGCAGCAAAACACGTCGGCTTGCGAACCACAAATGCCGACAAACTTCCGTTCAAAGACATTAGACAGTGCTCTCAGCTGTTCCGCGCTCCTTGAATACTCCAGTAATGATGCCATTCCTCAATTTTCACTTATTGTCACTGGGTCCCGGTCGTTGCACTTATGGTTGAAACAGGATAGCGCTACTTATAATTAGGGTTAAAATAAGATGCAACTAGCTTCATTTTACCGTCAGAAACACAATTTGGCACGATTCTTTCTAGTAATTCGGAGAAAGTGACGTAAATACCAGGCAAAATGATACATTTATGATCACACGCTGAAAAGTTGTCCGTTGAAAAGCATTATTGGACCGCCAATGCTGGTATACGTCGGCAGCTACAGAAATAAGTCCTTTTCGTTATATCCGGCATCATCCTCACTATTTTTCTGACGATCAATCAAAACAGTAATAACACACCCATCATGCCCAAACCTCATCGCATCAAGAAGAATGATGCTGCTTCAACCACCCAGCAGCACGTCATCCCTACAAGAACTTACAAGCCGCATCAAACCACCAGCTTGGAATCTCCGCTCTTGCATCTGATTCTTCAACCATGCCTGAGTTTCTTGCAGCCACTCTTGGCGAGTCTCTATCGACTTCGTGGCATTCTGGCACATCCCACGAGAATCAACGTGGTTCCTGATTTCATGGCAGGCTTCTTGCCAGCTCACCTTGCCTCTACTGCAGTGGGAGACTTGATTTTGTTAGTTCCCATTCTGACCTTTATTTTGCGTGGCGCCCATTACACCTTTGTGTCGCCCTCGTTGGAATTGGGTGGCTACATGTCGGCCTACTGCATCTTTGTGGCGTATCTAACAGCCAGCAAATCTAATTCCCTCTTTACCTGGTTGTTTGGAATCCCATACGAGCGTCTCATTGGATTGCACTGGTTCGCCTCTGTGTCAGGAGTCGTCCTGGGTGCCTTTCATTGTTATGTGTCCTATGCGTTTGGAGGAGATGATGATGGAGACTCGCGATTCTCCAAAGCCTTTGTGGGAGGGACTCCCAACTTGGGCCGATTTCTCTTTGACGGGGTAAACAATTCGTCGGGAACCATTTTGCTAACGTCCATGGGAGGCATGGTCCTGATGAGTTTCTTTCAATTCCTCCGCCGCTATGCTTTCAATATTTGGTATTTGCTGCATGTGGTCTTTGGCATTTTGATTTTGATCATGTTGTTTGTTCACAGTGTTCCATCAGCTGCTTTTGTCACGGCCTGGTGGGCCTTGGACTTGGTTGTTCGATATGCTGTCATGGCCGGCCTCCAAAATGTGACTCGCGCCAAACTACGCATTCTTGGAAGCAAGAAGAAGGGGGCTCGTGTGGTGGAACTCATTGTCAAGAAACCGAAAGGATTTCAATACAATGCGGGACAATTTGTTCGCTTGGCGGTGCCAGCAATTTCGGCTGTGGAATTCCATCCCATTTCCATTGCTTCAGCTCCCGATGAACAGTATGTTGTATTGCAAATTCGAGAGTTGGGAGATTGGACAGAACGCTTGTGTCAATTGGCCGAAACAACCGAGTTTACAGATGTTCTGCTCGAAGGTCCCTATGGGGCAATGTCGGTTGACTTGGAAGACGACAATAAATACACAATGGTGTTGTGTGTCTCGGGTGGCATCGGTGTGACACCCTGTCAATCCGTTGCGAAGCATCTCTTGTTGAAACATCGACAAGAAGGCCGTCACTTGAAAAAGCTAAACTTTGTTTGGGCAGTCCGTGACTTGCAAATGGTCCAAGATATGCCTCCCTTGTTCCTGGGATCGACACCAAACTCGATGGAGGACGAGGAGGCGAATATTACTAATCCAACTATACCAAGAGAAAACTACTCCAAGTCCAGCCCCGAGTTTCAACGAATGATGGAACGATCGGATGACCTTTGCAGTGGTGCGATGGATACTAGAGATTCATCACAATCCACAACTCACCCATTGGATATCGCAAAGCTGCCCCGTCGTCCTGCAGTGGTCCAAGCGGACATTTATCATACTAAGAGAAGCAGCAGCAGCAACAGCAACATGACATCAAATGGGCAGCTTCCGTACAATTTGTACAGTGGACGACCCGATTTGGATCGAATCTTTGACGAAATGAAACGAAGTGCCATTGCCATGGGAGCGAGCAATATTGCTGTCATTGGATGTGGTCCACTGGCACTGATAGAGTCTGTGCAAGAGGCTTGTCGCAAACACAGCTCCAGTGTTTTAAGCACGGGGGGTGATGCAGTCTTTTTCGACTTTCACAAGGAACATTTTGAACTATAAGCAATACGATGCTGAGTCATCTTTTTCTTTTCGACGATTGGACGAAAAGAAAAGCGGAGCTGATGTCCTGCTCTATTATTTTTGGCTCGAACTGGACCATTGAAGTGATGTTTGTAAAAAGAGGTTGACAACACAAACGATGAATAGATGACACAAATAGAGCATGCAGAGAACACCCCCAACGTCAATGGTACCGAATGTGAAACCTGACACAATGGTCGTTGTCACTTGTACGGCGAAGTCCTAGCTATAATTGAAACCACTAGACACGAGATGTTCAGAGAACTGGTCGCTAGGGCATGTAAAGATTTATTTATTTCATTGTGGGGCGGAGCGGCGCCTCAAATGTGTCCTGGCAGCACTATATCGTAGCCAATCTGTTTCTGTTTCATTTTGTCTTGCTGGTCTCCATACGCAAGCGGCAACAATTATTGAAAGAGCAACTGGAAAACGATCCTATCCTAAGGCACCAAACTCTGTTTCAATTATTCGAAGTTGCTGATACTGTGTAGTGACGTTCTTGCGAACGATGATCAGAAATCAGAATTTGCAGAACAAGATCAACTCTTTCAAGCGTCAACTTATCTACTACGGTTTTGATAATCTTGGCAATGGTATTTTCGCTCATCCTTGCTTCTTGAAGGACAAGCGGCACCAATGTGGCCAGATCAACCACACAATTCCCACCAAGAGCCAACGTGAGGGGAAAGCATTGATCTCATCGAGACGAATTCGTGGAAAGGGAGCCAAACATGCCCTTCGTGAAAGATTGGAGATACCTGGTGCTGCTTCTAGTTATCCGGATACTAAGACCACCAAGAAAGAAGCCCCAATCGATCGCAAGTGAAGATTCCTATCGTCGTGTTACGATATTGAATATGCGACAGATCCCACATGTTCAACACTCAAAGTATACATGATAAACTAATGCGTGAAGGTAATCGGGGCTTCTATATAGATCTAATCGACACATAAAGCATCTCACATTTTAAAATAATCAGCCACCAGCAGTTTCTATTTTGATAACATTCCCAGTGGCATCGGTTCGAGATGCGGCTGCTTTGCGATTCAAATTGACGGACGAAACCCAGATGTTTCCCTGAAGCCAGTCGGCAATGGTACTAGAACTGCGCCTCGAGAGCTTGGCATTGGCAATAACTTTGCCTTCAGAGCATAGCTCCATCATGGTACCATCTTTCAGAGCTATCCATTTGACAGAAGTAAAAGTTGAACCAGCAACCGATGAGTCATTGACGGCAGCACCATTGGGATAGTGTGTAATACTGCCATTTTTGTAGACCACAACATATCGTTGGTTCCAAAGAAGGGGAGTTCGGCGGCTTCGGATACATAACCAGCCTTTGTGAACCACATTGGTGGATCCCTGTGGTATCCCTTGTAACTTGTGCTGGATAGTAAAGTCAATATGCTCCACCTTTTGGTTCAATCCTTCCAACTTTGTTAACTTCGAACTCATGTTTTCCAAGTGTGCTATTACTGCACTATCAGCGCTTGTAGACATGAGTGAATTCGTCCATACTTCTTTTTGCTGTTCAGAGATCTCTTTTTTAGGACTACCGGCCAGTGGTGCTAAGGAAACGGCAATCTCAGGTTCCATTTCGACGTCTTCAGAAACGGCAATCTCGGGTTCTATTTCAACATCTCCATTGGTCGAGACTCTCTTTTCAGCAGCTCCGTTTTCTTCTCGAGCTCTAGCAGCCAATTTGGCTTTTGCCTTGTCCATTTCTTCTATTGACATTTCAAAGCATTTCGATCCAAACTCTTCAAATAGTGGCGCCACGTCTGGGTGCACATATTCCGTTCCATCCTTACTGAATGCCTGGACAAGACCACAATCCTTGAATCCTTCGTCGTCAATGAGCGAACCAATGCCATCATACGAATCTTGAAGCCTTGCTCTCTGGCTGTCTGTCATGTCACCAGAAGGGCCTTCAGCCGAAGCGTCGCTGTCTACTCGGTCAGTGAAATTCTCCAGCAAGATATCAGCAAGGCCATCCTCCTCTTCATCGCCTCCCATTTCGTCAACAAGCAGACCTTGCATCTCTGCAAAGAGATCCGAAGTCTCCAGCAATTCTTCCTCCGCCCCACTTAATGATGGCAGGGGGAGGCCGAATCCACGACCAATGGCCAGTCCCACCTGGACAATCTTCAGGCCGATGAGAATAGCAGGTCCATATTTCTTGATCCAATCCCTAGGCATATCAATATCATACCCAATCGCTTCACCATCAGTTCCCAGAACTGGCTCCAACGATATTGGGCAGATGAAACATAGCCTTGCCTTTGTTTTGAGCAAGTTGCTTGGATTTGTGGCTTTCTTCATCTTTGACAGAAACCCGGAGAAACGTTTTTCTTGATGGACTTCTTCGGCCACTGGAAGAATCACAAAATACTTTGGTGATTTCCCTCCTTCAATTATCTCTTTTAACAGACTATTCGCTGCCTCTTGATAGCTTGTGACTCGCCTTAATGATTCGTGGATCTTGGAAAATCCATTTTGCATGATTTGCCGATTCTCAAGGATAAGACTTTGCGTCTTGCGTATCTCTTCTCTCAGCTCTTCTGATAATCCAACATTCTTGCCCGGGTGGAAGAAGTCATCCTTGAGAATATTCTCCATCGACGGTCGCTTCTCTGGGTCGCGTTGAAGAATTCTCTTCAACAATGCTTTTGCGGCATTATCTTGAATATTCCTTTCAAGAACAGTCTCAACATCATATTCTCCCCAATGATGCAACTGCCGCATCGAATTACCATCAGTGATATCGTCATCATTGTTCACCCTGAACAAAGGCTCCTTGCTGCACATCGTATACAAGAGAACCCCAAAAGACCAGACATCGAATGAACTATCCGCAAGAACGAGGTCATACATCGAGAACTTCTCGGTTTGAGCCACACTTTTCCTTTGACTGACCATCTTTCCAGTCTCTGGATGCACAAATGTTTCCTCGATCTCCTCCTCCAAGAACGATCTAACAGCGTATCCTCGAATCGTAGGGCTTGTACTGAACTTTGGAGCACGCTTTCGCTGCTCTTCTTCGTTCTCATCCTTAAAGTATGAAATGTATTTCTCCTTCTCCTCAAAGTCGACCAGCGGGTAGATCATTTCAGGAGGAAGGACACCTGACGAGTATTTTGCACCAGCGAAATCCTCACCCATCTGAGCAGAAGCATCCAAGTCGATCAATGCCAAGTGTCCATTGATGCGGACGACGTTCAACATTTTCAAATCCCCGTGTAACAATCCGTGCTTGTGTAGGTATGCAACCGCCTCTCCAATTTCCTTTGCCAGTGTTCGGACTGTGGTCGTATCTGGCCGCTCACTTCGAAAGATGGTATCCAAGTTTCGATCCCCGAACGGCATAACAATCACGTGCTTGTATTCCTCCGGAACGTCTGACTCGGATAGATGCGATCGTAGAAAGCCGCCCAACGCGGATACAAGTCCACTGCTGTTGTTCTCGTCATGATTTCCAATGACTCCAACAACAAATCTCTTGTCCAACTCCTTCTCGTCCCGCCCCCTTATTTCTCGCAAATACTGGTCTTGCCTTCGCATAAACTTTAGAACTATAGTTTTCCCAAACTCTTCCAAGCAGAAGTGAACAAATTCTGGCCTAGAGATCGATCCATCATTATCTACATCCACCCTTGTGACATAATCTTGGATGATTTCAGAATCGTTCGAAACTACCAGCAGATCCTTCAGCGCTTCTTGAAATTGCTCTCGGCTCAACTCGTCTGGATTATCATCATCGCCCCCGCTATACTTGTCAAATTCGGCCCCGTAATATTGACTCATTTTGGTGTCCTCCGCTTTAACTACTATACAAGTTGCAGACTTGTGAATTGGTGGACCCGAAGCAAGATCGTACCGTCCAAGAAAGAGGAGCCTCTCTTCAAAGACAGAACGGATGTGAGACTTGGCAAATTTCATTGCCAAACGGCCATCCAAATCCTTTGCATTTGCTAAGACTCGGACTATGGTCAAATCGGTTGCCTTGATGAACGAAATGAGTTTCTCGCTTTCTTTAGCATCGTTTCCGACATGATTGGCAAGGAATTGAACCCATCCATGCTGCTTACGAACTGGCGCAGGTCGGCTGGATGATTTCTCAATGATCGAGTCGACGTAAGCTTCTTTGACAGCTTGGAGTCTTTTTGATTCAGCACTTTCATTGGTCAGCAGCTCGGAATCTTTGATGGGACTCAACGAATACATTTGCTCCATCTTTTCTTCCAAGCCAAATGCTTCGACTGGATAGAGTGTTACTAGTCGAATTGCAAGCGCTAGGTTGTCTCCTGCGATATCAATGGATATCAGCATGGAACATTCCTGGAAAACATCAGTTCCAAAGTTTGTGACAGTCCGTGGTATCTCGATGGTCAAAAGAGAAGCGCATTTGGCGAAGGCTGTATTCATGATTGTTTTGAGCACTGCTGTCTTTGGAAAATGGATGTCCGCTAATAACTTGCAGCCTGAGAATGTGTCTTCGGATATCACTTCTAGATTGGGCGGCATGTGCACAGATGTCAGACTTTTGCAATCGTAGCAAAGGGAATCAGGGAGTGTTTGGAGCATCAGCGCCTCGCTCATATTCATAGTCTTCATTTTATTTCCACTAAAAGCACCGTAGCCGACCTTGTCCAGTTTTGGTGGAAATTTAACATCGCCAATTTGACAGGAATCAAAGCAATATTCTCCAAGAAACTTGAGTTCTTTGGCTCCGTAGAGATCCAAGTCATCAAGTGACTCGCAGTATCCAAAGGCATTCTTGGCGATAATCTTTACGCCTGGTGGTAGTTTGGCTTTTTTTAGCATCTTGCATTCGTAAAAGCAGTCCGTTGGGATCCGAGTCAGAGAAATAGATTGGCTCAAGTCAACATTCAAAAGCTGACCACAGGTGCTGAATGCCTCGTTACCCAACTTGGTCAAACTCTGCGGGGCGATCAACTCTTTCAAGGCATTACAATGCATAAAGGCTTTTGTGCCAATCTCTTCCAATAGGATGGCTTCACTGAAATCGACTTCTCTCAAGTGTTGACACTCTTCGAACGCACCGTCGTCAATTTTGACAACCGATAAATCAACTTTCACAGAGAGGACATATTGTGGGATCTTTTGTCCTTCACCAGTGTATACAAAGTTCTCAATTCCAACCGGTCCAGAAGTGGTGGTCGGTAGTGTTGTTTCCTTCATCATGGAACAACGGGCGAAGACTGATTCTTCCATTCGTTCCATAGAACCAACCTTTGAGAAATCCGCTTGCTTCAGTTTTTCACAGCCTTCAAAGGCCTTTTTCTCAATCACCGTCAAGGTAGAAGGGAAAATGGCTTCTGTAAGTTCCATGCACTCGACAAAGGCAGACTCTCCAATGAATTCCAAAGAATCGCCAAATGTCATGGTTGTCACTGCATAGCAGTTCTCAAAGGCCTTCTTTCCGATTGTTTTCACGTTTGGTGACAGGTGCATTTCTTTCAGACTATCGCAATTTGCGAAAGCCGAGTTTCCAATGGATTCCAGCGCCATGGCCTCGCTGAAATCCACCTCGACGAGTTCGTCATAAGAATCAAACAATCCATGGGGTATCGCTTTCAAAGAGGCGTCAATTTTGATACGCTCCACGTCTTTGGGAGGCTTGGAGGTGCCATCGTACACAAAGACATCATCTTGGTCGTCTCCCATTTTTGGCCTATTATTATGGAGCTTGTAGATGTGGTGCTTTCGCAGTGAGGTGCCTGCTTATGGTCATCCGGAACGTTCCCAGATCACGTACGCTGGATGTGGTCACCTCCACAAAGATATTTTCATTTCCGAATGCGGGGATCGAGACCGCACACGCCGATCCAAAACAGAAACGTGACTGCTGGCGAAGATTCCTATTTCGTGAATCCGCCGACTTCTTTGATCATAGCTACAAAGTACCTTAAAAAAATATGTATAGTACCTCGGACAAGTAAAAGCAATCAGTACAAGATGGTATAAAAATATGTTCTATAAGTAAGCGTAGATGTAAGACGTATGGGTGCCGCTTCCGGTGTGTACCACTCAAGCTAATGGTGGAACATCCTTCAATAGTTGACTGCCAGCATGCATTGGTGTATTTTTTCTTTTTGTTTTCTATAATGAATCGTATATGCAAGTTTTCGCTTCCATCAGCAAAGGCCCTAAATGTGGAAAGAATCAATGTTGGGTGATGTTGCTGGAATTTGAAGGGTTTGTTTGTAGTATTCTTGTTGGTGCATTGTTTGTGCGATCACCCAGCACTTTTCGACGTTTGCCAGTTGTAGATGGTGCTTGTTGCGTAGTTGTACTACTATGCTGCCTGTTATGGTGGTGCACAGAGGACGTGGCCATTGTAAATGTCGAAGCGAGAAGATCCCTGGATGGCCAACTAAAAGTTGTTCCATTCATGTTGGGGGATATCGTGTAGTTGCTTTGGACACTGGCATTTTCATCAAAGTCTGTCGTTGTTGTATCAAAGGACAAAGTGCCAGAAGTTATCAAGGTTGGAATTTCCCACATGTCATCGCCATCGCTTGACGATGATGAGATGGGTTGCCAGGACACTTGTCCATCACTTGTTGGGCGGGTGACGAATTGTTCTTCAAAGATTTGCATGGTTGTTCTTGTTGCTGTTGTCGTTGGAAAAGAAGGTGGGACTTGTTGGTTTGTGTAGCGTTGAGCAAAATAAACTTTGTGATTAGCAGTTGTTGGATTTTTGTTTCTTGACCGTTATCAGTTTTGTGGCGCCACGGGTTGGTTGTTGTGTGTGTATGATACGATTACTTTGTGGATTCGGTTCTGGATAATTTTTTAGTGGGATTCGGGCATTACATATGCAATTGCTTACTCACACAATGGCCCAAGATTGGGTGCACATTACTACATTTGGCGATCGCCACTTCATCAACGGCGAAAACGAACCGGCGAATCGGTCAACTCGCGCGACATGGGAATGCAAAACTGCCGATAGGAAAAACCAATAATGGGACCGAAATCTTTCATGTGTGATACTCGTCTTTTATGCCATTCTCATCTCAATCGTGGTGACAACGAAAGAAATCGCTCATATCCAGCCAGGTTCGAGGTGAGGTGACTGACGAGCCTGGGAAAAGCCATGTTCTGAATTTATGCCCAGAAGACTCAGTACACAGTATTGCTAGAGGCCAAGTTTACTTTGCAAACCAAGCCTATGATGCCTCTCAAAGTTCTCAGTTGGAAGGATATGAAAGATTTGTCTTCAATCTCACTGGCAAATAGCCGAATTCTCGCTGGAATTGGACGAATTTCTCAGATTCTCGATTGTCATTAGCCTTGAGCGAGAACCCTTGGATGCTCTAAAGACTGTTCCGCATACTAATACTGCTTGGATCCGATCTACCGCACGCTACGTCTTCTCGTTTCTCCTCACTGATCACCCATCGAGAAGTACCGGTAGGCACAATATGAATATGCAAATTCTCGCTCCAATGTGACGTCATCAGTATTTTGGCGACGTCACAGACTACCGGTATGTACCAATGTTGTCGTAACAGTGGAAGAACCAGTGGGACTGCACAAATCTTCTCACTTTTTTGATACGAAGTCATACTAATATTTGTTTCTATCCAGCATCACACTCAGTGGTCACAATTTCAGTTCACTGGTAGTTGTAATACTTGCACCACCATAAAATTGCTTCTTACAGCTTTCTTGCACAATGGCCCTACAACTGTTCATGAACGACTTGATGGAAGAATCAGGAGCACAGTCCATCGTTGTTGTCGCAGACGATGTGACCAACCACACTATTGAGAAGCGGGTATCACTTTTCAGATCGCTGCAACTGGAGCGGCAAGACAATAACAGCAACGGCAGAATATCACAAGATCATGGGCCGGCGTGTTCCTCCTCGCCGTGTCAAGTTCGAAGAGACGAAGGAAGCACTGGATCGCTTCAAGATATGAGAGTGAAAAGGGAGCTGCTTGAGGATATGAAGCGCCTTTCATGGGGAGAGCAGCGTTTGCTGTCTCATCGATCAAGCCCAAGAACTCTGAAGCGAATGTCATGCTTTTACGAACCAAGAAATGATGCATAGAATACGTCAATAGAAGAAGATAAGAATTAGAGGATTAGAGTATTAGATTTTGCTGTATTTTTCCAAAACTACAATCCATATCCTGCTCTTGAGACGGGCTAATGGAGCAGTCTACAACCAAGGTGCGTTCTCAGAGTTGAACCACAAATGGCATAGTAGCATCCATCCCAAACACAGCAGGTCTAAAACGCAAAAAATACCCAACGGAGCAAGTCCTTTAAACACGAGAATTCTAAACTGCAAAGTGCTGAAGCAGTCAAGTTCATATCAAATTGCCCGCAGGCATCAAAACTATAATTATTGTGGTGATTAATTGATCGCTTCTTCTTGTTCTAAAGAGTGCTGTATAATTGTCGTTGCTAAGCAGCCAATTCTTTCAAACTCGCTGTTTGAATGGTCTCTATTCGTTGGTTCTTTACTTTGATATCCGGCGGCTTCTTGGTGCAACCTCTGAGTAAAAGAGTTCCAGACTGCTCCTGTTGGAATCATCATGCTGCTGATCGAGTGTACTATTAGTAGCAGCAGTAGTACTATTGGTGGTACATCTTGCTATTGAGACAAGATCATCGTTGCTGCCTTTCCGTGATGGTCGGCTGGGCAGTGAGCTTGACGGCGTTGCCATGCAGCAGCCACCAGGAGCGGTGGTGGGACGAAACGTGGGGTGTCTCCTCGTACGACTGCGTCTCTTCGGCATGGTCAGTTTTGGGTTTTGAGTGATTCGTGCATCATCTCGAACCAACTGAGCGTGCTCCATGCCTTTGGTGGCCATGAGTTCCGAGAAGTAGATATGTAGTGCCATGTTTATTTTCTGGAAAAGACTTTTGTTTCTTGTGAGAAAGGTCTGTACCGGTATTGTTAGGAAAAAACTTTGATCAACTGTTTTGTGGGAGGAAAAAACTTTGATCAATGCTTGCTTCTGTGGGAATGGAGAAATAAAAGCGGAACAGATGGAATGCGGGCTTTTTGTTGCTCAGAATTCCGATGGTCTCGTGGCTGTGCATAAACATGAATCTTCCAGTCGTTATGTAAAAGTGGCCATTCTAGAGCCACGTCACGGAAGGCTACCTTACATCAAACGACTTTTGACTAATATGTCACTTCACACGCCAGCACCTCTATAAATGACTATTTTTGTCCTGATCTTATCGTAGCTTACGTGGTACCGAAACGACGTTTTGCACTCTCGATCTCACTGGAAGAGCCACTGACAAGCCCTTGGTAGGTACACACGGCTACCGAACAAGGAACAATGGATCTGAGCTCAACTTTTGTGGTACCTGTCAATATGTAGATCTACGACTGCTATTGTCTGATCAACTTCTTTGCCTTTTAAAAACTTTATAGTATTATGCAATTATAGTTGAAGTTTCTCTACGCCTTTACTAGCTAGAGAGGTGCCTGCTGCTTGCGGTCATGTTGATCAGAACAACCTTGTTCCACACGACCGCACGAAGATGAAGTAGTTGGTGAGCAGATACCGGTAGCGCTCCAAGCATTGCAATCAATTACCTTGTGTTGAGGACGAACCAATTAGAATATAAGACTGTGTCTTGGACTCCACTTCTGTGGAACTAATATACTGCTATTTCAACTTCTTTTGACATAAACTTTTGAGTTAGTTGAAGTTATTCTATTACAGAAACTACATCTGACGCTAGTGTTCGTGTTGATCAGAAACAACCTTGTTCCAGCCTTACGACCGACCGAAGGGAGATGTTGGTCAAGGATTATGACTATCAGGACAAGGTGCAGGGCTCACACCACTACAGTATGTTGACAAAAACAAGCAGCTGCTCAATTGGGGGCAAAAGTATCCTCTTTTGTTCACGTCATCGATGACGGGAAGGCGGTGCATCCTTTGTCAAAGGCAGCTGCTTGGATTTGGTAATGTCCGGCCTACGTCATCTGTGCAAACCACCGTTGTGATTTTTAAAAAAATTAATCTCTATGCGGTAGCCTCGACGTCATTGGGGAGAGGTCTAATAAGTAATATTTTCCCAGAACTGATTGGACAATGATTATCGCTTCGACGTCATCAATCGCCCTTTGCATCTAAGAAAGTACTTATCGCACGTGGCAAACTACCAGCTTCTCAACCGACGGAAAAGTACCCCAAAAAACCTCCGTTGTGATGTCACAGTTGCTGCTGTCGTCAGCATGCTGACGCAATTTTAGAATTGCGTGTTTGGCTGTCGTGGTGCGGTCTACTGAGAACTGCGATCTTTCTGGCCCTTCTCGTTCGGATGTTTCCCTCACGATTTGGCAAACTTTGCGTTATCATCATCAGTCACATAATTCAAATTTGACAAGCTTTCGACAACGAAAACAAACAACAAATCATGTTCAAGCGCTCTGTTCTTTCCTTCCTCCTCCTCACTGCACCATCGGTCTCTGCCTTTTCCCAGCAACGCACACCAGCCTTTTCTGTCCAAAGCCAGAATGGTTTGTCGTATGCTCGCACGGCGGCCGTGACTTCGTCGACCGACCTTTTCAACAAGAGAACTTCCTTCACCCAGCTTGCAAGCTCCAAGGCTTCTGATGCCGTCGATAAGGTTGCTGACCAGGCTGATAAGGTTGCCGACAAAGCTGATAGCGTTGCTGACTCTGCCCAAGAGTTTGCATCGACTTTGAAGAAGCCAATCTCAATTTCGACCAAGAATGCAGTCGTGATGGGTACCGCCCTTGCATTGACCTCTGGCTTTATCAACGGAGCTTGCGTCACTGGCTTTTTCTCTGCTAGCCAAGCAACTGCCGCTGTCACCGGAACATGGACCAACGCAGCCATTGCCCTTTCCAAGGGCCAAAACATGAAATTCTTCACTTTGGCCAGATACCTCTTTGCATTCATGAGTGGTTCTACCATTGCTGGACTATTGGTTCCCAATGCCGCCCCCTTTGAATTGGCCAACCCTAAAGGTGCCGCAGCCAGTTTTGGAATTGGTGCTCTTTGTCTGACAGTTGCCGGCCTCATGGCAAAGTCAGGAGGACTCTCCAGCGAACTCATCTTGTGCCTATGCTTTATCGCCAACGGAATCCAAAACAGTTTGACCTCGGCGTTCACTGCCAATCTTTGCCGTACGACACACTTCTCTGGAATCACTTCTGATATTGGAACATTCCTTGGACAAGCGATTCGTGGAAACCGTAACAACATGCTCAAGCTCAAGGTCTTTCCTCTTCTCGCCTTGGCCTTTTGGTCTGGAAGTTTCATTGCTTACCCAATGACCAAGATCTTTGGATCAAGTACTCTTTTGGCAGCTGCCACCGTTTACGGTGGATTTGGACTTCTCTCTTTGAAGAAGTAAATTCATTCGTTTCCGTCGTGACTTTCGACAACCTTTTGAATTATTTTGTCATGTCATCAATGACAAGTCATGCATGATCAACCAATATGATCATGAGATCCATCTCAGCGCCAACAACTTGGGCTACCTGTACGCTACTACAGAAAAATAATGATAGTCAATAGATTTTGTACAGTATAAATCACAGCTACTGCTGCTTTCATGTTTCACAAAGTGCTGCACGCAACACTTTTTTAAACATAAAAAATGAGAACTGAATCCTCCACTGTGATAAACCCCACAAAAGCTACAAACCTCTTGTACGGTACAGTATCTATTCGCTTTTTGGGACAACATCTGATGCCAGCATCAACATGGGTGCGCTGTGGAAGTCTTTGGCTATGCTGTAGTAGTAAAGATGGTAAAAGGTGCGGTAGACTTCAAGAAAACGAACATTTTCAGCGTTGGATCTTTTTTCGTTACGTCAGCCACATTTTTTTATTCACTGCAGAAAAGTTCACGCCATTCTCACTTTCATTTTCGTTTTGTTTCCGTCATGACAGAACACGGGACAGTTCCGTACCTCCCTGCATCATATCTTATAAAAATATATTGTCATATTACATTTGTTCTATTTGTTTACAATTCAAAGTGCTCCTTGTGAAAGTCAAAGAATACTGAATCATCTCCGCAAGCACCCAACAAAACACTTGAACTGTGCTTGCGACAAGCCTCTTGTACGGCATCTATTAGCTTTGCTGGACCACATCCAATCACAGCAACGTTCGTTTCTCCCATGGCAATTGCACTTTCCTTCATTTCTTCAAAGATTTTGTCCAGGTCGGGACGTCCACTGCAAAGATTGTATGGCAATGAAATCGTGGCATTGGCTCTCTCAATGTCATTGGCCAGTTTTTGCTGCGTGCAATAAATGTCGGCTTGTACCACTGCGGGACGACGAAGCAACTCGAACCCACTGGCATGAGGTGTCCTCAAATCCTCATCAAATTTAGAACTGCGAAAGTAATCAGATCGTTCCATCATTCGCTGATATTCTGGGCTGGACTTGGAGTAGTCTTCTTCTATTTGAGCAGCTTCGCTATTGTCCTTTGTGGTTGGTGTCGCTCCCAAGAACAATGGAGGAATATCTTCGACCATTTGCAAGTCTCTGACCGCCCAAACAAAGTTCAGCTTTTTCAATCGTCGGCCCTCTTGCCGATGTTTCAACAAGAGATGCTTGCCAACGGATTGGCACGGTGTCACACCGATTCCACCCGAGACACATAACACCATGGTGTACTTGTTATCGTCTTCCAAGTCTATCGACATGGCCCCATAGGGACCTTCCAGTAGAACGTCTGTGAAGTCGGTCGTTTCGGCCAACTGGCATAACCGTTCTGTCCAATCTCCAAGCTTTCTTACTTGAAGTATAATATATTCTTCATCTGGAGCAGAGGCAATGGAGATGGCATGGAATTCCACAGTGGATATGGCTGGAACTGCCAAGCGAACAAATTGCCCGGCATTGTATTGGAATCCTGCTGGTTTCTCCACAATAAGTTCCACCAAACGAGCCGTCTTGCCTCGATGTTGGGTTCCAATGACGCGAAGTCTGGCACGAGTCACATTCTTGAGGCCGGCCATGACGGCATATCGAACAAGTAAGTCCAAGGCCCACCAGGCGGTGACAAAGGCAGCCGATGGAACACTGTGGAGGAATAGCATGACCAGAATCAAAATGCCAAAGACCATGTGAAGGAAATACCAAATATTGAAGGCATAGCGGCGAAGGAATTGAAAGAAACTCATCAGGACCATGGCTCCCATGGCATCGAGCAAGATGGTTCCAGACCAGTTGTTTACCCCGTCGAAAAGAAACTTGCCAAAGTCTGGGGTGCTTCCCACAGCTTTAGAGAATCTCGAATCTCCATTGTCATCTCCTCCAAATACGAAGGACACATAGCAGTGAAAGGTGCCAAGGACAACTCCAGCCACAGAGGAGAACCAGTGCAACCCAATGAGACGCTCATAGGGAATCCCGAACAACCACGTAAACAGGGAATTGGATTTGTTGGCTGTCAAGTATGCCACAAATATGCAATAGGCTGACATGTAGCCACCCAATTCCAGAGATGGCGCAATAAAGGTGTAATGAGCTCCTCGTAGAATAAATACCAGGATCGGAACCAGCAAGATCAAATCTCCCACTGCAGTAGAGGCGAGGTGGGCTGGCAACAAACATGCGATAAAGTTTGGAACGATATTGATCCTCATTGGATGTGCGACCATGCCACGAAGTCTGTACAGACTAGCCAACACAGGTCGCAAGCAGCTGAGACATAATGGTTGTAGAATGAGATGCCATAGCGGAGTTTCCAAGCTTGTTGTTTGATACGGCTTGTAGGTTCTTGGGGGGATGATGTGGGTTGGAATATGCTTCTTGGTTGCTTTTGAGCTTTGGGACGAGGCACTGCTCTTCTCAATCTTTTTGGAGTGATGATGCTTGGCCATTGTAACTTTCCTGGTGCGTTGAGATGTAGAGTGACGATTTCGTCTTTTTTGATTTTGTGGGTTGGTTGTGGCACGAGAATCGTTCATTCTTACGTATATATAATGGATATGGATGCTGTGTCGTGATTGTGATGGTAACTGATGAGTGAAATTAAGCACGATCGATGATATTGTTTGGGCCTGGTTTTGATCATCACTGGGTCCCAGGTGGATTTAGTCCATAATTTAAAAAGGTCACAAGTCCCGGGTCACGACGGATACAGAAAAAGTGGCGCTCCTTTCTTTAAGTAAACATGTCCACAGGTCCCGGGTTATACCGGATACGGAGAAAAGTTTTCCTTCCTCCGAAATCCAAACCGAAGTAATTGTGCGAAACTTCACTCACCATGCCATCACTTATTAGGTAGGCTGCAGCAATAGTTTAATACCATCTTGCCACTTTTATCTCAATTCAAATCTGCTCACAACTTTTGGCGAACGCAATGTAAGACCCATTGTTCTTCCTCCGCTAGTGATCAACGGCACTAGTGATTTCCCTGACCTTTTTTTTGCCGACAGCCAGCAGAACTGTTATTCGTCTTCTGGTGTATTATCCCAAAGCAGAACTCCTATAAAACAATGAAAGCATCGAAAGGCCGTCGTCATCGCGACGAAGAAATGGCATCCTCTCGTAAAAGTTCTCACAGGCATGTCCCAAGGAGCGTGCGTCGTCCACTTTTCGAAGAAGATATGCAAGACTTTCAACGCCGCAAACGTCCTGTATATGCTCGATTGATTGCCTTGATGCTGGGCATGGTGACCCTAGTTGCTGCTGGATTTGGTGCCTATTTTTTTCTCGAAAAGGATGAAATTGTTTTACAAAAGGGCAAGTCACAACATGATAATTTCCAAGGTGTCGTTGCAATGGAAACTATCGTGGAACATACGCAGCCCGAAGACTGTTGGATGTCAATTCATGGCAAAGTCTATGACATGACCGAATATGCTCCTGTACACCCGGGACCACCCAGTTTGATTACAAACCATTGTGGAACGGATGCAACGAATGCGTATGACATCTTTCATTCGATTAGCCTTCTACCGATTGTGAATGAATATCTGTTGGGAACCCTGGAGGAAATAACTACGTCACCTCCAACCAGTTCCCCGTCATCCGTTCCTTCCATGGTCCCGACTACTTCTCCTCCATCGAGGTCTCCCACAGCTAGTCCGAGCACTTCTCCTCCGACACGGTCCCCTACCATATCACCATCGGCTGCTCCCAGTATGCGCCCAACTACGCCGCGCCCTACGGAACCGGAAGCTACCCCCTTTCCTACAAGCAGTCCAAGTACTTCTCCCCCCACAAAAACGCCAACACCTCCGCCTACAATGCGCCCAACGCCATCGCCCACTAGGCCTCCTACGCCCAGCCCTACCAATCGTCCGACGCCGCGTCCGACAGACCAGGGATGTACTATGGAGTTCTATACAATGTCGGATGTTGCCCAGCATCCAAATTCGGGCTCCTGTTGGTATGCTTTGTACGGAGTTGTTTTTGACTTCACAAATTACATCGATCGGCACCCTGGTGGACGACGAACTGCATTGGCGGGATGTGGGATAGATTCTAAGAGCGCCTATGAATCAGAATCGGGCCACAACAGGAACCTATTGCGCAGGTATAGTTCATATATCATTGGCCGAGTGGGAACAACGCGGACAACAGGGACAGTACCCTGCAATGAAGTGGACCTTGTAGCAGTGAATTGAAAATAGAAATACAGTACTAAACCGTAGAGTATATAATGCTATTCATTTTTCGTTGTTCTCGAATGAATCGATTTAGTCATAGTATGTTCGTACGTGAGTGCGAGATGCGTGCGATACTCGCAAAATGCAGAGCTGCTCGCATCATAATATACCGCTCTAGCAATAGCTAATGCCATGCGAGCCTTCACAGGAAGATTGAGAATAGCATTCCTGGCTTTCTTCATATCGCACATTCCCATTACAATATCCATCGATGCACAGGCCGCATTGCCCCTGTATCCGCAAGCACTCCGAGACTTGGTTGCTTGGTATTGTTCGGTCTCGGGGGATGTTTTGATGATGGAACCTCACAACAAAGTATGGTTCTCTTCCATTGTATTGGGTGAGGTCATGTTGCAGCTCCCTTTCTTTTTCGTGGCCGTCCATATGATGTACAAACATGGCGATGTTGCAAAGTCAGCAAGATATCCTCGATGGTTTCAGAAGGCATGTTTGGTGTATGGTTCCCACGTTGCTACAACTCTGATTCCAATAAATGGCACCCTTTTGGTCAGTTCTGAAATGAGCCCTATTCAGAAGATGGTGACCATTACGATTTATTCGCCGTATTGGATATTTCCTTTGCTTTTGGTCTGGTATGCTTGGGAAGATGATGCTGGTGGTGCAAATGACAAGACTCCCAATAATCAGGACACAAGGTTGAAGAAAGAGTGAAGAATGTATGCCCTGCAAATCACTGCATGAAAAAGGAATATCTCCAATAGGATGGGGACTAGAAGCAAGATAATGTCCGTGAAACCGAGTTGTTTAAGTTTTTAATCTTCGCTCGAATCGGATGGAGGGTTGTTGGTGGCAGGTGGAAAGGCTGATGTGTCGGTTCCTTCCAAGGCTCCCAACCGATATCTGGCTACAGTCGTCAACAGGGATCTGCTGTGCGCGGAGGCATAGGCATTTGTTGCATCCGTTCCACAATGATTGGTAATGAGACTCGATGATGCCGGATGATTGGGGGCATATTGTGTCATGTCATAGACAATGCCATAGTAGGCCAACCAACAATCTCCGGCTGTTCCGTGCATTTGCATAGTTGCCAGTGCAATCTGAGACCCTTCTGCTGTTGAACCGCCAGAAGAAGGACTCTCATTGGAGCTGTTGGGTGGAGTAGCTGACCCGTCGTCGGCTCCTTGCAAGGCTCCCAATAGATATTCACTCACAGTAGGCAACAAGGCTTGGCTGTGCATGGAAGTATAGGCGGCTGTTGCATCCGTTCCACAATGATCGGTAATCAGCGAATCCGGTCCAGGATGAAGAGGAGCATAGTCTGTCATGTCATAGACATTGCTATGAATGGCCAGCCAGCAGTCCCCGGTCGTTGCATGCATTTCGATGGCTGACATTGCGACACTTCCTTGAAAATTTTTGTGCTGGTAGTTTCCCTTTTGCAAATCAATGCCATCCTTTATAAGGAAGTAGTAGGCGGCAAATGCAACTGCAGCCAGTGTTACCACGCCCAGTATACAGGCACTCAATCGAGAACGTGTTTGGCGTTTTCGGCGTTGAGAATCGCCTACATCATCTTCAAATTCTCGATTGCGAAACATCTTTCGAGGCGCGCCGTGCTCGTTAGTAGAGGGTGCTTCCAAATCGTTAGGATGTCCGGTATGGGGTGCAATTGCCATTGTAGCAGTTTCAGTTATTTGCACAGATTTGGAGAAAAAAGGTTATATTGAATTTTAATGTTAGAAAAAATCTCGTCTTCAAAACATTGTGAGCGAAAAGGAGGAGGGAGAAAAGACGATAGCGCTACTTTTTTATAATATTTCTTTGGTTGTGAATTTGGCTTCGCTTGTAATATTTTGCACGATCAAAGTGCAATCCAATATGTAATCCTCTCGGATGGGACATTTGGACGACACCTCAACATGTAACGAAACGGGAATCGAAACACAAAACAATAACCAGTGAAAATTCATCCGTGTCAAGAGAGACAACAAAAAAGAGTAACAAAAATTCATGACCATCCTGAGAGTCAAAAGGGAATCCGGATATTTTATGCCTCATCTTAGTAAGCACATACCGAAGCTACGCTGTGTACACATTATTCCAAAGTCAATTGAATAGTAGCCTAGTATTATAACTCAAACAGTTCTGAATCTGATTCGATAGATCCTGACAAGCCATCTTCCTTTAGTGCTTGGTTTGATGATGATGTTTTCGCATCCTCTATTCGTGGCTTGGTGGGTTGCCCCCAATCGTTGCCTGTCTTCGGTTCCGATTTCTCTGCCTTGTTTAAGATGTGCTTCTTCCCCATTACACAAATATCCCAGCGGTGCTGTTGATAGCCATTGATTTCCGCTCCAACTGGTAGTGGCCCGATCGTTAATAGCCAGGCTAGCAAGAAACCCATACTGTAAACCAATGCCATTGCTGCTACACAGCAGATTAAGATTCCCAGCTCCACCAGTGCCAGTGTCCTGCAACCAAGAAGAAATGCGCAACCTCCAATCGTCGAAAGAGCGCTAGCAAAAATTGGAGATCCTGTAATGAATACCGCTTCCTTCACTTTCGTTTCTCGTTCATTGCTCTTGGATCGGTGATACGCATGGACAACATGAAGGGAATAGTTGGCACTCAAGCCAATAAATATTGATACCCCCAAGGCTTGAACTGGACCCAACGGAAGTTGGAAGATAGCAAAGAGCCACCCTGTAATGCAGAAGAACATCAAAAGAATGGTAGCCATGACCATCAAACATAGAAGGATGTTTTGGGTAAATAGTAATATGATTGCAAAGCAGAACAAATTTGCAATTAGCCAAGTCATTACAGTCGCATCGACTGTTTCAGTTGCTCGGGCTTCGTTCCAAAAAAGATCACTTTGCGCAACCATTTGCACGTTTGGGTTGGGTGCTGCAGCATTCAAAGTCCGAGCAAATTGATCCCACTTTTCGAATGTTGTAAGCGTTGCTGAATCGTACGATCGAAACGTGATGCTCGCATACATTGAGCTGCCAGCCAATCCAGGCAAAGCAGTTCCGATCTCCCCTTCGACAAGCCTCGCAAATCGTGGATTTGTTGATTCCAGTACTTCAATGTAGCTCGTGAACAGCTCCGTCGGGGCCGGGAAACCATCTATTTGGTTTGAAGCAAATTCCGCAAATAGCTCGATCCATGTAACTTCATCTTCGATAATATCCAGAGACTTATCCAGTCTTGCAGCCTCGACCACGTCCAGTAGCCATTGCTGCGATTCTGGCGTTGAAACATCAAATCCTGGTACCAAACCGTCCAACAACTTGACATCTCCCCCTGGTGTCGTCGTCGCTTCAGACAGCACTTCCACCGTCCAGGGTCCACTTGATTGTCCGTCACTGACGCCAACTCCAAAAATAAGCTTAACCTCGATGATAGCACCTGGGCTTCCTATGTTGTCAGTCGCATTTGTGCTGCTGTCAGCAACGGACGGCTGAAATGAAGGTGATAGTGTTGGGGCAATTGTTGGTGGAGTTGGTGCGGCTGGTGCAATGATTATTGGAGCAGAAGTGAAGTTTCCCGCATTCCCGCCTCCACCGCCATTGCCTCCGCCACCTCCTCCGTTCCCACCACCTCCATTGCCACCTCCCCCATTTCCACCACCGCTTCCATTTCCTCCTCCATCTGAGCCTCCTCCGCCATCGCCGCCACCTTCGCCACAGTCTACACCGGTGCAACCCGATCCACTGCTTCCATCGCCAGATCCGTCAGATGAACCAGAGCCTCGACTTTCGCTGGACGATATTGAATAATACTTGTTCTGAATTCAAAAGATCAACTGTGAGTAGGACTGTTGTCCACAAAACAATTAGCAAAGAGCATCGTCTTCACTCACCTGAATTGAAGTCAACCGGCCCTGATTGTATTCACTGGAAAAGATGACAATGGATCCGTCAGTGAATCCAAGATTCAAGAACCCGAAAAGTCCGAGGAGAAATGCAAAAAGAAGAGATACAGCAAGAATCAATTTTCTTCGACGTTTCAAGAACGGTGTATAACGATCCAGTAACATGCGGTCAATGCGATTCAGTCTCGAGGCACTAGGTGCAATTGGTGCTACTGGTGCAGACTCCTGTACCTTATCATCCTGCTTTGGTGATTCTCCCATAGTGATTTCTACACAGTCATCTGCGGCCAAGATTCGATTAGGGCCAGAGGGCATGCCAGATGCCCGAGCAGAGCCCATTGTTTCGTCCACTTTTGTCCTTTGCCCCTTCGCTTCCCTGTTGGTGTTATCGTGTCTTTCGCCAAGACACCACTCGGGTAGCACTTTTCTTTTCCAAGGCTTGAGATACATTTCATTGACCAAGATGGCACTTGGCAGTATCGTCATGACGTGAAAGTAATTGATCATTACAACCACTCCCATATAAATACCAAACTCTTGAATGACAAGAAGTACACCAAAGCCATTGCTGAAAAAGCATACAGCTGCTGTCATACTTGACACCAGCATCATACTGCCGGCAGTGGAATATGCCCATTGCATTTTGCTACGAATGGCTTCAAGTTCTTGTTCTGCAGGTGTTTCAGTTCCAGGCGAAGCAACTTCGTCATCAACATCGGCATGTGTGTAGGAATCTGTCATCAAAAAGATGTCGTCGGCACCAATTCCTAGCATTACAAACAATCCTGCTACATGAAGCAATGTCACATCTGGTATTCCAAAGTGCGTGGTGCACCAATAGTACGATGTCGTGAACGCCAGAAGCAATCCAGTCATTCCAAAGAAGAAGATAAAAAAGTCTTGAACTTTCAGGAGAATCATAAGACCGATAACGACCAAGCTGCCGAGACTCCAGCGAGAGTCATGATACAGCGCGTCATTGGCTTCGAGGCGCAAAAGATACCCATTTTCCCATGTGAATAACAAATCTTCGTAGTACTTCTCCTGGTCTCGCTTCCAGAGAAAATTGTTGTACAAGTCGTCCAGAAAGCGATCCATTTCACTCTGTTGACCCTGAAAGTACATGACGCTCTTTGTAATGTTGCTCTGCAAATTATCTGCCCCAAAGTATTGGTCGACTTGCGAACTTTTTGCTTTGGCAGCCAGAGTTCCTTCGATATCTTCCACTATAGTCCCGTTTTGGTATAAATACGTCAGCGGTGTATCAAATGGGGAGCAATCCTCCTTATCGCGACGGCAGAAGATCTCAAAGTCTGGTAGGGATCGCACATATTCTTCAAAGTCATAGATCGAAGATATGACCTCGGCGTCAAAGACATTTCCACCATTTCGATTTTGATAAATGATGTAAATAGTAATGTATGCTATCCGTTCGCTGGTAGTTGTTGCGCCATTGTTGTCTTGCAATCTCCTATGGCTCGTATCCCAAGCGTACGACTCCTTCTCCCCCTCCATGTCGTCCCATAGCTGAAGTCGACGGCGACTGTCAACGTCCCCACCCATGGTCCGGCATTGGCTCCTTGCCTCCGAGACTGAATCCTCCTGGAATTGTTGCGCGGCGGCATAGTTGTTTGCCACGATATCCAATTCACTCGAAATGTCCAAATAGGATTCAAAATCCAAATTGACATCAATGCTGTAGCCGGATCGCGCAAAGCCTACCAGACTCAACGCAAGGGGAAATGCAATCGAAACTAGTAAAAAGCAAGCTGGATAATAGGTCAGTGCCTTCATCCAAAGCTCATTGGGTGAAAGTGGTGGCGGCAAGCCTTGCTGTTGCCGCCGACGCTTGAGGCAAAAGTACATGATCCATGCCAATGCCAATATTCCGAGGAACAAAATGACAATCGATAGATAGCCTAATCGCTTCACCGTCGTGTCTCCTGACTGATCATCATTGGCCTGTAAAGCGGTGATATTGTCAACATCATTGGCACTGCTGCTGTCGGCAGTATCCAAACTGGATTGCCAACTCTTTGTCTTGACCACTTGTTTGAAAAAGGCAACTGCTTCCTCGCTGGATAAATCCGAAAAGGCAAATCTTGGACAAGACGACGAGTCTGTATCGTCGGCCAAAGGTGGTGGTGTGTACACATGAAAACGATCTGGTTTCGCTTCTTGCAAGTTGGTCAATGCCCGTGCTTCCATAGTATTGTTGGAAGAGGATGCCATCCAGGCAACATCCATCACTTCTGGTGCTTCGACAATCATTTGTCCCACATCAGAAGCAAGGTTGGAAAACTCCGACAAAACCTTGTTGATATTCCAAGGCTCGTTCAAAACCTGATTGGAAGGTAAATTGGGACTAAAGAGACTCGATCCTTCCAAAATGGCCAAGACGGAAGACGGTTCGTTCCATTGAAAGGCCTCCGCTGCTTCCTTGGCAAAGACCATTGGCGCAATGGTGGAAGTATATTCCGGATCATTGGTGCTACATCCCCCAATTTTGCCTCCGGAAACCGTAATCATGGCATCCAAGGAGGAACCAAACTGTGTGGTTAGCCAATCCAATACCGCTTCCAAATTGGCATTGCCTCGATGCCAAATCCGTTCGCGTCCTTGATAGACGGGGGCATCCCACCAAGGGCCATCAAAGGGTGGATCGGGTCCGTCCAGTTCACAGCCACTCCAACGTCCTTGGGCTTGATATCCCAAGAACCAATCCATACTACAATGAGGAATTAGTAGATAGCTCCATTCGTCAATATCATTGCTCAAGGTTTGCCACCAAAAAGTGGAATCGTCATTTGTAGAATTGGTCTTGTTGCTGTTGCTTTGACGTATGCCCAAGGGTACATCACCACCAGCATCATCATCGTTGTCGTCTGCTGCTGCTGCTGCTGTTGTGGAATTCCCATAAAACAAGCGTGGACTCAATACCTCCAGAAACTTGGGGACAATTCCGCTGCAAGTGCCTAAATTTGGCAAAGCTTTCGTTGTGGTTGGTGTAGCATCACTGTAGTATTGATCTAAATAGTCCTTCCAGGGTGTTTGTCGCGAGTGGGCACCATTGCAACCACAATCCAAACCAAAACAAGCCGGTCCTCCTTCGAATTCCACCAAAATCTTGCGAAAGTGAGCATTGGTGCCTCTCTTGAACAAAAAGGAAAAGGGTGATCGATTGGAACAAAGAGGTGCCAATTTGGGTGCCGCAAAGGAGGCATCTTCGAGTGGAAATTCAAAAAAGTAAGATCGTTGGGGCAGCATGGCGGTTTCCACACTGTTGGGTGCCGATCGATAAGCATTCAAGAGTTGTTTGTTGTTTTCAGCAGCAGCAGCAGCAGCAGCAGCAGCATTAGCAGTGTCAAGTTGGAGAGTAAGAATCAGAAGGACACATAATAGGAGAGAAGAGCTGCTGAGAAAGGCTACCATGGAAGAAAAGCTTTCTTGACGGGCTATCGTTCGTTGGAAATAAAACATTGTTGGAAAATTTTCAAAACGATGATGGTTTTCTTATTGATTGATATTCATACAGTACAGTGTACTCAATACGTTGACATCCATTCAGCAATATGTTTCAACAATCAATCTTTTCGAATTGGATTGATACTATAAGCTTCAGGTTGGCGACTTTTTTGGCTTGTTGAGTAATGGTTGTTTATGGCACTTGTGTTTGCCCATATATAATACGTGTAGAGAGAGACTGTATCTATCGTTGAACCCGTCTCAAAGAATACAGCTCCATCTCCATGAATTTTTGGTTTCTCGGCGTTTATTTTGAATGTGACACACACGACCGGACTCAAACAGAAGGCGGAGTGGGTCGGTCCGTCAACCCGCCTTTGGATTGGTATCGACACGTGGAAGCATAAAAGAGTAGGAATTCGGAATGAAAAAATGAGAAAATCCAAATGAATATGCACGAATGCCAATAATACGCGGATGGATTTTGCTTCTCCTCTGCCTCATCCATACTGTACCAGGTACTCGTACCCTCCACAACCTTATATATATATATTAGCAATCATGAAGACTACTGCAACTCTCTTGTGCCTATCCGCTCTTTCGAGCATGGCCACCGCCGCCACGGAATTCTCCATCAACGTGTACGAAGGTCCCACGGAGTGCGATGACGAGAACAAAGTCAAGGTCGGCGATAGTTTGAGCATGCATTACACCGGAACCATTGACGAATCCTCGGAAACTGGTGAAAAGGGAATGCAATTTGATTCTTCTCGGGATCGTGGCAACACGTTTGACTTCAAGATTGGACAAGGAATGGTCATTAAAGGTTCGTTCGTTCATCCGTTCGTTCGTTCGTTCGTTCGTCATTGCTAGTTTGGTGTGGGCGTGGATTGGATTCATCCCAACACAAAGAAAGTGGCTCACAGCGTTTGCCTTTATCATATATCTTGGCATCATGATTCATAGGTTGGGACGAAGGTTTGATTGGTGTCTGCAAGGGTGCCAAGGTGAGTAAAGCTAGTGGGAAACAAGAATGGAACGCGCTTTTGCTAGGTGCTCCCTTTTATATGCAGCATTTAGACTCGTTTTGGTTCTGCTGAAACTCCTCGTCGTGAAACCAAAAAACTCATCTCGTTGCATTCCTTTATAATAAACTTTTTTCATTAGGCTACTTTGGTCATTCCCCCCGACATGGGGTACGGTGCCCAAGGAGCTGGTGATGCCATTCCTGGAGGCGCCACCTTGAATTTCGACGTCGAAGTCGTGGAGATTAGCGACAAGGACCCCGAACAACCCAATTTGTTTGAAATGTTGGACGAAGATGGAGATGGAAAGCTATCCAAACCAGAAATTGAAGCCTTTTTTGTGAACCAAGGTGGAACAATGCCAGATGGATTGTGGGAGGATGAAGATAAGGATAAGGATGGCTTTGTCAGTTGGGAGGAGTTTACTGGTCCCAAGGGAGCCTCGCCACCAGCTCACGATGAACTATAGATTGATTGAGACTACTAGAGGAGTATGGTAGCTGGATTGGGATGGATTCTTTTTTAATGTAGAAGTTTTATTCATGCAGCACTATCTATTATTCTATTGCTTTGTTGAATTTGGCTATACCTACCTCTAATGGTGGCGTGAGATTTGATTCACTCCCGCGGGACTTGATGGAACACATCTTTTATTCAGTCATATATAATACCATTCAACACTATTATAACGATTAGCAATGCCAGGTCCACAACGACAACACCGCCTTCTATTTGGACTCTTCTGCTTCTTGGCAGCAGTTTCGGTCACAAATGCAGCAATCTCGCTATCCACGACGGTAACTGACGGACCTGAGGAATGTGACAACGTCGACAAGATTCAAAAGGGCAATTACGTGCAGATGCATTACACGGGAAGCATTGACGAATCGTCCGAGACTGGAACTGCGGGTGAAGTCTTTGATTCTTCGGACAAGCGTGGCAAAACTTTTGATTTTACCGTCGGAAAGGGACAAGTCATCAAGGTATTATATGTGATCGATTGTTCCAGCATTTTGAATTATATTTGCGTATTTTATGATGGTTTTCCTTATCCTACATGCACGGCCTCGTTCTGATTTTTATTTTGTTTCCCTTGTTGCTTCCATAATATTTTCATTATAATATATTCAGGGATGGGACCATGGGTTGTTGGGATTGTGTAAGGGTGCCAAGGCGACGCTAATTGTTCCACCCCTGTTGGGATATGGAAGTCGTGGGGCGGGAGGAGGTCTCATTCCCGGTGGAGCCACTCTTCGGTTTGATGTAGAAGTGGTGGACGTTGCGGACGACGAAGGCTTGCCGGAAGATGAACACGAACCGGATTTGTTTGGATTTTTGGATGAAGATGGAGATGGCAAGTTGTCGCCTGTGGAACTTGCAGATTACTTTCAGATGCAGGGATCTGCCATGCCCGATGACTTGATGGAACGAGAAGACAAGGATGGAGATGGATTCATTTCGTGGGAAGAGTTCAGTGGACCAAAGGGAGCGACACCTCCAGGATCCGTGGGTGATGAATTGTAAAAAGTTTAAAAACATATAATTGTAATGGATTGCTTTAGAAATAAATCTATCCATATTGGTTGGTTGGTTGAAACACTTCTTGGTGATAATGCGTCATCAATCAAAACACATCATCAAGTAGCCTCAGGCTTGATGATAGAGTATAATTGAGAATTGATATTATATTTTGATATACGGTATGTCTAAAGAAAGTTGAAAGGCCGATCAAAGAATCGAGTCTTCTTGTCCAGTTGGCACCACTTTTGATCCTCGGTCCACTTGGATTCCCAATCGATACACTCACAAAAGACCTTTCGGTGAATGTTGCTATAGTCTTGCAAGGGGCGGTTCAAATCCACAGCATTGCCATTGCTGCCAGGGCGTTCCCGACCTGCAGTGTCCCGCTGGCATTCGTTCGGTCCTGAACCCTTCGGGGCAATTCGCCAGGCCAACAAGCGTTCCAATTCCACCAATTGGATGGGATGGATGCGAATTGGATCCTTCATAACACGATAGTGGACAGTTTCGAAACACGGCGGGACCATTTGGGCGCCTTCGTATCTACGATACCGCGAAGGTGAGCGAACCAACCCAAAGCAACATCCATGACAACCGTTCCAAACTTACCGAAAGTAATACTCCGTTCGAACTTCTCTCATCCATTCATACGGACTGTAGGGCACATTAATGTAATTGTCACCGCTCGCTTGGCTACTCTGGAGTCTTCGCAAGGAACCCTCTTGCTTTTCTTCATTCTCTGCGTCTCTTTTCTCTCGATACGCTTCGATGCTGCCCAAGTGTTGCTCCTCAATGTCATCTGCAATTTCGAAATTGGATGCATCCATTTGGAGGTCCTGGGTCCAGAGACCATGTGGCAGCAAGATATCCTTCTCTTGAATCTCGTCAACACTGTTTGCATGAGCAATTTTCGTGCGTGTGCCGCCATCAGATTCCAATCGACGAAAGCCCGTCGGTCCCACCTCCTTTGGAAGAGAACAGCAATACCAACAAATGCTTCCAATGGCATCACCATAGGTCTCGTAGACGTCTTGGCAATACAGAGTCGTCGATCGTTCTTCATTGCAACACGACGTGGGTTTGCAAATCCGAAAAGGATTACTCACTAGGGTACAATCAATGGGTGGATAGACCTTGTGGACTGGTGGCGGCGGAGCTAGTTCCTTTTGGCAGCAATCAGAGCAGAAATCTTTCATTGCATCACCAAAGAACTTGTAAACATGGTGACAGTGATCGGTAGAAGAACGAATCGGGTCGCAGCATCCCCCATCCTTGCAAATTCTCCGCATATCAATGCCATTGGTTCCATCAAATTCCGAGCACAGCCACGGCGTGTGGAGTGTGGGTTCGTGACTAGGAGTTAGAGTGGTAGTAGTGGGGGAAGAGGTTTGGGGATTGAAAATAGAAGACTGACTTGGGGCATTGCTTTTGTGTGGGTATACAGTGGGCGTGGACACCCGTGTGGAAGTTGACGTGGGTTCATGGCTTGGTGCTCCAGTTGGCAGTCCGGTGGGACCCTCCATTGGCCTTGGTTCAACAGTTGGAGGCAAGACCCATGGATCGACTTCCTTTGGCTCGGAGCAGCAATACCAGCAAATACTTCCCATGACCTCGCCAAAGTCAATGTAGGTCTGGGTACAGTATTGAGAATCAGATCGGACGGGACCGCAACACGAATTTGGTTTGCACATGCGATATGGATTCGGTACCAAAGAACAATCAATTTCGGGATAGGTTGGATGCGGAGGAGGTGGTGGGCCAATGTGTTTCGGAGGATCACAGCATGCCAAACAAACTTTCGCCATCTGGTCTCCAAATAGGGAATAGACATAGTGGCAGTGGTCCGTTGCCGACCGGGCTGGGTCGCAGCAACTGTCATCCTTGCAAATTCGTCGCATATCAATTCCTGGAAGGCCATCATACTGCTCACAGTCAATCAACGGATCATCAGGTAGCACAGATGGAACCGAAGATGGAACTAATGAAGGTTCCAATGATGGGAACTGGGAAGGGGAAATGGTCATTTCCACTTCGCTTGTTGGTACTTCAGAAAAGGATGGACTGTGGGTGCTTGGGGCAGAAGTTGTAGGAGCAATTGCAGCAGTTGGGCTTGACGTAGTCGGGCCGGTAGTTGACGGAGTGGCAGAAGTCGGACTAGTAGTAGTTGGACCACTGGAAATGGGAAATAAAGACGGAGGTGGGTCTTCACGATCCAACAGCTTGTTGGGACAACACCACCAGCAGATTGACCCGACCATGTCATCTCCGTACCTCCCATAAATATCGTTCACGCAATACTCCGTGCTCGATCGTTCCGCTTCGCAGCAGGAAGTTGGTTTGCAGATTCGTTGATGATTTTCAATGGTATCGCAATTGATAAAGGGATATGGATCGTTGACTGGAGGAATGACTTCGTCCTCCTGGCGGGCAGGATTACGGCAACCTGGATATGGAGGAGCACTTTCCAAACCACATTCTTGACGAGTCTGTTCCTCCACTTCACGCCATTGGCAAATGAGCTTGTCCAAGAATCCCCATCGTCGACGGTGTTCTGCACCGTCCTCCACATCCAGCAAGATGGCCACCTTTCCAACCTGGCGAGTGTCATGTTCCACAGAATAAAAATGGGACAAGTGGACTTCGGCCGCAAAGCGTTTTCCCGACTGCGTGTGTTCACTTGGCACGGTAATGTCAGTATGAGAAAGGTACCACCAGTCAGGAAATCCTTTGGGATAGTCCAAACGGGGAAATTGGCGTCCGGTAGATCCTTCGCACTGGAGCTCTCCAGTGTTTTCATCAACGGGAGTCACAATCTGAAGTCCATGACGATTGATTCGAAAACTTTGACTTGGAGTGGTGTATCCGTTCTTGACCATGTGATTCCACTTGCAGGCTCCGTCTTCGTAGGCCTGCATATGTGTAAAGCGATTAGCACCAAATTCATATCTAACACAACTAGATTTCTTAAGAACAAGCACACTACTTACAATCCAGTGATAGTCGTAACATTCAGTATCATGCCCCGTTTCTGCTGCAGTTCGCAAGAGGTCAATGGGAGACTGATGGTGCACTCCACAGGTATGATTTCCATCAGCTGGGCACCATCTGCAGTTATTCTTGTCGCCGAGTTCCCAGCCAACACCCAGTTCGTATCCATCGGGCCACCCTTGGCAGCTTTCCATATTCAAACAAGTGACCTTGTCCCAATCTTTGGGACCGTAGTTGTTTCCGACGGTTTCACGATAGTTGAAACGATCTGTGTCGTCAGCAGATACATTCTGCGAACAAACCATTGCCGTGAGAACAATGTAGGGGAAGGATAGAAGGCGACCGGTGGCTTTCATGATGAATTTCATTCCAATGGGATTATGATCCAAGCTACTAGGGTGAGCCAAAACTTCAGTTATATTTTTGGCACATATTTATTGACAATGTATGGACTGCATTGGTGCATATCATAGAAACAACGTTGAGCTTGAGAGGCTCAACTTCAACAGGAATCGGCGTCCTCGAGTACACTCCAGCAAAATTTCATCCTCGTTGAGTAATACAAAGGTACGCACTCACCAAAAGGTTCATTTTGATTTGCAACACAAACTGATGAGTGACGTGGGAATAGACATGCGTTGTGGAACGATGATATGTTGTGCTCGGTTCCAACACGAACCGTTTGAAGCGTTGTGTATTCAAATTTTGTTCCTCTCCTCTCTCATGATACAAATTCATGCATCACTTGAAACGGAGAAGCAAGCGATGGCACATGATAGGGACCGAAAAATCGAAGGGGTAGTGCCCAACATCGTCATCGTTACACGACATACAGTAGTATATCGTTTCTTTTCAGCAAGCATACTGTATTCTCACTTTCCATTTCCGCATCTGTCGGTTTGTATATTACATAACCCAGCGGAGTGACGGATACGACCATACCAACATGACAGCACCGCTTCCCGTCCGCTCAGCGAAGTTAAGCATGTTCGGGCCTGGTTAGTACTACGGTGGGGGACCACGTTGGAATCCCAGGTGTTGTATTCTTTTTTATTTTTCGCAACCTTTTGTCGTATTCTTTTGCCAATTTTTCACGACCTTGTGATGATATTTTTTGGCCAATTTTACACAAACTTCCATATCGTTGCAATCATTTCACCACCTACTGTACCTTGCATCCCACAGCAATCATTCCGGGTACAGTAGTGCCTTTCCATTTCTTCGCCCAGGAGCCACGTCAATGCAATGTACTGCTCAATGCGGCCTCCAGCAGTAACCAGCCGTACCATTGAGTTCCGCCGCTCTCTAGTCCTCGTCTTGCGGTCAACCCACCACGCGTACCTGGTACAATGATCACGAATGAGACTGACGCGGATTGCCTGATTAAGTTTACATATATATTCGAATATACCGGTATAAAATATATAAGAACTGTGAATGCTATTTCTCCGTTTGCTGCCGGTAATTCGACTAGATATTGTTCGAACATCCTCGAATCTAAGAGATGTCCATTTGCGCTAAACGTATCATAAGTGCTGTTCCTAACCGGATATTAAACAACGTCATTGTGCGTGAGTTCAAACTGCGATTGCCATTTGAATGGAGGGCGGGAACTGGTTTTCATATTCTAACTTCTTCGACACAACCTTCTCACAAATTCAGTTGCTATCCAATTCAACACAATCATGGCGAAAAAACGAAGCATCTTCCGAACCTCCAGCGCATTGATCGACTTTGAAGAATGCAAGTTCAAGAATAACATTGTGCAAAAGCTTGGCGGTGAAGACCAGTTTCAATTCTTGGTCATCTCCTTTTGCGAACGCATCCGAAACGATCGCTTGCTGAAGAAGTGCTACAAGAACCTCGATGACAAATCTCTCATTGATCTTCAAAAGGATATGATCCTGACATCCTTCGTGGATGTCTCACCAGCCGAATACGAAATTCTTCGATCCAAACTCATTTTGAGGCATCATCTCACCTTCCAAGAAGGCCGCCTTCCCCAGAAACAGTATGAAGCCTTGGAAAAGAATTTTGAAGATGCTATGAGAGATGTGTGGGTGGAAGAAGAAGTCTTGGAGCTATGTAGAGGCTACTTTGGAGCCATTGAATCGGTTCTCAAAGACTCCAGCTCAATGACTAGACGAAGTAAGATCGAAGATGACGCCTACGTCAACAGACTATCTTTTGGCATGACAGGCAAGCTTGCCTTTGTCCACTAGTGACACAACATGATGACACACTCGGTGTCACATTTGCCTGCCTGTGCAGTTTTCCATTCGTGGGAAGACTCACCAATTTAGATTTACCAATTCCTGTTGTAACAATTACAAATACTAGAGTACATACATTTTCTCCACACACATCATCTTCTACCGGTAGGCGGCCTACTTGTAGATACACCAACCGAACGCAATATTGAAATCAATGCTCATCTTATATCTCTTTCTATATCTTTTTAAAATAAAAAAATATGATATTTGTTGAGGCGAAATAGGACTCAAGCATCCATATTCTGCAAACTGTATGAATGAAGGCATTCTTCAGCTCTGTATCAGCACCTCCCACTTCCCGCTCACAGCCCCTCCGGCCCCCCGTCTCAACCTTTTCAAAATGACTGCAAATTTGAAAATCAAAATGACTGCAAATACTAACTTTATTCGCCTGAGTGAGTAAATGTGTTTCTCCGAAATAGAAAGAAACACCTTCGATATGAAAACCATCCAATTAATGCTGCGTCCGACTCAAGATTCCCAAAGTGACACACTTCGATTTTGATTAGTCGGAGCTCTGAGTGTTGCCGGAAAATTTAATCCAGTACATGTATCACTGTTACTCCTTTTTGCCAAAGTGAACGAGCTGGAAATATATCCCCCTGAGCTGGTTTTCACATTCCAAACTCTCTTCTCACAAATTTTAAAAATTTCACCCATAAATTTCCAAGCTATTATTTCATGACAATCATGACGAGAAAACAAAGCATCTTCCGCAGCCCAAACGCGCTCGTCAACTTTGACAAATCCAAGTTCAAAGACGATGTTGTGCAAAAGCTTGGAGGTGAAGATCAATTTCAATTCTTGGTCATCTCCTTTTGCGAACGCATCCGAGAGGATCGTTTGCTGAAGAAGTGCTACAAGAAGCTCGATGACAAGTCCCTCCTTGATCTGCAAAAGGACATGATCCTGACATCCTTCGTCGATGTCTTACCAGCCGAATACCAAACCCTTCGAGCCAAACTCATTTTGAGGCACCATCTCATCTTCAAAGAAGGCGGCTTTCCCAAACATCAATACGAAGCTTTGGAGAAGAACTTTGAGGATGCTATGAGAGAAGTTTGGGTGGGACAAGAAGTCTTGGAGCTATGCAAGGTTTACTTTGGAGCCGTTGAATCCATTCTCAAGGATTCCAGCTCCATGACTCGAGAAAACAAGATCGAAGATGACGCCTACGTCAACAGATTGACTTACGGCATGACGGGAAAGCTTCTCTTTGTCCACTAGCAGGCGACCCGTCGGAAGACCCACAACTAATTTTACCATCTCCTATTGCAACAATAGCAAACATTAGAAAATAAATATAATTATGCACCAGCCAAACTCATTTTCTAGTAGCTACAATAAAACAGGCCACATTATTGTAAATTGCTACTAACAGTGGCCACCCTACTCATTTTATATATGTTGCCACTTTATTCATTACGGTATATCTGTTGAGGGCAAACATGACCCCCATCAACATTAACCTACAATATAATTCAGAACCTATATTCCAGCTCTCTGCTTGTACCTACGTATGAGGTATGAGTATCTCCCGTTTCCTTCTCACAGCCCGTCCGCTCTTCCGTCTCCCTTCTAAATGGTTATCGAATGATGACTTCAAAATGACTTGGTTGGGAAACAAAGCCGTTTACTTTATTCGCCCGGGTGGTTTCGTACATATTCAATATGTCATTTTGTGGGAAGTGTTTCTCCGTGCGCTCAAGCCAAAAGAAACACCTACTGTACGGCACAGAAACAATCCATGTTTAACACTACTGCGGTCTTAAAATAGGAACTGGGTACACGTACCTATGGTACTGCCGGAAAATGCACTCCAGTGTGACATTTACTCCTTTTGGGACCCTTGGAGATGCGAAAATGGAAACTACGAATAATGCGAAAAATGCCCATAGGTACGGTAGGGATGTTCCTCGCCGGAAACATTACCCAACAAAAGTGACTTCTCAAGCGAATGCACGAACCGAGAGAATGTCTCCTGAGCTGGTTTTCACATTCCAAACTCTCTTCTCACAAATTCAAATTCAATTTCATTCATAAATTTTCAAACTATCATTTCATCACAATCATGTCGCAAAAGCAAAGCATCTTTCGCAGCCCCAACGCGCTCGTCAACTTTGAAAAATCCAAGTTCAAAGACGACATTGTGCACAAGCTTGGAGGTGAAGATCAATTTCAATTCTTGGTCATCTCCTTTTGCGAACGCATCCGAGAGGATCGTTTGCTGAGGAAGTGTTACAAGGGTCTCGCTGAGAAGGACCTCCTTGATCTTCAAAAGGATATGATCCTGACATCCTTCGTCGATGTTTCACCAGCTGAATACCAAACCCTTCGGTCCAAACTGATTTTGAGGCACCATCTCATCTTCAAAGAAGGCCGCTTTCCCAAACATCAATACGAAGCTTTGGAGAAGAACTTTGAGGACGCCATGAGAGAAGTCTGGGTGGAAGAAGAAGTCTTGGAGCTATGCAAAGGCTACTTTGGAGCCGTTGAATCCATTCTCAAGGATTCCAGCTCCATGACTCGACAAAACAAGATCGAAGACGACGCGTATGTCAACAGAGTTACTTACCGCATGACAGGCAAGCTTGCCTTTATCCATTAACGGGCGCGGGCGGTACAACCGTTCTGGCTGTCTTGTGCAGTTTTCCATCCGTTGTGGCTGGTGAAGAGGCGGAGAGCCAGCAGAACCAATTTTACCATGTCTCTTGTATAATAACAACAATATATCAAATAATAGAAAATAAACATGGATTTTCCACCAAACTCATCTTTCAGTGACTGCTGCAACCGATCACATCACAAGTTGCTACCGGTACACATTCAGGCCGTTCCTATGCGTTGTAACTCTTTTGCGGCACAACTAATGATAAACTATAAATGAAACAATTGACCAAATGATTGATTCGACGCAATGGACTCAATGAACTGGCCTGTCTGTCACTCGTTCTTTCTGAATCAATGTCGTCATCATAGTCGACTGTAAAGATCCACCTCCATACAGAATATAGTACTACCTCTCCTCTTCTTTGCCATTGACACTACAAGAAATCCACGATGCTCTCTCAACTGCGGTTTGGCATCCCTCTCTTCCTACTACTCGTTTGTGATGGAGAAGCTTATTCTGTCACACCCAACAAGCATCAACAAAAGATGCTTCCACCGACTCAAGGCAACTTGAACCAAAACAGAAGACATCTCTTGACCAATTTGGTTGGAATGACGTCTTCCATATTGATTGCATCATCATCATCATCATCTCCTTCCTTTGCGTTCGATGGATCTGGCAGCTCGGCTTATGCTGGTCGATCCCCTGCCACGAAGGCTGAATTGAAACGTCAGTACAAGGAACGGATTGTGGCCGATGTCCGAGACTTTAACACGCTCGGAAAGGCCATCAACAAGGGTGAAACGGAAGGGAGTGCCTGGGTCAACTTTTTCATTCAGTTCCAACGTAGAGAACCTGATGCAGTGGGTCGAACCTATGGAGCGTTGGTCGATCTGAGAGGAATTCGGTGAGTTTCTGCTTTCTTCTGTCGTTGAAGGACCAGCTATTTTTGTGGCAACCGTCAATTATGTTTTGCAGAAGCATGTATTCACTGACTCTTGTTATTTGATCTTTTTCCTTGAATAATCCAAAACGATCATCGCTTATCGCAATCTGATTCTCCCACTCTTCATTTTAATTTAAAAAAATACCATCGTAGCATAAAAAAGGAAGAATTTGAAGGTGGCGACGGAATGCTCCTGGCCAATACCTTTACCAAGGCTGGCAAGCCACCGGACAATACACCTGCTGTCAAAAGTTTCAAGAAACTTTCGACTAGCTTTGATGCTATTGAAGAGGCTGGCAAACAGGGAGACGCCAAAAAGGCCGCGGCCGCATGGAGTAAAACCAAGTCGTTGTTGGAGGCTTTCTTGGCCGATGTGGAAATGCCGAGTTCCTTGGCGGATCCAATCTACAATTAGGTTATTATTGAACATATATGTTTACAAGACTGGGAGGGAATGCTCCCTGAGCGCAACAAGTCGACAGAGTCACAGACGCGCGTATCCTCACCATGAGGAGGAAAGTCATCGGAAACAGAATGGATTCAGTACAGAATCAAAAATCATGTGATACAGCCAAGGATAAAGAATAGGTACAATAAACTGAATTATTTTACTTGCGAGGTTATGTTGTGATGGAGAAAGGTAGGAAGTCTAAATATAAGTAAGGTTCCCAAAATGAAATGTTCCCGATCAAAATTTATTTTATGGCGCGCAATTGGTTCGACTCAACGGACTGTCACAGCCCCATAACCGCAGCAACAAAAATTGAAAATCAACCTGAATGTTTTCTTTCATTGTCTTTGCTCTTTGTCTTGTCCATCATTCCGTAGGTAGACAGTGAGAGATTCGTTCCTTCTATCATTTAAGCAACAGAAAGACAAGGGACACTAACAAGCAATAAGCGCTGAGGACGAAAAAGGAAACTGCCTTAAAAAAATATAGCGCGACTGATTGTTCGAGAATCAAAGTTTTCATGTTCCAGGACTTCAGCGGAAATCTAGATCAATAGAAAGCATGGATCGTGCCAACATGCCGCGTCCCAAGTCAAGTCGAGGTCGTCATGATCGAGGCAATCAAAATGGCTCTCGCAGTAACAACAGACGCCGCACGCAAGATGACAGCATGGACTTTGAAGATGATCGACAGCCCACGCATCAGTCAAGTAGACACGAAAGGAAGAAATCACCGCTCAATGGTATGAATCCACTCCAGTTCACAAAGTCAGAGTACGCGCACGAAGCATTGGTAGCACCCGCAGTGAAATCGATATATGAAAGAAATGGAAGAAAGAAAGGCCAAAAAGTTGCTAGTCCTTTGGAAAGAGCGCAAATACTTCAAGGAGGGCCAAGCAGCAGTATGAGTGACAAAATTCCAAGAAAGGTCAGGTATCGTGAGAAAGAACCGCCGAGTAATCCATCACTGGGGCAAACTCTTATTCAAGGGTTCAAGACGATATTTACTGGTAGGAAGCGATCTTCGGATGATTCCTCAACTTCCAACACTTCCAACAACAGCAAAAGACATAGGCGAAATGTCAAAACCGACAGTCTCGCAAACGTCCCACAAACAAGAAACAAGCTTAAGCAACAAAATGGGGCACATAAGAAAGCCACCGAGGTCATTGATTTGGCAGATTCTGATTCCAATACAGAAGACGAAAGCACGGCCCAAAATCAACTGAAACGCAATAGGTCAAAGCGAAAGTCAGATTTGTTTGCTGAAGTAGGTTCGAAGAAGCAAGCTGCCAAACCAGTGACCGAAAAGCCAACCACTGGTATCTATGGACTCCTTGGTCACGTGACACAAGAGGTAAAAGAAGCAGTTCCGGACACCCCATCGGATGACGATGGCGTCAAGGCCCAAAGTCCTACCAAGCATGCTCTTCACAGTGATGTTGATTCTTCGTCTTCTTCAGACGATGATAAGACAAAATCACCAGACGAACCAGATACAGTTCGGCGAAAATCATTACAAGAGCAGCAGCTAGAGAGAGAACGCCAAGGGCTCAAGGACGTCATTCGGAACAATCTTTACCAGACTTCCGATGTGGACGAGGCTGGTGGCAATCAAACAGAAGGGGATAGCGACAGTGAAGAAAACTTCTCGTTTCTTCCCAAGGGTAGTGTACGAAAGAGCAAACCTGCCGCAAGACTCCAAGTGGCTCAGCACGCTGCCAAGACTCGAAAGAATACGGATATGGAAGACATCAATAACTTTCACCAAAAGAAGAAGAAGGCTTCTCGAAAAGATGCTGCAGGAACCCAACCAATCGTATTGGATGTCGACGACGATGAGAATGATGGTACCAACGCAAACACAAAAAGCAAATATTTCGAAAACAACGAACCGAGTGGCCATCCAAAAGTATTGCCCCACCCGGGCATGAATTACCCCGACATACAGCATCCCGATATGCAGTACCACGACATGCAGTTGTACAACGCGAACGAACCAGGTCCGAAAACACCTTCCGATACAGCTCTACCTGCTGACTTGGCGGTAGGTAAAGATACCAGCACGGATGCCATTATGGCAGACTTTGATCAGAAGGTTGGGCAATGGAAAAATGGAGCAACGCCAAAATCGTCTTCGAGCCAGGCCGACGGCGAAGACGAAGACAAATTCTGGGGCGACATTGCCGCAAAACGGCAAAGTAAGAGCACGAACGAGGAATCATATAGTCCAGAAGATGCCAAGGCGTCTAGAAGGGCCCGAAAGATAGCACAGGTTGATGACGTCGCTATCGACACGGATTTCGAAATTACTCCAACGCGCAAGATGTCCAAAGATCGGATACTCCAAAACGCATTGCGAAAAGTAGGTATGGATCCGTCAAGTCTTACGCTTCAAATTACCAAGGTAAATGGTGCCAAACCGAATGCGCGTAAGTACCGATGGCTCCTACCCGTGTTGATCTATTGTACGGTACCCTTAATCTCACTTTCTGATTGAATGCTACAGGAAAGGGAAAGCGCGTGATCCCAGGTGCCTCTACAGCAACGGAGGCACGTAGTCAAGAAACGACATCGTCTCAAGAATCCCGAGAGTTTTGTGCTAGGACTAGTGGTAGAAACAGTGGTAGGATATCGACACGCTATGGCACCAGATCGCATAGTAGTCAGGAGCGTGAGGATTACATCTTGGCGCAACAGATGCAGCAACAAGATGACATGCTGGAAGCAAGCAGAAGAAGAAACCAAGGGAGAACGTTGAAGAAGAAAAAGAAGCCAGCAACAAATGAGGACGAGCCGATCGTGCTTAGCAGCGACAGCGAGGAAGAGGACCATGAGGAACTCCATGACATGGAAGTGAGTGCAGTTGCGGTTTCATTTTCTTGCTTTTTAAACATTCTCATCATTGTTTGCTGCAGTACGATTTGTGTCGAATTGCTTTAGGAAAGAAGGTCTCTGGCAACGGCTGCCGGTTGACCTTTTCGCGTCGCAATAACCAGCTGATCCTATTTTTTAAGAGGCCAGGGCGTCGAGGACGAAACTCAAACTACGGGGTAGAAGAGATTTCCTTCCAGCTGAATCGAGAAACTGTGAAAGAATTCAAATGCTACGAAAAGAAGGAAAGAGATGACGACGAACCCTCTGCCCATTCCGTTGATTTCAACTTTGTAGCGATTCGAGCCATTCCGTGCGAAGGATCGAAAAATCTTGACAAACACCTGAATAAATACAAACCCGAAAGTGAAGATGCGCCAAAGAAGGAACGGTTTATCATACTTGAGTTTCCAGTAGATGCTGACTTTGATCATTTTCGCACCAAGATGGAAGACCATCTTGCTGAAATTTGCCATCTGGACAGGATCGATAAAGAAGAAGCGTTGTCATTTGCCGAGGCACTAGTCGACGACTCGCAGAGAATGGCAACATCTAGAATTGCAATTGAAACCCAGTCCTCATTTCTACAGGGACGTGGACCTGAAAATGTGCTTCTGGTGTATCCTTTTACCGGCGATCCAACAGAAATCGAAGCCGCTGCGGATGGCTTGCACGAGCCAAGCGGAAAGCTGAAGATCAACCGTGGTTACAGTTCGGACGAGTCGGACAACGAGTCGGATCAAGAAGAAGCCAGCAAAATGCATATTTCGAATACTCCATCTGGAGACTTGGTCGATATGAAGGAAGACACAGTTTCAAAAGTGAAAGTGCGGCAGCACTATGTGACCTTGCGTGTCAAAGATTACGAAAGACTCCAACCCGAAGAGTGGCTCAATGATTCTCTAGTTGACTTTTGGATGCAATGGTACGTATTACGCAGAAAGCGGATGTCGTTGGCTTCTCCATCATCCACATGGCTAATACGTCTTTGGAACTTCAAGGATTGCAAGAAGCGAGGACAAGAGCAACACCAATCTACATTTCTTCACGTCGCACTTCTATTCGTCCCTTGCCGGGGGTGGGCCAGAAGCGGTGACATCTTGGACTGCCAAGAAGAATATCAACATATTTGAGAAAAAGTTCATTTTCATTCCGATCAACAAAGATCTTCACTGGTCGCTGTGCGCCGTTGTGAACCCTGGTTGCATCAGCAACTCATACGAGGCAGACCTTGACAAAAAGGCAAAGCTTGATGTTCCTTGCCTGATTTTCATGGATTCGTTGAGGATGCACAGAAAAGTTGCCATTCGGAAGAAGATTGAAAATTGGCTCAACTCGGAATGGGAACGGATAAACCCAGATGCTGATAATACCAAGCCTTTCACCAAGGATAAGTTTCAATTGTTTACTCCAGCAGGTAAGGATGCGGATTGGGAAGCGACTAGCGTCCAGATATGCTAAAGATCTCACACACTGTCTCTTGTTGCGATGCAGTTCCAATGCAGAACAATACATGGGACTGTGGTGTCTTTGTTTGTCGATACGCATTAGCCATTTTCAAATTGCGAAATCGCTCTTTCACGTTTCGAGATGTGCATGGTGATTCTCCTTTCTCCAGGCTTGTCGCTGGTGGTGCAGAATTCGACTTCAACATGAAGGATATTGTCCGCTTTCGCGGAGAGTTCCAAACGCTGATCGAGAATCTTTCTGGGGTCTACTCCAGGTGGAAGCGTGAAGGAGAGAAACCAAACCCCAAAAGTGACGATGCCGAGAAGAGCGGTGGACAAGAAGTGGAAACACACGAAGACAAAAGTAGTGATCAAGAAATGACTGACGCAACAAAGAATGCCGATCAAGTGACTGATTTGGTCCCATCGGAACAAAAAGCGACGTCGAGTCCTCCAAGCGGTAGCCCTGAGGATGAGTCGATGGACTTGGTCAACGAAAATGAAAGCACGTCAGTAGCGATCGAGGCGAATTCACCTCCTGACAGCGAGGACGTGGTAATCGAAAATGAAAGTGGTTCGGTTATAATTGAGGCGACTTTACCTCATGATAGCGAGGGCTTGGTCAACGAAAATGAGAGCGATTTCATAGCAACAGAGCATTATGCACCTCCTGATAGCCATAATGAAGTATTTGCCGACATATGATTGCTCGAAGAATCCACTCGGTCCAGTGTACGACAAAAATGCGACCGCTGCGACAGCCGTCTATAAATGAAATATTCAACACAGCATGCGTATGCAAGCAAACCAGCACCACTAACACGAATTCTGGCAACGGAGTAATGGTTGTCTATCATTTATTATTGTACCTATCAGTATTATAACTTCAATCAGAGTACTGTTCCACAAACTTTGCGTGATGTTTAGCAAACAAGTCGATAGCCTTCAATGTGTCTGGATGCAAAAATGTTGTTCGAAAGCCTACTCGGCCCTTCTTTTGTCCAAATCCGGATGCTGGAACTACGCAAATTCCAGTCTCTTCCAGTAGACTGAGTGCGTACAGGTTGTCTGGCGTAGTTCCCTGTTCCTTGGCAGCTTCAATGGCTTTTTGTGGGATTTCCACACTTGGAAATGCATACATGGCACCCTCGGCTGGGACGCATGTGATTCCTGGAATCGTATTCAGCCCCTCCACAAGCTTCTTGGATCTTTCCTTGAGGCCATTGTAAATGCCCGTCATTTCCTTGTCAAACAATGCGTAGGATTCGTCACTTGGCTCAGGAGGTCGTAGCATGAGACTAGTCATGACTTGACCAACGACACCGGAACACAAGTCTGCACTTGCGAGTTTGTAAAGTTGACTCTGCACGTAAGGATCGATGTGATGAAGTTCCATGTATCCGCCCCTTCTACCGCATTCCCCGATTAACCCCTTGCTCGTCGAATGAAAGCTGACAAGCTGCAAGTCACGTAGTTGGCAATCCAATGCCACCTTTTTGGCGCTGACAAATTGGGCAGTTTCGGCATAGACATTGGTCTGGTAGACTTCGTCGGCAAGAACGACAATTCCATTTTCATCGCAAAACTCTAGAATGACCTGAATATCCTCGTGAGTCATGACATTACCCGAAGGATTACCAGGGTTGATCATTGCCAATGCCTTTACATCCAAGTCTTCTTTCTTGGCCTTTGCCAATCGCTTATCGAGCTCTTCTCTCGTGACGGCCCAATTCAAAGATTCGTCGAGTTCGTAGCCAACCTGTCGTCCTCCAAGTTTGGAAATCAATGCCGAGTAGATTGGATATTGTGGAATGGGAATCATAATGGCGTCCTTGTTACTAGCCAACAGTCCTTGCAATACCATGGAGATGGCAGTCGATGCGCCATTGGTCAAGAAAATGTTACCCGGATATGATTTATAGCCATCACGGTTTTGAATAAACTCGGCCACATGTTTCCTCAGCCCAAGTATGCCTTGCGAGTGAGTGTAGGCCCCAGTTCCGCTCGGTCCAATGATTTCGCGGTATTCCCTTGCTCGTTTGACTACATCACGGGGAAACAAGTCGTTGACGTTAGGATGGTCCACACCGTATTCGGCAGGAAGGTCACAGAGTGCCAACGTTTGACGGAAATAAGTAATAGGTGCTTGTCCCACTTGGTGGGGATTTCCAATATTCGTGTAGAGAATGTCTCTTCCCTGTGCTGCTAGCTGATCTGCTTTCATTACCACCTCTCCGCGCACGGCATATTGCATACGTCGGAGCGATTGACTCATGGTTTCCTCATTCCATGTGTAATTTTCCTCCTCTTCGGCATCGGAAATATACTGCTCGCCCTGCTGTGGATGTTGTGCCAAGTATGCCATGATTCGACTGTTTTTGGTATCCGCACTCATTTTGGTGGCTGCAATCAACCATTTCTTGAATGCCTTCATATCGTATTGCTGTCCCGCCGCCTCCTGTTGTTCCAGTCGATTCCAAGCATAGGGCATAATTTCCGTTGGATCAATCTCGACGCCATCCGGATCCTTCAAGACTTCAATCATAAATGCTTTCAGTTCCACTGGTTCAACGAATCCGTTTTCGTCCAGATCGATTGCTTCAAAGAGAGCATTGGCACCCCGACCTGTGGAGAAGTAGAACTCCCACAGTTGTTTCCGAACGTTTGCCAATGGTTTCGACTTGGCAACCTGACTGGCAAGACTGGAGGCAAAGGGCCGACGAATCGTTGTATGCCGATCTTGTGATTGTCCTACCCATTGGTTCAATGGATGCTGGATTGTAGAAGAAGACTGATTGAGCCGTCTCGAACTTCTCAGAAGTTTGAACATTGCAGGAGCCTTAGATGACAACATAATGCTACAGTATTCAATTTCACCTGTCGTTTCTTCAAGTACGATGAACAGAATTAAATTGTCTCTGAGGCTCAGATCTGGCAAATTGAGAAGGAAAACTAAGAATCAATGAAGCTGGTAAATTGATGCTTGCTTCTGAACAAACGAGATGTCAACAGCTGTCTAAAAGGATCTTATCTTTTTTAAATTCTGCGGTTCAAGGTGGACCTTCAATTTCAAAAATTGCTGTCGTCACGAGGAAACCAACCAATCAAATCGCTCCTTCTGACACTCATTTTCTATCACTAATAGGCACGTGTACTGCATGAAACCTTGCTGAGAAAAACACATCATCGTGATGACTGACTCTGAACTATTTGCAACATTCTCTCCCATAGTTGTGTGTGCACATTCTGCTTCGTCTTGTTGTCCACAGCTCATCATCCAGAATGGCAACATTCAAATTCCCACACATTTTCTTGACGGGTCATCCTTCGGTCGGGAAAACCACCATCATCAAAGGTGTGCAATCATCGATCCAACAAAAGTGTAATGGTACAGATGGTAATGTGACCATCAGTGGGTTCTATACGGAAGAATGTCGAAATAAGAGTGGCAATCGAATAGGATTTGACATTGTTTACTGGCCTACTCCTGCAACAAGAACCCAAAAACAACCATCAGAACCACAACGCGTTGCCTTGTCCCGCATGGTGGATCGAATACAAAAAGGAAAACCATTTGTGGGAAAGTACTTGGTTGATATTGACAATGTGGCAAAGTATGCGGTTGGATCCATTTCCGCTGTTGAAACTGTTACAACGAGCAAAAACCAAAGGTCACCGTCGTTGGTGATTTTGGATGAAATTGGCAAAATGGAAATGTTATGTCCGCAATTCATTCCAGCAGTCAACAAACTATTAGACGACTCGTCCAATCCGACTACTCGCCGGGTCGTCTTTGGAACGCTTCCTACCCCTCGGTATGGTCGAGTCATTCCGGACGTGGAATCGGTCCGAGCACGGGACAATGTGTTAGTTTTGCATGTGACCAAGGACAATCGCGATGAATTGCAAAAGTTGTTATCCGAGATACTTTCAAAAGTCCTACTCTTCGATATATCAAATGATGACAGTAGTGGTTTAATAAAGGCATTGGAACCATATCGATACATTCGTCCAATTGGAGCTTCGTCGTTGAGTGGAGACAAAAAGAAGGAGGGTACTAATGTACACAAGAAGAATCAAAAGGCAGACAAACGAGGAACCAATCTGTCCACTGGCGAGAGTACTGCTACCAGTGTCAAGCCAAGTGGCCCATTATTATCACCGTCCATTCCACCCAAGGTCTTGATCGTTGGAGAGACTGCATCTCCATTGCCATCGAATCCGGAATATGCTTACTGCGAACGATCCATGTGGATTGTGTTGAGCAAAATGTTTGATCTGCCGACGTACAAGCCCATTTTGGATCCTTCCTCGGCGAGTGAAACAGCCATGGCGAGCTACAAAGTGGTCAAGAATTTGGCTCTAGCAAAAGGAATCTGTATTTGGGATGTGCTGGCGAATGTCCATCAAAAGTCCAAGGGTAGAAAGAAGCAAAAGCCTGTCGATACGCCAAATGATATCCAAGGCCTACTGAAAAAGTATCCATCCATCGAAATGATTGGATTCATTGGTCAGAAAGCCCATGCCAAATACAAATCATTGTTACACGATGATCCGGCACACGATGATGGAAGAGACGTGCAGCTCGTCACGCTGCCTAGTTCCAGCCCGTCGAATACACGACTCTCCGTCGTGCAAAAGGTGGATGCCTGGAAATCTGCCTTTGAAAAGGAAATGGCATAGGAGTGGTCGCATGGGAAGTATAATGATAATAATAATAATAATAATAATGTCTTAAGCATAAAATGTACAGCTTTTTTTAATTTGATTCAGAGTCTCCATGGTCATCGGCTTGTCTCTGATTTGTTGGTTTTTTGAAGTGTAGTCGTGTAGTTCCCCGTCGTTGTAGCATTCAATTCTGGAATTGTCGTACTATTGACTGTTCCTTCGATAACTCCAGTCTTGTTACCAGGCAGAAGATTGGTTGTATTTGTTGTTTCTGTAGAATTCACCACGTCGTCGTCAAGTGCTGTGTTACTGCCATCCACCAAAGTCATGTTGGTACTATTGGTGGTGATTTCTGTCATCATTCTTTCATCTGTTGTGTTTGTAAAGTTCGACAACACACCAGTCACGTTGCTTCCATTTTCCATATCGCCCTCTTCATCAGTGTTGTTGCCGAAGGTTGCGTTGGAAAGTACCTCCATTCCTTCCTCGGTACTGTTGGTAAAGTTGCTGCCTATGACGTCGGTGGAGTTACCTTCCATGTCTCCATCAACGAATGTCTCATTGCCAAAAGTAGTGTTTGTGGAATTACCAAATTCAGTGATATCGGTTTCATTTCCTTCCACCCCAGTAATATTTAGACCATCTTCGACAATATCAGTCGAGTTGCCAGATTCAGTGATGTTTGTAAAGTTACTCATGACAGTGTCCGTAGAGTTACCTTCCAAGTCTCCATCGACAAATGTCTCATTGCCAAACGTAGTGTTCGTAGAGTTGCCAAATTCAGTGATATCTGTTTCGTTTGCTTCCACTCCAGTAGCATTTAGACCATCTTCGATTGCATCCGTCGAGTTGCCATACTCAGTGATATTTGTAAAGTTGCTGCTGATGGCGTCGGTAGAGTTACCTTCCTTGTCTCCGTCAACAAATGTCTCATTGCCAAAAGTTGCGTTTGTAAAGTTGCCAAATTCAGTGGTATCTGTTTCCTTTCTGTCCACTCCAGTCACGTTCAATCCATCCTCAATCATATCAGTCGAGTTTCCAGATTCAATGATATTTGTTTCGTTTCCATCCAACCCCGTGACGTTCAATCCCTCTTCGACAATGTCAGTCGACTTGCCCGCTTCAGTGATACCTGTTTCATTTCCTTCTGCTCCAGTACTGTTCCATCCATCGTCGGAGGCATCAGTAGCATTGCCCTCCAAGGAGCCAGTTTTGTTGAACGATGTTACGTTTCCGAGCTCAGCATCAGTAATGTTCAAGCCATCTTCCACTGTAACATTGGTATGGTTGGATGGTGATTCCAAATCAGTGTTATTTCCTTCGACACCTGCGGTCTCATTCCAGCTGGTCTCATTGCTCGCAATGGTGACTTTGGCCGCAGAATCAGCATTGCTGTCTTCGTCTTCGTTCATTCTTTCAGAGCCATCAGAATTGGCGTCTTCTTCTTCGTCCTTTCTTTTGGAATCATCGCCATCGCCATCGCTGTCTTCGTCTTCGCCCTTTCCTTTAGAATCATCGGCGTCGCTGTCTTCATCTTCGTCCTTTCCTTTAGATCCGTCAGCGTTGTTGCCTTCATCTTCCTCCTTCGCTTTAGATTCATCAGCATTGCTATCTTCATCTTCGTCTTTTCCTTCAGGACCATCGGGATTGCTATCTTCGTCCTTATCTTTGTCATCTTCGTCCTTGTCATCTTTATCCTTGTCTTTGTCATCTTCGTCCTTATCTTTATCATCTTCATCCTTGTCCTTGTACTTGTCATCTTCATCCTTGTCTTTATCATCTTCATCCTTATCTTTGTCATCTTCGTCCTTATCTTTGTCATCTTCATCTTCATCCTTGTCCTTGTCATCTTCATCCTTGTCTTTATCGTCTTCATCCTTGTCTTTATCATCTTCATCTTTATCGTCTTCATCCTTATCTTTGTCGTCTTCGTCCTTATCTTTGCCATCTTCATCACTATCCTTGCCCCCAAAGGTACCACTGTCTTCGAGGTCATTGGGTTCGTCATTACTACTCTTGGGGTTGCCATCCTGAGGCGGTGCCGTGATGCTGGAAAGATTTGGACGCGAAGTAGCACCAGCACCACCAGCATTGCTAGTACTACCAGTGGCAACAGTAGGTTTATCCATGTCAAAGTAACTACTGTCTTGGGAAATGGAAATAAAGACTACCGCCATGATGGCCAAAACAACATATCGGCATTTTCCACCACCACCACCACCACCTCCGCCGCCACCACTACCCTGTGGTGGATGCTGCGCATGTGCACCATGCTGACGGTGATGATGAGGCAGACTAGCATTGTTGTTTGGACTTCTTGATCCAAAGAAACCTTGACTCTTGGGTTTCGGAGGGTTTCGGTAGGGATTGGCTCGAGGCATACTTTAAAATGGTGTAAGAAGGAAACCTGAAAATGACAATGACTGACTCTTTTTTGTGTTGTTTTGGTGGTTTGACTTTTCTTAGAGTCGAATATATTCAGAAACCTTCAGCAATTGTTGGTGAAGGGATTAACTGAAACAGTGAATGATGAGGAAGAGTATCCTTGTTCCACTGGCACACGGTTTGTCTGAAATGAGAATGCTTTTACCGGTATTGTCTCGCCGTTTTTGGCAGTTTGCAGTCGTCATTTTTCTCACGTTTTCGATTTTGGTGCGTTCAAAGGACAGACTGCAAGTTGAAGATGTTCGAACTAGTCCATCGCATTGCCCAGTTTCAGTTCACGTTGACGTTATTTAGCAGTCAAGGGATTCGAGTCCTGGATCGAACACGATTGGAATCAAAATGGGTCTCAATAAAAATCAAATCAAAATTCTGATCGATCGATGACACAAAAAATCCAACTGTTGACTCTTGCTCACAAAACAAAACAGAGAAAAACCAATCAATATCGATCAACAAAATTTAAAGATGCGCAACATTCTAGACAAAGTGTACAGAGAACTGTCTGTGACAAAGACTTTAATGGCAGAGAGAGAAGAACTTCGTAGAGATCAAGAAGATTTCGAATCTCGAGCCTCCGCGATTCAGCATGAATACAGCCTGCGTGGACACGATTCATCACATGTCGACAACGACAACAACAACAACAACAAGATTAACAATCAAGAACATCTACGCGGAAGTGAACAGCGACAGCATCACCGGAAAATGCTGGCAGATGATGATGGTCCTCCGGAAGGTCCCATTTCTTTCAATCGTGAAAGTGCCATGTTTGAAGCGGTTTCCGATATGGACCAAGCATTTCCAATCTTGGATAATGCAACAATTTCTACCGACAATACAACAGCCACCACTTCCGTTGGCAATGGTATGTCGAGTCAGCTAGATGTCGGTGCTTGGTTGCTCATGGTCTTGGTCGTGGGATTCGCCGTCTTTGGGGTTGTCACCTATCGGAGTAGCCCACGAGGACGCAGGCGAAGAGGATCGAATGACTTCCACTACAGAAGCGTTACACTGCCAGTAGTGGCGGAGGACGATGACTGGGGTTCCGCTTGAAAGTAGTGTATAGTAGTAGCTCGAGGACCAACAATGAACTAGGAGTAAAGTCGACTATCGCAGTACCTTTTTCCAACCTCCAAAGATGCCAATAAGATCGGTGTCAACTAATAATATACTTTCATACCTACGAAAGAAGCAGGATGCGTCATGATCAGATTATCTACAGTATCTATTTCATACACTTGACGATCCCGCTATCAGCATATTTTATAATATGATAATGTAAATAAAGAAATATTATCGACATGAGGATGATGATAATGTTGTGAATGTCATCATGATATTTCCTCATCCGGTGAGCGCATACCTTTTTTTAAAAAATTTGGTTTGATCTGAAGAATCAATCGACAGAATAACCATCTGCCAGCCAGGCAGGATACGACTATTCCATTTGAAAGGATCGCATCTTAGTAGGCCACTGGTGCCTTTAAAAAAAAAAGGAAAATGCAAGATATCATGCTCCAGTACCGTACAGCAGGAGGTATCGGTAGTGGGTAGAACCGGTACGAACATGTAAAATGTGGGGACAAGGAGAACCCATAGCACACTTCCTGCCTATGAAATAGAAGAGTTTTCAACGCTTTGGCCTTTCTTCGGGAACTTTATTTGCTTTGTCCAATGGTGGTTTCTCGACACCACCAGCTGCTGCCGTGTTGGAAATTTCTCAAACGAATGGGAGTACCGGCACGAAAATGTAACATGTGGGAAGACGAAGGAAACAAAGACACTTTTGCCTTTGAAATAGACGAGTTTCAACGCTATTCTTGCGAAACCTTAGAATTGGAGTAACGCCACGAAGAAGCCCAAGACACTCCTTCCTTTGAAATTGAAGAGTTTTCAATGCAATTCTCTCGATACCTCAGAATGGGAGTACCGATAGTCCAGCCTGTTCTGCATACGCTAACACAGTAACTTATGACAAATATATGGAAAAGGTGTCGGTTTGATTCTGTCATGGTCTCATTCCAGAATTGCAAGAATATTCGACATCCGATTGCGACATGCCTCCAGGTCATGAAAGACTCAACTTCGGCATGTCGAAGGATTCCATATTCGCTTTCGGGATTGTACGTAAAACGCGGCTATCAAAGTGGTCTCGTAGCAATATATTCCGAAAGGCTCAAGAAAGCTTGGGTATCATCGATTTATGAACCATGCCGACATGACTGTTCCGAAGTGAATTTGAATAAAAGAAAATCAGCGAAGGGGTTCTTGTGACTGGAGCAGAGGATTTGTTATTAAGTGGAAAATACCGGTACTGCGAAAACACCTGATGCAACATTCACTGGCGAATCGGGAAATCTGAAAGTTCTCTCTTGTCTGATCGAAGCGAGAGGCAGCATCATAAACTTGGATCATTCAAACCTCGAAAGATGACATCGTTGACAGTATATTTCAATGAATTGCTCCAAAGTCGAGGAGTCAAGGACACCATCCTCATTAATGACGACGCTACCGTTCTCAAGTCTCGGTCATACCCTTATCTCTTCCCAAAGGACAAAATAACGCCAAAAGAAGAACCATGCAAATTTTCACATTCTATCGCAGTGTCAAGTTCTCAAGCCCCATGTTGCCCACGAAGGAAAATAAGCGTGGACGACTTTTCTGAATATTCTTACAGGTCTTCAGAGACAAAATTCCGAATGACCATAGATGATGATTCATCCGAAGAAGCCGGAGGAGGCATCGACAAGATGTTGGCGGACATGATGAAACGGCGAAGCGAACAGCGGAAAGCACAAAGAATCAGCGAGAGTGTTCCAGAAAAGAAAACAGAAATATTCAGACTTCAGTCAGCTGATGCTGATACGGTGCGTGAAGTTGTCTCGGCCGTCTCAAGTCCTCTTCAACACAAGGATGATAAAAACCTGCTGAGGACACTCCGACAGAAGACTTCGAGTGGACAGGGATAGCATGCGGTTTCGTTGCAACCCATCCCAGACGGCATTGTACATCTTAACAACACTTTAGTAGAACATAATTCATAGACTCCGTTACACGAGATAGTGCAGCAAATTGTCATGTAAGTTGCCCGATTTTTCCAAAAGATGCAACTGGGATTACCATAGAGGGCAAAAGCCTGATGGAACTTATCAATCTGCAGGGTGAATGGACTAGGAGATTGCTTATTGAATACCTCCCCCCTTGAGAGCCTTTTAGCAGCCGCTTTGTAGTCACAGCCGAAAGGAACAAAAAACCTATGTCAGAGTGACGGAAGCTTTGGTTGCTAGATTGGCTTTCAATGTATTTGCTACGTCCTCCTAGCTCTTAGCTTCGTCATCTACGACATTCTTTTCACCAGAGTCATCAATTTGTTGCTGGTTGATGTTAAGGGATCTTTCAGAAGTACCAAGAAAAGATTTGATGTACCCTGCGTTCTTCTTTTTTCCAATGGAGTTCGATGACTGGGATCTCTGCATCAGCATTCGCCGAGATTCCCTCAGTTCATCACTTACCTTGTTGCTTCGTCTTTTTGGATCCTTGGATCGACTCAGTCTCCTTCGCACTGCACCCGGAGACCGTGGTGCCGAGCTGATGCTGCTGGACCGTGATCGTGCAGATGTTGACAATGATGATTGCTTTGCAAGTGATTCAATTTCGTTGGATGACCGAGACCGAAATGAATCACCTTGATTTTCACTGTCTGCCTGTGATTGATCAGTTCCATTATCATTCAATGGTGCTGTTGTTGCTGAAAGCGTGTTGATGCTCCGGCGACTCTGCTTCCTTCGCACCGCCGCCGGAGAGCGTGGTGCTGAGCTAATGCTACTGGAACGCCGTCTTGAGGATGTCGATGCTTCCTTTGATTCAGTATCGTTGGTTGACCCCCGAGATTGCAAAGAATCATCTTTGATTGATGGATTGCTCAGCTTCCTTCGCACAACGGCGGGAGAACGTGATGCTGACCTGTTACTGAAGCTGGAACGTTGTGATATGGATGCTTCCTTTGTGAGTGATTCCGTATCGTTGGATGGCTGAGACTGCAAAGGATCATTCTTGATGGATCGGTTACTCAGCTTTCTTCGTGGTACTACGGCCGGAGAGCGTGATGATGAGCTGTTACCCATGCTGGACCGCCGTGATGTGGATGCTTCCTTTGATTCAGTATCGTTGGATGACTGAGACCGAAAAGAATCTTCCTTGATGGATCGATTATTTAGCTTCCTTCGCACTACGGCCGGAGAACGTGATGCTGAACCGTTACCGATGCTGGAGCGTCGTGATGTGGATACTTGGTCTTCGACTAATTCAGTATCATTGGTTGGCTGAGGCCGAGCAGAGGTGCTGGATCGAGTACTCATTTTCCTTCGGACCACTGCCGGAGAGCGTGGTGCAGAGCTGATGCTGCCTGAACGTGATCGTGTTGCGTTGGATGTTTCCTTTGCAAGTGATTCCGCGTCGTCAGATGCCCGTGATCGCAACGAATCTTCTTGAGCTCCATTTTCATGTTGTTGATCATTTGCAGTAGCATCAGCAATCATTGGTATGGTTGGAAGCTTGGTGCTCCGACGACTAGTAGTGCTAGTTCGACCGCCTCCCTGAAGTCTTTTATTTGCAATCTCCACCAATCGGGTACCGCCGCGTCTTGCAGTCTTTGGCGAAAGGAGACCAAGCTGGTCGTCATCTTCCGAACCCTTTGTGGGCAGCGGTGGTGGGGGTGGGAGTGGCGACATCATATCATTCGGTTGCAAGTTCCGAGTGGATAAACTCCGCCTATTACCGCTGCTTGCTCGCCGTCGTGCAGAAACTGGGCTTCTACTATATTGGGACCTTCTGGAATGAGGCATGGGTGAACTAGTATGGGCGCTGCCTGATGTGGCAACTGCAGATATCTGTTCACTGTCACCATTGTCTGTCACAGGTGGTTGAACTACATTGCTTTTGGAGGTCCGTCCAGGGCTTTTACCAGGTCGTGCTCTTCTTGTACGCGGTTTGGGTGAGATTGTAGTAGGGGAAGCGTTGGGTGTGGACATTGGAGAGACCTTGTCACGTTGGATGGTCGAGCTGATGAGAGCTGGAGCTGGCGGTATCTTGTTTGCAACTTGTTGCTTTTGCTGTTTGTTGGACCCATCGCTTGGATCGTCGGATCTGCTTTCGCTTTCTGCGGTGGTACTTGCGGTAGATCGCAGAGATTTGGGTTGCGGCGTGGGGCTAGTCTTTAAGGCACTGTTCGCTACCGAGGCCGTGTTGGCCGACAAAGGTTTGACAGGGACTTGGAGCTCTCGGGTTCCCAACATAATTTCTTCCATCAACTGCTCTTCTGACATCATTGGCTTTGGCTTTGACATGAAAGCAATCGGTGTGTAGCGTTTTCTCCCCATGGTTTCGTATTTGCTCGTCGCTGCTTGGTTATTGTACTATACAGTGATCAGTTCGTCGCTGATGCATGAAAAAATGCTTGGAAGCTGGACTCTCTTCAAGTCGTCCCGGTGAGTGTCCAGTTTCGTAGATTTTCGCAGTCGCATTGGTAACCGCTATTTAAGGTGTACTTTCTATCGAATAAGTGGAAAAAATGATGGGACTACAGTAGCTTCTGCAAGACATCTTACTCGCAGAAACTTTCAAAAGAAGTTTCGCCAGATTTCGGAGGTTCACGCGAGTTGAAATCGATTGTGTTGGTGTCTGATCGATCTTTTTTATACCATCTCTTTGAATATACTGTCGTTCATAATATATTGTACTATTCAAGCACAGTGCTACAGTATCGTGTTCTCATTCGATTTTTGTGCAAATGAGACGCTTCATAGACCGTGGATAGAGACCGTGAAATAAAAAAGTTTGCCCCAAATGGGGATCGAACCCATGGCCTTCAGCTTATGAGACTAACGCTCTACCTACTGAGCTATCGGGGCGCAAGCTATTTGAAGACGCGAATTTGTACTTTTCAAAACGGATTTTGTCTCCATCCTGGATCGAAGGCGGCAGAGCTGAAATTGCTCAAATAATGGTAGACAATCCTCTTACCTACATTTCAGTCGAAAGCCCGATTTCCGTTGTTGCCATCACAATATGACTGACAGGAGATTTCGAGCAACAAGGACCATGATTTTTCTTTGCCAAAAGCCAAATCGACCTTGGTTTTGATTTGCTTCATGAAGAAGGAGTCTCGGGTGTGTTGGAAGTCTCCAGCACTTGTTTTGGAAGCCACCTACTGTACGTTCCGGCATCAGTGTGTCGAGACTTATTATAGGATATGCTGCAAATTATATTTTAAAAATTGTTATGCCGAGGATGCTTTCGCGGCTTTCGATGGCTGAGGAGGAGATAATAATTCCGTGAGAGGTTCCAAAGTTGGAATGGTCGGAACAATTTTGACTTCTGCCTCCTGATCGACTTCGCTGCCAACTCTTTGTGGCATGGATAGCTTCGAATCCAATGTTTCCCTTAAAGTGGGCGACGAAGACCTGATTGATGACCAACGACACCTTCCTTCTCTTCTTGCTCGCCCAGGCGTTTCTGGGATCTGGTCACAAGGTAAAACGCCGCTCCCTTTGGCGATCATTGGACTCTGGTTTGGATTCCAACGCTCTTCTGACTGCCAAGAGTGCCTCACGGCAGGTGTTCCTGCCGGACGGGAAGACAGTGTTGTATTCGATCCACTAGAGTGTTTACTATCGCGGCTGACCACACTGCTGATGCCCCCCTGCGTCGAAGAGTCGAATATACTTGATGAAAGCTCGCTGATTGCTGGCAATCTTAATTCATCAGACCGTTCACCTGTGTGATGCGTGCAAATTGAATCAGAAGAAGAGGAAAGCCAACCATCAGCATTTCTGTCGCCACCGCTTTCCTGTTGTCGCTCCTGTGTGCAAGGAGTAGTTTGGAAGCTGGCACTCGGCGATGAGACCCCACATTTTTGCAAGCGAGATGCCGGGTCATTGCCTATCTTGTTCTTCTCGGCAGGATTAGTCTTGTCGTTATTACTTTTCTTTTCGGCAGGTTCGGGTAGAACAGTTGGACCCTTTTCCCTGGGCCTTGAAGTGTTTCCCACCAAGAGACTATAACAAAAGCCTCGCATATTTGTGTTATGTGGACTCCTATGCTTCCATCGCAAGTACTTGGGACGCAGAAAGACCAGCATGTTTAGAAAACCTGCGAGTGGGGCAAATATTGCGTTCCCAACCAGAACGGGGAAATATTTTACAGTCATTGAGATTTCTTCGGCTTTGGTAGTTGCCAAGCTCTCAAGGAATATGACCAGAGCGCCCCAGGCAACACAGAGTGCGTATGTTATTACAAACAACAAAGCCTGAGTCCTGACAAGTCGAAAACGTTTGATCTGGTGACTCTGTGGATCCAAACTGGCCTTGCTGGCAAATTCATCAGTCAACATTGTTGACTGAGATTGCGAGGGGATCTGAGGGGGGAGTGGCGGATCACAACCAAATGACTGTTGAGACTGGCTATCATCAAGTTTCTCGTCTCCATCATTACAAGTCATGTCTCTTGCAGTCTGTTCAGATGCATTCGTTCTGCTAAGATCTGGTCGGCGCGATGTGGTTTGACTCCTTACAAAAAGGAATATGGCGATGTTGTTGACAGCCAAGGTAAGCGAAGAAATCCAGAAGGGGATGCCATAAAAGATCCATCCGATGATCACAGACTTGCAGTCATCAGTGCAACCTCTTGGATAGTCATTGACCTATATTCATTCATGAGAAAATGCGAAACAATGGTACGAATGTATAGCCAATAATCGGTACCGTTAGATCTGAAACAAATGTAAAAAGGCGGCGAAAGCGAAAGTGCTTACCCAACATCCAAAACTGGCCGAGGTCTCGGCATACACTCCCCATACAGCTCCAACGACGCCAGTGACAAAAGGATACCCCACAGAAATTAAGTGCATGAACGGCTCGATTCGTTTTCCAATAAACGAATTGCTCAATCCAAATCTTGTCGTAAACAGAAAATAAAAGAACAACATATTGTAGTACAACATTCCGCTCCAAGAAAATTGAATCAAGAATCCAGCAGCCGTGCAGGTCGCATCGTTGCCAAAGGCCCAGGCTCGAAGGCTTCCCCGCGGTCTGAGGAAGCCAGCAGCTGCTATTGAAATGCTCGATATGATGTCGCAAATGCTCATTCCGAGCAGAAGACGAGTGTAGGGTGTCCATCTTCGTTGTTGGAAACCACGACCACGACCACGATGATTGTGAAGCAACATATAAATAATGACAGAGCTTCCAATGATGCTCAAGACTGAGCTTGGGATAGGCAGTACTGCCAGGAGCTTATCCTGTGCATCGCTGAGACCGGGTGGTAAGTCCTGATGTTGTTCCATCAGGTCGGTGGTTTTGTAATCGGGGCTGATGACATCTTACCCTCCTGATGAGAAACCCGATGATTTGGATTTTCGCACCCTTGACAAATAGTTTGCTTCAAATATGTCACACCACGACCGCTCTTCTCTCAAGAATTCGAAAGAATCAATCAATGATCACGCCGTCCAATTTCAATTATTTCGTGTGAGTTCTTTTGGCCACTCCAGAAAAGCTTTGTATCAACAAACACCACCATGCCCATATCCGTGGGATCTGGAGACTGGATGGTGACGAAGATTGCGAAACAAGCATTGGTGACAAGCAACTCAGGCCGCTCTTCTTTTTCTCTTTCTGCCACCGAGCGTGTGTGACAAATCATAACTCCTCCTTTGAGCGGCCTTTTGCACAATATGATAGTCAGGTCACACCACTCACTAACATCTACTAGTGGCAGTATCTATATATACATGAAATTATGACAGTCGACAGTACTGTAGATTACCGTTGTCTACAGTACTGTACAGGCACTGTATCGTCACAGACGTCTGTTCTCGTTGATTATTGCACCATTCTCAAATCTTCTCTTTTTGTAAATGCATCATTATTGTTACTGCCAGTCTCCTCCATGAATTGTGAATGTACTGCACAGCCAGCAGCAACGCAAGGAGCAGGTAGTATTGGCAGTAGTGGTAGCAGCTAGGTGCTCCTCTACAGCAGCAACGAAAGAAACCTGTCCTGACCTCCCACTACCGGTACTGTACCTCCCACTACTACGATGGCGAAACAAGGAATGCGCAACCATTCCGCGACTCATTCGTACCAGGTACCAGGGTGACATGTAGGTTACAGCACCACGGATATTATAACATAATTTAAAATGTAGTGCCAGCTTGCGCCCCGATAGCTCAGTAGGTAGAGCGTTAGTCTCATAAGCTGAAGGCCATGGGTTCGATCCCCATTTGGGGCACACTTTTTATGCCCCAGTCGAATGACTGGACGGCTACTGCACTAATACAGGTACAACGATGAATTTTGTAGCCACATCATGGAATGAATGAATGAATGAATAATAATGCGTTACCTGGTACTATTACAAGAATGAATTTTTGTCTTAACAGAACAACAGGAACCAACATTTTACTTCTTTTTTCAAAAATAAACAGGAAATACATATTAGGCCTAATATTTTAATACATGTCCTAGTTCTTTTTCTAAATATGTTTTGTTTAAAAAACCTCCTTCATCACTAATAGTAATACTATCATTGCTCCTGCAATCCATCCAACAGTATTATTCGCTACGGCCATTTTCTGTCGTCATGCTTGATGAATGACTGAATGAACCAACCAACCAAGAATGATAGACTAATCAATCACCACCACCATGTACCGTTTCTTTCTTTCTTTTTCCATCATAATAGAGTAGTGTAAACACACACACACACACACACACACACACATCAAGCCATCAATCCTCAAATTCCTTTTCTCTCCTTCCTTCCTTCGTTCTCTCTTTTTTGTTTTTCCTTCTTCTTCTTTCCTTTTTTTTAAGAACAACTTGTGCAACAGGAACAGCTCACAAAGTTGCAATCCGCCCGAATGACTTCAGGGAATGTCTCAAATGTCTGTTTTTCCCATTGCATGCATTGGGATGCACTAATCCTTCCACGCAAACCATCATTGTCTTGGAGTTGCAAACTTGTCAAATTCATCCAATTTTGTCCAAAGGTTTCGGGTACCGTCCCCGTCAGTTGATTGGATTGCAACCAAACATATTGAAGATTGGACGAGGCTGTGGTAGAGGGCAAATTGCCTTGCAATTGTCCATCATTGAGCAATAGAAATTCCAATTTGGGTGTCGTTTGCCAGAGCGAGGGTGGAATGGAACCCATCCATTGATTCAATCCCAAATCTAAATGCATGAGGTTTGGTGAATTCCAAGTTTGTGGAAAGGTGGATTGGAAGTTGTTGTTGTAGGCCACCAACCGTCTAAGGGGTGTGGAAGTGGTATACAATTCATTCAATTGATTGAATTGATTGCCGTGAATGCGCAGACTGGTCAATTGTGGAAAGTAGGGAATGGTTCCTTGGAGTCCATTGGCATTGAGGTACAGGGTCAGCAAGGAACTTCCACTGGCCGTGGAGGAGACTACCGATCCCGTCAATTGATTATTGCTCAAATCCAACCAAAGCAGATCTGGCAAATCCAAAAGACGTTCGGGAATGGTCCCAACCAAGGTATTGTTGGGCAATCTCAAAACCTGCAAGGTTGCCAAGGACGTGATTTCTTCTGGAATGCTTCCGACTAGATTCTTATTCCACAAATCCAAGACTGCCACATAATCATATCCATTGCAAGTAACACCCTCCCAGGTACATTCATGAGCCGTCTTGTCCTTGAAGGTCCCATTGCCCAATTGCCAGTTTTGGCCCGAGGTATGTTCAAACAACAAACACAAGATATATCGCTGTTGAATGCGTTCAATGTCTCGGGCTTGTCCATTGACATCGACATTCAAATCAATTTCATCATTTTGGGTCAACCAGAATCGACAATTGCCATGAGCCGTCGATTGGTCGTTCAAATTGACAACTTCATTTCCATTGACAACGTTTCTGGTTTCCGCCGAGAGTTCCAATAAAACATCGTCAATGGATTGAATTTGAATGGGAGAGTAGGTAGGAACGGGTGTGGGTCCATCAATAAAGACATCGTCAAAGGTCGGATAGGTAGGAGGCATGGTAGGCTGACCCAAGTTGTTGTGGTTGTTGTTGTTATTACCATACTTGCCCTCATTTTCTTCGTCAATGGCTTGGACAATGAAATGAATTCCCACGCCAATGCCAGCGAGCAACAAAATTAAAAAGAGGGTAAAGATGCGGACGCGCTTGTTGCAGAAGACTTCCGGTGGTTTTTCATGGGGTGGTGATTGTTCCGAATCTGCACCGTACATTAATTCATTCACGGCGGAACCAGTCACATCGCTTCGACTGCCGCTGTCGTTGCGATTGTATTGTTGTCGTCGTTGTTGTTGATGTGATTGATGTGATTGATGTGATTGATTCTGTGGCAATGATGAGGCCATATCGGAAGAGGAGGAGGAATTGGAAGAAGCCACGGCCGAAGCAGCCGAGGACATTGCGTTGTTATGAATGTTGCCCGCTCTAGAAGACGGTGCTACCGACGTGTCCTCTGGGATGGGATCCAATTCCAGGTCTCCTGGAATGATGGGTGGATTAGAAGGATTCGAATAATTCGCAACATTCTTCTTTTGTTTGGATTTCGGTTTCGATTTGTCTACGGATGGTTTGGCCATTGCGATTGCGATTGCGATGACTGAATGTCTCTTTGTCTTGTCTTTACTCTTGTTTGTATTGCTGCTGTTGGTGCTTCAGTTGTTGTTGTATTAATACTACTTGCTTCCAGGACATTCGTCCAAAGCACAAATAATACGAAAAATAAGAAACACTCACACACAACTTGCAGTCAGTCGTTTCAAAAATGGTCGTTCGTGACGACTTGTGACTTACTGACTGGATTTGCGTTCGTGCGTGGGCAGCTGGAAGGTGCGCGGGCTCGATTCGATAAAAACTAAGAAAGCTCGTGTAAATTAGGGACTCTACAATCCCCGCCAGCAACTTGAAGTTCGGCTCGAGTTTTTTGGAAATTCAACCGCGAGGTCGGTAACAAAGTGCTTGCAAATAGGTTGAACAACGTGTCAAACTTTTAAGTTTTTGACCAATCAGAGTGCCTCATTGCCACTTGAAACTGCAAAAATGCCGAAGGGTTCGGGCAACATGGAAAAAATACCAGTGATTTGCAACCAGATCCATCCATCCATTCATCACAAAATCAATTGCATTCCACCATCTGATTTTAAAAAGCTACACTCATCCTAGTCAGCACACACACACACACACACACACACACACTCACACTCACACAAAACAAAACACACAATGCCATCCTCCAATTCACCTCAAGAAAATAGCGGATTTATGCAACGATTCTTTATCCATGATCCTCAAACCATTCATGACGAAATTCATTCCACATTGAACAAGAATAATAGTGATGATACAAATGCAGCTCCAAGTGGTAGCAATAGTCCTAAACTGAAATATGCCAGCAGTCCAAGCAGCTTGCAAGAAACTATGGAAATTGCCTTTGCATCGTTGGGATTGGGTAATTTGATGGGCATGGGCGAGTCATCCACAACAACATCATCATCCACAACAACATCTACTGTCGGCACGCACAGCAAGAAACAATCCATTGTCATTCCCAAACGAGAATTTGAAACCAAACCATTGCACAGCTATGCAGCACCTCATCAAGAAAGAAATTATTCTTATCAAATTCATCAAGGAAATCAACAAATCCGAGTCGATATTGAAGCGACTGGATTGTCCAAGGACGATTTGTCGGTCCAAGTCGTCAATATGCCGGCCTGTGTCGTCCAATGGAGCAGTAGGAGTGGTGGTGGCAGTAGCAGTAGTAGCAGCAGTAGTAGTAATAATACTTCGAATGCGAGTCCCAAAAATCGACTGCGATTGGGATCGTCGGTCGATTGCCAACGACTTTCGGCCAATTTGCACAAGGGTGTCTTGCAAATGAAGGCACCTCTCAAGACGGAAGAGGAACAGGAATCAATTAAGAATATTACGATTACTACCAAATAAGTTAAAAGTGAAAGAACGAATTGAGTGAGTAAAAGCGACGATGCATTCATCCAAAATACAATACAGCTCGCGTGTATATTCAATATACTATACCATATATATAATATGAGAATAGTTTGTGATTCTCAATCCTAGTCCCATCTTGTTGAAAATATGCATTGTGTATTATACAACATGAATGTCTATTATTGAATGTAATCCACATTCATTATAATATCTTTTACTAGAGTATCCTAATCTTCTTTCTTCTTACCGAGCCAAGACATCCATGGCCAGCTGCGTAAATTCGTCGGCAAATTCAAACTCGTTGGATTCCAAAATCTTGCCCAAAATTTCGGCACAATTCATATCTCTCGAAACTTCCAATCGTTTTCGGAGTTCGTTCAATACTAATTTCGCACCAAATGGAGACTTGGTGGCGATCTCTCGGACGACCATTCGTTTCGATTCCAAAAAGCCCTTGCCAATGCCAGGCATTTCTTCCAACAAGGTGCAAATGAAATCCAAATCCACTGACACAGTAGAAGGACTGGCTTGGAACAATCGTAACCAAAGAGTCAACAATTGTTGGGCGACTGGAACCGAACAGGTAGAACAGTGGGAGGGAGCAAACTCGAGTTCGGTATTTGTGGTGGCTTGGGTATCCACCTGTCCAATGTAACCACGGCAGAGGCCATCCCATGCTTGGAGGCGCCGACTGAGTTCGTTCTTTTCACGTTCGGCTTCCCGCAAAAGAGAATGGAGCTTGAGGAATTCCATGACGGCTTCTTTGCCGAGTTCCTTCTTTCTTGCCGAGGAGGCGCTTGCACTTGTATTTGTATTTGCACTTGCATTTGCTGCTGCTGCTGTGCTTTCATTTCTCGTCGTTTCACCATCTCCTCCTCCACTTCCTCCAGCTGCTGCATCCAATGAAGCCAAGGGTCCTCCCAATCCGCGTCGACGGGAGGAAGCGAGAAGTGCGCGACTCATTGGATCAGACGAATCCAAGCCATCATCTTCGAGTAGACCAAGAAGATCGTTATCTTCTTCCATGTGATCAATTGCCAGACCACGTCCAAGATGCCGAATGATAACGTCGCCAGATCGTCTTCGTTCCCCTGATGATGGGTATCCAGATTCACTCCGGATCTGACGTGCCAAACGAAGGAGGGATCGTGTTCGATCGACAGTAGACGGGCTTCGGCTATTAGCCAATGGAGCGCTGTTGGGTCGGGCGACATATTTCACAACCGAACCTGGTTTCTCAACACGATCGAAAACCTTACTGTGATCATGTGTGGTCGAAGAAGGTATTCCCATAAATGCCATCTTCATGGATGAATTGAAATTCTGTTCCAAGTCATCCTTCTTGGCATTGGGTTTCTTTCTTCCAATTATTGTTACTTTCTCTCGGATGGCACTTCGAATGTCGTTTTCGATGGAGATGACAGTGCCCAACATTTTCATTGCTCTTTCACGATCTTCGTCGCTGGTAATCGTCACCGCATTTGATGCAACGCCTGCAGATAATTCATAGGAGAAGGTTCCACTTGCACAGTAGCCACACTCCACACACAAAAAGGCATCAAGTCTATCATAGTTAATGTGGCGGCATTTTCGACACTGAAACGCAACTTCTCCACAGTTGCCGCAAACGCCATGCGCATTTGTGACCACTATATTCCAATCAAGATACCATGTCAATCCGAATTGAAACAAAATAAAGGATGAAAAACGGAACCATTCGGCTTACCTCTTGTGCACCGTGGACAGTGAACAACAAACGAACCATCTGCAGCTTTGGAGCCACCTGGTCGATCATAAAACTCAGCATACTCAAACTTCAAGTTGGAAGCAACAATGGGTTCAGGAAGTGTAGCACTGGCTCGGAGGGCACCTCTTGACAAACTCATGGTTGCGCACTTTTTCCACCGTAAGTCATACTCCTCAGCCTTCAGATCCGACACAGCGTTCACTGGTCTGGGTGAGAAGTAGACGTTGATAGTTTTGACATAACGGCCTCTCGGATCATTCACCGAGAGATGAATCTCTGAGATTGAAAGTCTATACTTGAGCAAGAAAAAGGAACAGAATTCATTGCTCGCAGAGGACTCCTTTGAGCTGTCAATACGTCCCCGACTGAATGCAGCAACTTGGTCCTTGTGCCATTTTCGCTGGTCTTGGGTTCGAGAGGGTGATTGTGCTGTCGATGTTCCTGATCGACGCATAGCAGCAGCAAGACCACCTCGATTGTTTCTCCCACTGCTCGAGCCTGACTCAGCGCGCTCACCCAAAAGTCCAAAGGAATCTTTCCCAGGGGAGTGTTGCCGTTGACAATGCAAACATGGTGAGATGTCAAATCGTTTCTTCACTGGCGTACCACCGGCGTTCGATTCGAGAACCACCCATTCGCCGTTGGATCTATCATAGCGCGCTGCTTCGATCTGTTGCTCAAAGCAATCCAAAACAAGATCTGCGGCATCTCTGGGTATTTCGGAACCAATCGAAGAGGACAATGACTGCAAGAAACCCAAAAACTCATTCGATGCTTTGCCCATTCTTCCTGCGTCTTCCATTGGTACATAGACCAGTCGTTGGAAAAGCCGACCTTGATCTTCAGTGGACAAGCTGTTGGATAGCTTCTTCAGTATACCAGCAGCAGCTTGTCTCAGTTGCGATGCTCTTCCACCGTATACATATGTCATAGAAAATGCAACAAAACCGTCAACTGTAAGCTTCTCCTTTCCAGTCATCAGTATCTCTTCCGGAAGTGCACGCCCTTCCTGCGAAAGTGAAATCACATCTTCCTCTTCTTTCATGCTGCTATCATCGTTGTCAATTGCAGCTTCGCTGCCCTTTCCATTCATTCGAGACCCAGCACTTGAATTGTTGAGTGCAAAGTCTAGAATACGAAGCGCTTTGGTTTGGTTTGTCCCTGACAAAGCACAAGAGATCCAGAATAGAGCCATGATTGGGGCAGCCTCTGACAAATACTGATCGTTGTGTGTCTTGTAGGTGTCCGAATTCGATTTGTTACGTTGATCTCGAAGCGACTGAGGAAGGGATCGAAGTCCACAGAAACGTCGCCAACTATCATCTCGACTTTTGATTCCATTCCATAAGTCATCGAGCACCCTTCCCACCGTCTTGCACGATGCATGAGAATAAGTGTCCTCCGAAAGCAACTCATCTGCACCAATAAGATCGCCAACGCAAAGGTTTGCCCATGTTTTCTTTTCTAAATTGGACCAATCAGGGTGACAGTATCGAGCCTTTTCTTTCACAATAAGAGCTGCTTCCAACCGAGTGATCGAGCACCGATACAGACGTTTGAGTTGGAACCAAAATCCAAAATGGTCTCGAATAGTTTGAAAAAGGGTCATCTTTCCTCCGCAAAGATTCTTCAAAACCTTCTTCGCCATAGGCCGGGTGGCTGCATGTTTCGTTTTCGATACTATGATCTCACAAAGGAGAGAAAACCACCTTGAAATACCTTGGGTCTTGTGATCGGCCACCAGCACAAGCAGGTCAAGTGAAGACTCGAGAAGCCCCATATTGTGATCTCCGCTCTTCTTTCCCGCCATCAAGTAACTGCTGAAGCTGTTTTGACTATTGTCCAACTCGGTTTTGACTGAGATTATGTCTCGAAGCTTCTCACGGCTGCAAAAGACACCGTCTGTAAAATCCTTTTGCTTATTCTCATGAGAGTAAGTACTTCCAAGGCGAAGTCGGTCTTTCTTTTTTGACCCTGATCCCGATGTGGCCGAATCATTGTCATCGCCATCAAACAACACGTCCTCGAGAATCTGACATAGCCGTTCCTGCAACGATACACCAACATCTGTGGACTCCTTCCAAAGATGGTCCCGAATGATATCGTAAATGGGTGACCGATCGCGTTTCTGCTCTTGAGGTCGCCCAACTGATTCATCTGCCCACACGAAGTACTTGCATCTTTGTCCTCGCTCCATTCCACACACATAGAATCGACGATCCTTATTCGCCCCACTATTACATCGTCTCCTGACCGCTGGAATTTTGTGCATTGGGCAAACATAATTTGGGTTGGTTTTCTCCTTATGTTTGGACAACCGGGCGCTATCCAGAACGTCATCCGGCTGCGACCAATCACTAGCGTAGTTCTCAGGTGCAAGCAAACTGGAAAGTGCCCGTAGGCAAAGTATCACAGGCAATGTATTTTCTTCCGAGCTTTCACTGTTTGCTGAAGTTCTCAGGAGGTATGAGAGGCCGATACAGAGCTCCTTTGCAAAACGCTTTGCATGATTGTCTTGAACGTCACCTTGCTGAGATAGTTGAACCAATTCGAGTAGCAATCCAAATATTGGCGCAATTTCAGACCCACAATCTTGTTTCTTCAATTTGCTTGCAACGTGATCGACAATGTTTCTGAAGAGAAAACCAAGGAATTCTTCGAATGCCTGGCACCCAATACCATTATCTTCTTCAGAAGAATTCGGTCTCTTCGTATTCTCATCTTGGTCCTTCTCTTCTTCCATGCGATCATCAGAATCCTTCACTTCCTTTGGGTTGTTTGTAGAAACTTCAACCAGTTCTACATCCATTCTCTCGAGTGAAACCGGTTGCATTTGCTTCAATTGAGCACAATCAAGCTTCGGTTCAGCCCCAACGCTTTCCCCATTTACTTTGACTTCGACACTAGGATCGAAGTTGTTGGATTCCGCGTACTTCTTGCCTAGAGAGTAGCATTCCTGGCACAAGCTGTTCAGAAGGTTCAAGAGCGATTAGATTTGTATACCAATCTGTCAATGCTGATAAATCAAAGCCAAACTTACTCGATATCATGGTCACCTTCGAGGAGAGTGTATCGTATTATTTTCATGGGGAAAAGGGTACAGCTATCACACTGGTATGCCACAAGTCTTGCATGTTGGATTAGAGTGAACAGGCCATTGCGTTCTGTATTTCCGTGTTTACCGCAAAAAATTGAAATTGCGTCACATGTCCGTTTTACGAAGTCAGCATTCCCCATGTCCAAGAAATTTCGAATCGTTGTGAAGGATGCAAACTGTTCGCTGTGCGCAGAATCAGTGTTCAATTCAATCGCTAGTTCAATCAAGGATAGTTCCATGATGCCTTCTGACCCGGTAATCATTTCTTGGTACTCTTCGACCTCTGCAAAATAAGCGATGAGTACTTTGCTTGCCTCTACAGCGAGAGATGCTGACGAGAGGTCACTCTCAATGGCATTTTCCATTGTTTTCAGATAATTCATCGGTCGCTCGTTGGCAATTCGTGAGGCAGCTTGAAGCGAGTTTCGGATCAGGGAGCCAATTGCTTTCTGCTGATAGCTCTTTTCCAGGATAAGATCATCGTCACTTTCCATTGCGGAGGCTTCCATAGCACTTTTTGACATAGCAACGGTCCTTGCACATCCCGATAGAATACACTCATCAAGAAACGAAGTTCTCAACCGAGAATCTGGCTCTAGATTCTTGAGTAGATTCTGAACACTGTCTCGTACACGGTTACAGGTATCCATAGCTGTTTCTTCCACTAGTTCACGGAGAAAGTCCCGCTCGTCGCTCAAGATGTTTTTCCTTCCTCCAGAAACTTCGCAAAGATTGGAAAGTGCTTGGCAACAGTGTATCAGGCTTGTAGATTCGCCGCTTTGGTGCCCATTGACCCCTTGTTCTTGCTCTTGCATTGCAACAGGGTGGCAGGGTGCTGTCGATAGATCTGTGTAAGAATACGATTTTGGTAACCACTGTTCCAGAGATTCTCGGTCAATACCGTAGACTTCCATTGCATCGATGACAATGCTGGACGAAGAATCAAACGGCCGCTCAATTCCAACAGAAATGAAACCACTTCGTACACCAAGCGCTATTTCCTCTTTTGTCAAAGGGAGACAATACCATTTCTTTGCCCGTGGAGTGAGGTCCAAAGGCCGTCCCTGGACGACAACTCGGGACGGTATGCCGCCAAATGATGATCCGACCAAAATTCGAACAGCAGCTATGACCAACTGACCGGCGGACAACGAATCTTTATCTTGCGCGAGGGCACTGTTGGTTGAAGCAGCACGAGTCTCTTTCTCGCGGAGGGAAACAGTTATCGTGCAACCATTGCGGTTGGGGCAAACAAATGACTGCCCACTATCTCTTGATAATCTCGCTTTCAAATCGTCTCCTCCACTATTATTGGCGGTGAGAAACAAGTAAAAACAATGACAAATCCAATCTATTTGGAGCACTCACCTTCCGATTCCTCGTCCACCAAAAACAACACTAGCAGAGTCTCCAATATTCTGCAAAGTTTCAAAAATAGTCAGGGGGAAGGCAGGCTTTTTCTTAGCTTGTGCCTCGAATGCACTGCCAGATGCATCGACCATTTGAATTGTATTTTGTGGGTTGACTTCTTCTGATATCGGGAGAGAGTCAATGCATTCCTCGCCGAAAAAGAAGATCGTTCCATCCGAAGAAACCGCGCCCAAAAATGCCCTTTCTCCGTACATGGGACCGTTGGTTGCAGTATTGTTGCTAATGAAAGGCGTTGAAAATGCAGCCAAGCCAGCAAAAGAACCGGATGGCATAAGGTCGAGGTCATCATCATCCAAGGGTGACCAGGACAACAGGCCGACTCTAGATTCATTCTCGTTGAATTCGACACAAATAAGTTTGGGGGCCTTGCTGTTCACTGATCTTCCAATACAGCTCACTCGGAAGAATGTCGCACCATTCCGATATGTCAGACCTAATTCTGTCCAATGAGTATAGGGCCCCGATATCGAAGTATTGTCGGAAATGTCACCCAGGGCGCCAGCCGATAGTACATGAGGAAGAAATTCAAACGTTCCTTCAACGGCACCTTTCTTGTCAAACATTAGAGCCACAACACAAGAAGTTGAACACTTGTAAAGGAGAGTGCGGCTTTGTTTCAGGTACGCGAGGTGAGACCCTTCGCCGAGAGTTCTAGTCGCACTCCCTGGTGCTCCAATTCCTGAACGCAAGCGAATTCCGCACATGGATAAGGAGACACATTCACTTGGTTCGAAACGCTGCTGATCAGCAGGAGATTCCAATCTCCCATCATCTCCACTTTTCAATTCAACAACGTGTAGACGGCCATTCTCCAACAAGAGGAACATCTTCGACATACTTGGTATGCCGGCGCAGTATTGCGAAGCTACCATCGTAACATCCCGCAGATTTGCCTCAAACCCCAGATTGTATCCAACAACTGGAAGGGCACGACTGCCATTCTTTGTTCTAGCCACGTCGTAGATGCGAACAAACCGACTACAGCCAACAACAACATTGCTTTCTGATCCAGGTATCCATTCGCATTTCACCAGATGGTTGCCATCATCGCTGTCTCGCTGTCCAATATCAAAGACCAAATTAATTGTGTCGTCAATTCCTGTCCAATCAGACTTCACAATTAAGACGCAAGCTTCAGTAAGACCCCAAACAACAAGATGTCTTTCATTATCTGGACAGAGCTGCATCCCAATAACGTTGAACTTGAGCAACCCCAAACCAAGAATGCACATTTGTTGCCGTGTCATCGGTTCCCTGAGGGGTCTTGTCACATGTCGAACATTCACAGTTGGTATAGTACTAAAGAATACAAGCGTACAAGGCTCAGCCAAAACCATTCGACCCCTGCTGTCCGCAACCAGAATCGAACGAGAGATTTCTCCTGATTCTAGCTTTAATCTCAAGTGAGCATTCGTGGAGCTATCTGACGCCAATTTTGTTTGGAAGCCAACTGCTCGTCGTACTGGAATCAACGAATGCAAAGATAAGTGTTGCAAACTAAGGGGTCTGCTGCGTCGCGTTCGTAGACTTCCACGAAGTGTGGCGTGCGACGATCTGATCATTGATTTTGTTTCAAGATGTCCAGTAGGCTCTTGCTCAAATATGCTCAATCTTGATTCGAAAGACCTGGTTTGCTGCCAGTTTCGAAACTGGCTTTGTAAGATCCGAAACAGGTCATTGTGCCACGTAGCTTCTAACGCCGCTGAAGTCAATGTTTTCAGTGCAACAAGACCTTTTTCACGGAACGCAGCTTGAACAATAGCAAGGGTACAGGGCGACATGTAATATTCGGCGGTTTTCAAAAGGCTTCCTTCCTTAGCTTTGGGCGGTCTCCTGTCTAGTGTCTCATAACTCAGCCAATCATCCTTGAGGAACTCAATGGTTTGATCTCGTGTAAATGGAGCCACACATTTGCAAGCAACTCTGGTTTGCTCTCCTGGGTTGTTATTTTCCGCGCCACAGTCACAAAAGAATGAGCTACAACGCGAATATGAGACGTCGTGACCTTTGTGACATGTCAGGGCACAAAGAGTACAGCAACCCTTATCCCAAACAAGACCGCATGTGTAGCAGTTGTACCAATGCTGTGTTCTAAATCCGCTTTCTTGAACATATGAACAGGCAAGAGGAAGCTTGAGATCTTTCCCAATCTCTGGGATCTCCCGCAAAGAGGTTTCTTTTGAGGGCTGCGTCGATCGCCCCGATTGGACCTTGTTGATATTTTCTTCCGCTAGCGACTCTCGGAGACGACGCACATAACCAAAAAGTTTGGAAAGCGCTTTCATTTCACTTGAAGAAACACTCAATTCCGAACTTTCGTCAATATGCGACACTGCCTGACGAACAAGCTTTGAACCAACATCCTGCAAACCGTTGAAACGGCAGGCATAAAGGAGTAACACCTCAATTACAGGTGCACGGTCATCGTAACCCAATGATGACCAAGCTTCGATTGCGCCGTCAAGTTTGTCAAACACCAACTTTGAGTTTTTGAAGCCAATTCCGTCATTGGACGACAGCAGTAGAAAGCAAAGAATATTCGCAATCGACTTTCGAAACGATAATGACGACGAGTCTGGTTCCACTACACGATTCTTCGTTAAACAACACAAGTCCTTGATCACAAGTGAAGTCATCTTCTGCTTGTTGACTTTGTTAAATGAAGATATCAGTGTGGGCACAATCTTCAACGAACTTGAGCTTCGGCTCGGAAAAAAATCAAGGCTCGCTGCTGTGCTCAATAAAGTCCCCACATATGATCGACTTGTGTCGTTTGCAGGGTACCTGTCCCTGCATAATATTCTCACCAACTCTTGGATTACAATAGATTTGAGATCTGCCTTGGGGTTATGAACCGCATCGATCGGTTCCAATTGCTTTGATTGAACGAAAGCCTGTAGCGGTTCAATATTTTTCTGGACTATTGTATCAACGTGAAAACCTTTTTGTGAAGCACCAAGCAAAGCCATAAGCCTGCAATTACTTTCCGACTCAAGACTTCTTGGCCCATCTGGTCGTCCTGATAATCTGCTTGACTCAAGGATGGCACAACATAGCAACTCTGTTACAAGCGAAATACTCTTGAGCCGTCCATTCTCTTTGCCTTCAGTTCCTTGCAAGGCTTGCGCAGACTGCAAATCGCCAACTGCAGACACCATTGACTGCACTGCTACCACGTCGGCGAAAGACTTAGACTCAATCAGAAGATGGGAAGCAACTGCTTGACATTGGGTTGCCAACTCTTGGTCGACCTGAACAGAGAGATGGCTTAGCAATGATATTGCATCGAGCACAGCAGCTTTTTGACTGGACGATGTAGTGACGCCTCTTGGCAATTCCTCGGCAAGTTCGATGGGAGCCATCTCTTCGGCCGTATTCTTCTTCGCCTGAAAGCAGAATGGGTGCGGCTTTCTTCCTGTCTTGCCGAGGCCTACTCGCAAAAGAGCAGCTGCAGGCATGAGGCTACTGATTGCAGTTGCCATCACGTTCCGCCACAATTGTGCAGCAACCATATCCTCATGCCCGGAGTGACCTGCAAAGCGACCCGCGCCACTTGTTGTGTGGTAAGGTGAACCATATTGCACATCGAGACAGGAAGTCGTCAGTGATTGTGCAAGTAGTAACCCCCATTCGCCGCATGCTCTTAGTTCTGCTGTCGGTGCGTCCCAAGTCCCATCTTCACTCAACCAACGATCTTGCAGCTTGTCATCTTCTTGTTGGGTACAATTTGGACACCACGCAGCTCTCGCTTCTTCGAGATTCTTCACCGACAAGTTTCCCAAAAGGACTTCAGTGACTTCTTGTGGCACCCCGAATAGAACAGCAAGAGTGTCTTTCCAGTCAACGTCGTCACGGTGAGATTTATCCTTGGAACTTTCATTGTTGGCCCAATTGCAAAGTCTAATACATAGGCTAACACGATCGTCATCAACCCAAGAGGTTCCTCCAAAATGCTCCTGCATTGCAGTAGAAGAGTGTTTTCGGTATTGCAAGTAAGCGGTCATTGCCAATCTTGTCAGACCTCGTAAAGCATCTAAAGCTGCCCCGGTTGCATCCTCGTGGCGGATGCCGTTGCGGAGACTGCAGCTTACATCCAGCCAGTCAGGATGAATTGGTGCTGCACCGAATGTGTAGCAGCAGCGTCGTAGTTGATCAAGAGTTTCTGACCGTGCATCGATGTCCCTATCTCCATCACTCTCAATAGAATCCGCATCAGATGCCACTTGCTCACTTTCTGAAGAATCGCCTCGGTTCCTAGTATTTCGGGTTCCTGCATTGTCTACCGACACAGAAAAGTAGTCGTTTCCAGGCTTTGTGTGTAGTGCGATAGCAGCAGAAATATATGTCGAAAGACCCTCCAAAAGCCCAAAAACAAGAAGAGGAGTGCTTTGGGACATCAATTCGTCTTCTGGGACATGATTTGCGAGGATCATTTCGACAAGCGCGTTTGCTCTGGTTAGCATGGTGCGAAGACTAGTCCTGAGGCGGCTTGCATTGAATCTAAAACTGTCGTCATTATTTGATTCAGAGTGCAAGTTCGTCATATCTTCCCGTATTTCCAAGTACCGAGATGCCAAACTCCCTTCCAGTGATGCTTGTAACGAGGGAAACGCTGTTGTTCTAAGACCTTGTCTCTGGACGACGTAATCAGTGATTGAATTGACCTTATCCATCATGTTCCATGAAGAAAATAGCAAGTGGCATTTATCTTGCCGTGCTGACTCAAAACCAAGTTCGAATGCATGCTCTAGTGCCATCTGCATCGTATCAACGACCGAGCTGTCCAGTCCACTCAATGACCGTTGTGGCAGAGAAGAATCCGGCAAGCTAGGTGATTCCCAATCAAAAATGCTCATGAAGCATCTATCACTGGTGTACCATTCCATTGTTGAAACAAACGAAGGAAAACTCACTTTCGCCTGCCCTCCATTGTTCGCAAAAATCAACTTTTCGAGGCGAGATCCGATAGTGGCGACATCGAGAAGACAACCACAGACTACCAAAACTCGAGCGACAAACCCCGACGCTTCAGTGTTGCCACTAAGTAATGACCGCCTTGTAGAATTGGAGAGAATTGATTTGATATCCTTCTGTGTTTGGGTCACCAAGTCTCGGAGAATCGCAAGCTGGTCGTCCTTCAGGAGCCTGCAGAATGCAAGCACAAACACTCGTGCGTCATTATAAGACAGCTGCAGATTAGTCTCCACGTAGATGTGATCATCGTCCAGTTCTCGTTTTGAAAGAGTTTGCACAGTCTGCATTGTGCGATGTATGCTCTTGACGTATTCTTTTGTAATGTACAATTCTGGGACAGTGAATGATCGAGTTGTCGCCTTCCTCTCGCTCGTAAGGTTAGCAATGAGAAGGGTTTGGTGTGCCGCAGGCAAACTCAGTGACCATCCAATGCTTTTATCTTTCGCAATGCCTTGATACAAACTCTTCCGTTGACTGTTCGTACCAAGGATTGGATGAACCATGAAGCCACTGTCATAGGATCTGCCTCGACCAAGGTATTGACACATCTCCATATGTGCCGCCCATAACTCCTGCTCAGCCTTTGAGAACGCGAAAGTCCCATCTATATCCATCTTCACTGGTTCTTGTGTCCGGACAAGGATTCGATCCAAAAGGGGTCCTAGATCAAGGAGCTTCTCATAATGCTCAAGTCCCAAAGATTTTCGAATTGATTGACGTAAATGGGATGTTGGAATCGACTGATTCAACAAGCAGAACTTCAATGCTTTCAAAGCTTCAGTTGCTACCTCGACTCGTGGCCTGCTGATACGTCGCCAGATACCGTCCATTGGCTTCGTCGCCAGCTGTTGTTTTGTCTTTCGACGCTTGCTAACTCGACCGCTGCTTCTCGCGCCTCGTTTCTTTGACTTGCTTGCATTCTCTTCGACAAACTCCACGTTATCGTTGCCGTCTCCTTCTATTGACTCACGAGTATCGTACACACGCTCGACAATCGAGGCAAGTGTGGCTACCAATTGACCAGCTGGAGTCGCATCTTGACTCCCATTATCGGTCGCTGCAGTCCAAATTGCTCGTATTGCAATAGCGAGCGAAGAATCCTCACTTGGCTTGTCGAGGGGAATAGATTCATTGAGCCCAGCATAAGTACAAGACCTTTCAGGAGATGTGTAGTCTGTATCAATTTTCTTGATATTCGGTTCTGCGAGAGCCTGTAAGAGATCATGAACTTCTTCAACAGTCATGTCTTCGTCCATAGGGATGGATTCTAAGCTTATAGCATTCTCCAAGACGGTGGCCAGCTGCGACACAGCTACATCTGTCAAACTACAATCCAATGGTAGCTCAGGATCAACTGCAAGACGAAGAGAGCAGGCTGTAAATAGATCCACCAAAGACTTGGCCCACGATGCCCGCATTCCCTGGTCTGTTGTAAAAGCGCTGTTGGACGCCGCACTGCAAAGATTCACCAGATTGGAAGATAGCTCGGGGGCTGTATAGACTGAGGATGCTTCTTGCTTGGCATCATTGACTACCATGGAAGAAGTGGAAGACGCACTTGTAATGTTCTTCAAGCAGGCACGGTGAACGTCCAATAAGTCGTAGATTGCCACAGCAGTCCAGTCTCGAATGTCAGCCCGAAGCGGCTTGGACTTCCGTTTGCTGGTACTCTTCGAAGAACTCTTCGCAGCCGACGGGTGAATGATCTTACACAGATGGTCAATATGACCAGTGGGAGGTCGCACACCACAGTGCAATCCTGATTCTGATACAATCTGCACCAAGTCGTTCATCCACTCGGATCGAGAAGAACAAGACGCAAACTGGGTTTGCTTGGCGAGCTTGTGGCTGACTTGCAGCAAGAGCAGTTGTCCTTGGCACTCCCAGACGAGAGCCACACTGGCCCATCGCTTGATCGCGATTCTTGCATCCAATCGTTGCGAGTACAACGAATCGGAGGCCTTCAGTTCCTCCAGTGCCTTGAACCAGTCGTCCGTATCCGACAGACTGGAAGAAGAAGGATTGCTCTTTCGGCGAGTCTTTCGTTTGCCAGGAGATGCTTTGCCTTCCTCTTTTCCTACCTCTGTATCTTGGAGAAGCAATAAGGAAATGCATTTGTCTTCTGCAGATGAAAGTTCCATGGTAGCATCGCGCTTGTCCAAATTCAAATTCATATCCAAGTCGTCTCCTTCGTCACCATGCGGTTTCAAAAAGATCATCCGGTGAAGCGTAGAGATACAGGCCTCAATAGCACTAGCACTAACTTTCTTACCCGCCTCATATTGTTCCAAGCAATACAGCGATGCAATAGTTGCAGTCAAGAAAGCATAAGCAAGGATCGGCCGGCTGGAGGTTACGTGAGAGGCCTTTTCCAGTTTTTGCCCATCACTGACCAGGACTTTCGAAATCAGGTTTCCCAATGCTGCAATCAAGGAGAAACTAGTAGAAGAGGAGTGCAGTAGTCGTTTCAGAATGTGCGTCGCAATCAGAATCGAATTGCAGTCCGTCGAGGGAACCTGGGAGCTTCGTTTCGGTGGTTCCAATGAGCACTTGCTGTCACAAAATCCTTGCAGGACAGCAATACACCGTTCTGACGAAACGGCAATTTCCTTGACATGATCAAATAATTGTAGCATTAGCGAGGGGTCCGGGTCGCTTTAGGGGACAAAAGCGACAAACGCGGAATGGATTAGATCTGGTAGGCAACGAAACGTGTCAACCGTTTGCATCCAACCTACCTGGTCGACGCAGTTCCTTTCGTTGCGCTGCGAAGCCTCTTTGTACCTGCCATTTCAACGTTCCAGAGACAACCGCAACAGACGTAAAGAAATGGACCAGACGCAACAAGAAGGGGATCAACTAGAAGGCTTCGTGGGTATGGCTGTTCTGATGCGATGTTTCAAGTTATTGCGTCTTGCTCATACTCGTAGGCTCTGTGGACGACAACCTGGACTACTATTCTAAACGAAGGCCGAAGATCTCAAGATTTGCGCGAAATAATTCGCGCGGGACTTCGGTGCCACTTTTTGGACGAAGATTACGATGCTATAATAATCGACTTCCATTTTATGTTATTTGTCCTTTGCTTTTTTGTCTAGCCTCAAAGTCCGAAAGGCAGCGCTAACCTTTGTTCTCGCTACGGAATTATCAACTGGGATCCACAGCTTATCTTCCTGCTTCAAGAACATACCCGAGGATTGGTGTACAATATCCACAATGCCCTGTGCTATCTGGAGCTTCGACCCTTTTTCTGCACTGTCGTACACCGATTGTCTTGAAACCACCAACTGACGAAACTCTTTATTGCCAAAGTGGTTCTGCGCCGAGAATCCCTTTCCTAAAAGCACATCATAATCACTTGGGATATGGATAGCATTTCGCCGTGCTGATTGACTCAACCGTTCAACCTTTCGCTGGTTCCTCAATCGAACTCTGTAATTCGGGTCTTCCAAGAGACGTTCTCCATGAGCCGCTGGAAACGTTGAAGGAGCAATCCCAAAGCCTCGCAACTTTGTGGCAACTTCATGCTGGGGACCTGCGTGAACAAAGGAGGACGAGCGGTTAGATGTTGATTGATTCAGCCATCAGGCATGAGCAGCACCTTCACGACCAGAAAAGAATGGTCATTCCCAAAGGCAATTTTAGATGCAACGCACCATGATGTGTTCGGACCCGTAAGCGACAAAATGTATCAAAGGATGCGATCCCGGTCGACAAGATTGGCTTCCAAACGAGGCTCTCGTAACAGACATGAATTGCTGCCAATCGCATTGGCAAAACCTGTGCTAGCTTGGCCATCTTCCAGGCTATTTCAGATCCTTTGTCGCAGTTTGCACTGTCTCCTAGCCCATAGACTATTGCAACAACTCCCCCGCGTTGAAATTCAACATTCTTGCTGGCGATCATAATGCTATAGTAGACTTGTCGTAGCTGTTGTAGTGACCGTGGATGACAATCAAGTCTCAGTGAGGAAGCGGCAGAGTAGAGATTGCACCTCGCCAGTCTGAAGAGTATTTTAAACGTACCAAAGAAATTATATTGAAGTTGAGCTGCTCTTCATTGAAAAAGAGGACGGCCACTGGTCTCCCGGTCTGGTCAGGTTGCTCCAAGAACCGCCCGTATCCGGAATTTAGCAACATCATATCATCATGGTCCAGATCGTCCTGTGTGATATTCAATGCTAGCTTCTCTTGGCCAAAGAGATCCAGTTTTGCCTGGAAGAAACGAGCAAACCGGAGAGCTGCCTTGTTTGCATCAAACATATCCGCTCTAAGGAATGTCAACCGCAGCTCTCGATCTCGAACATAGCGGGAAGATTGTGCTTCCGCCATTTCGAATGCAACCTTGTATCTAATTCCCTGCACTTTCTGATCCATACGTTCCAAATTTTGCTGTATCAGTTGAGGTGTTTCACTCCAGACATTGGGAATGCCATGAAGGTCAAAATATGCTCGCTCCCTGTCCCCAGGAGAAGCTTGTGCCAAATCACTGGCGATCTGAGTTTCAACATCCTCTGGCTTTGTCCCCTCATTGGGGACAGGGCCGGCCAAGACGTCGAAATTGTCTTGGCCTCCTCTGAACATGATTTGATTGGGATGATTTTATGGAAAGCGACTTTTGCTCATTTCGAACAGTTGTGATGATAATAAATAGTGAGTGCCGTCTGAACTTTTTTCCTTCTTCAACTGTGTGATCCTGGCAGATCCCCGCCGCAATATTAAAATGCGAAGTTTGGAAGGCCAAAACATTACCGTGTTCTGTGGTTCCCATTCCCAGAGGAAAAAACACCGACGAAGGAGATAATGCGCTACCATTAGAAATCCCAAAGCTAATTCAAATGAAATGATGTGATTCGCCACAAGCATATTGAAAAGCCATATGTCCCACAATAACACAAACGCGACCCAGTGAAGATGAAAGGAAGAGGAGCTCCTCTTTTTTTGTTCGTGAAACAGCATGTTCTTTTATTTTTATCAGGCATAACAAGTGGGTACTCGCATTTAGTGACTACGGTTCACTTTATCCCATTCCTCCTTCCAATCACACTTCGCCGTCAAACGAAAACAACTCAAGGTCAATAAGGAAGCGAAAGCGCCGTATTCCAACGTCCCTGCTGCTGCCCGACCAGCCGCTGGGCTGTGTTGCAAACCATGCCCTGAGAATCCATGAACCATGAACACATTTGGCATCTCGGGGTGAAAGTCAATGATTGCACTATTCTGACCCATGGTACTACTAGTGTTGAAGTCATCAAGACCAGCCCACGAAGAAATAATTTCTATGCTTTCAAATGCCGGGACACGACGAGCGATGCTTTGCCGGATGGTATTCTCGAATAGCTGATGATAGGGGAATGCCAATTCATCAGGGTCCCAACAATCATCATCCTGGTCTTTAGGCGGGGCCACTCCGCACAGAAACATTAACGAACCAGGTTTCCTATCGGAACGACAGTACACCGTCGAAGAAGCATCGGTTGTCATCGGAGCAATCTATGGAATCATCAACTCCCTTTATCCACTTTTTTGCACTTGAATCGAAAGACGGAGCGTTTTCTTGGTTTCACAGGAATCCGATGCTCCAACGGGTCACCTCCAGCCACGAGCGTCATGAGAGATTTTTCGCCCCTGTTGCACAAACCAACCTGAGATTGTTTGTGTATATATATTAAAACATCAGCAGCATTGAGTGGTAAGAACACCGAACAGTTTCTTTCCTTCACCGTCGCGCACGAATATGTCAACCATAAGATCCAAGAGCAACGTCGTCTACATTCATCCATGGGAATTTCTCCGTCAGCTCTGCTTTTTCCATCAATTGCACCGTATCACAGTCAGCTTGACGCTGAACTTGGTTATTCTCCCTGAGCTTTGCAACAGATAACCATGCTCTTGGAATTTGATGTCAAGGTCTGCGAAGGATGGACTTTTCAACAATTCCTTTGAGTTTCGCAAGAACTCTGACCCATAGAGACTCACTTTGACGTTTTCAGCTAGGGAAAATTGTTGGTGAATACTTCCAATGGAAAAGGTTGCCAAACTGGACTGAAAGGTTTAGTCCTGTTCCAAGACAACAATCCCGACATTTTCTGTCTGCTTTCGGAGTTCCGATAAATGATAGGCAGTAGAGGATCCGATTGGACCACCACAACGATGAGAGTGTCTACGGTGATGGAAGACGATGAGTCACTACTGATGATGTTATTGTTGATTCCCCGAATAGTTTGCCGACGGCATACGTCCCTTATTGCTATTGATAATGCATTCTTGAAAACTACTCCCTTGCGATAATAAGCTTATTTTATATTTGGCTATTATTGCGTGCCATAATAATGATGTTGAGATGATGCGCGCCACGCGAAGAGATTGACAACCATTTTCGACCCATCCGACTGCTCTAACACCAATCGAATGAATCAATCAATTTTATCAACCATTCACATGTCAACCCTCCTCATCGTGCCCTCCTCGTCGTGATTTGCGGTACTAGGGAAGTACTTCTAGCACCGATACGAGTACCAGGTACCACGGCACGAGTACCGGTACCTCGTACCAGTACACTGTAGGCGCTTATTCCAGTGACAACTTGTTGAACTTTTCATCTGTTTTTAATTTGAAATGAAAACTGCATGCAGCCCAAATCTATTGTTCCCGCACAGGTGCCGGTACTTGTATCGTTCCCGTACGGGTACTGTATCGTTCCCAGGCACGATCACTTGTGCAAATGATCCAGTGATATGTGAAATAAGGGTTGATTGACCCATGACCCGTCATGAGGAAAGAACGATATCATCATTATGATAGATGCCACTCTGCTTGAGTGAGTCGTTTTCATAGCTACTCTCTCCCTTGTTCCAGCAAGTGAGACACGTTTGAGAGTACCAGTAGTCTCTTGACTGAGCAACTCTGGACACAGTCTTCATGGATCACAACTATGCAGGGTGATCTACTCCCAATGTTTTCAAATTTGGGTTCGAAGAACTAGACAAGTCAATGACACAACAAAACCAAAAACGAGATAGTCAAGGTGGTGACGGTGGAAGGAAGAAACGAAAAAGTTATTCATTGGTTGCCCAAGCTTGGTTGGAGACCTTGAGTGAAGCCATTGAAGATGTCGTAGTCAACAATGACGACTTCTCAACGATTTCTACTTCTTCTTCAAGTCCACAGCGCAGAACGAGACCAAGAAGGAATGCCTTTGTGCTTCACATAACAGATGATGGATTATTCTTGGAAGATGAGGCAGATGATTCGCCCCAGCAACCACCTCCCGAAAGTCTACATGGTTGTTCAGAGATTGAAAACCTAGAGCTTGGTTAGTCAATCGCTGTCACCTATTTGTAAACCTAATAATCCCTATCACATCAGTACATACGATGATAGGACAATTGTAACTTCTATATGAATAAGATCTCTAAAATATCTAATGTGTAGTATAAACTTATTTGTCTATTATTTTTGTCTAGAGAGGGCACTTCCTTCAATTAGATTTGTAATCTCAGGCAGAGAGGATTCCCCTTTGTAACTCTTGCATAATGTCGGCGTGGTCCAGTGTAACTTTAGCTTTTTGCAACAAATCATGAATACTTGTTGCACGTCGGCAGTCTTGGATGACCTGGGTCAAGCGGTCGCCACATTCTTCCACCTTGGCATCATCCATATTCAAGCTAAAATCAGAAGAAACTTGATCCATGATTGCATAGAATACAATCATTGGTCGCAATGCGTTTCGAAAGTCTTCAATTCCAGCTCTTCCGCTGGTAGCTCGACGAAGGTGAATACTTGGACTCATATCAGTGTCCATTGCGGCATCATCCTCGTCCACATCCCAATCTGCAAACGATCCACGGTTCAACTGGTTGCGACTAGGAAGGCAGCCACTGTCTTCGAGGCCAAGTGAATGTCGTCGACCAGCACAGGTGATGAGCCCGCGCAAGAAAGACTCCTTGCCAGTAACCCAGCGTCGCTTGTTATTAGGTGCATTATCATCGCTCTTTTTGCTCTTGTTGTAATCATTGGTGGTGTTGTGGAACAAGATGCATGTCAAAGCTGCCATGAGCGAAGAATCTGCAATGCTGCGGTTGACGACAGTCTGCTTGCGTTTATCATAGTCGTCAGCCTTGATCATTGTGCAAGCTGCCAGAAAGCCACCGCTTAGGCTGCAGGCATGGCGTGCTGTTTGTGGTGAGTCAATTTCAGCATCCTTTGCAAACATGTCTGCCATCAGTAATTGGTAGTAAACCAAACGAGAATTCGAAGACAAAGAACCACCTTCGCAATCAGCATTCAACGGTTCGCCGTAGGCAATTCGCAGTAGCAGCAAACGCACATCATGAAGAACTGTCCACAGCATAGACTTGGGACGGGCATTCAAGAGATTGGAAACGGCAGTTGAATGATCAGTCAAGGCAGAATCAACAGCCACAAGTGGTACTTTGGAGCTGCGAGAGCTCACAAGGGGCAACATTACATTACACTTGACACGTGAGTTTCGTAAGCTTGCTCCTTCCCATTCGCTCTTGGGTGCCTTTGGATGGTTCTTGTCAGCTTGGCGTGCTTTTGCATGACAGCTGAAATGGATAGCGTTTCCAGCAGTCACTGTTGTGGTGTATGTAGTCTTTCGACTAGAAGATGACAAGCTAGATGATCTAGCCGAGCTTCTCAATTCGTCGCCTGATTTCTTGGCTGGGGGGAACCACTCCAGCGCAGCATGAGTGTCAGATATTGAACGCGGCATTGATCCTGGAAGCGATGTAAGAAGATCTGTTCCATCAATAGCACTCTTAGAACCAGATTGATGCATTGGGATGGACACCTTCTTGACGTAGGCGTAGAGACCAAGCAATTCCGCTGGTTGGAGCGTCCTTCCTTCTTGGCACACAGCACACGTGAGACCATCTTCGTCTTCCATGTTCTCCATTTCCGTCATCCAAGCCGGTTTGGCAGTAGGGGCAGGCTGAGGATTCTTCTTGGCACGCTTTGCCGGTGGCCCGTCATCGTTGTCGTTCGCACCAAATAGACCCAGAACAGGAGCCAGGAGAGATGCAGCGGTACCTCGAACAGGTGCCTTCTCACCAACCTTAGCACCAGACATGGCCGATGGACCAAAGGAGCCCATTCCGCGAAGAGCTTTGTTTCTCCGTGCCATGGCGATTTCTTTCTTCCTGTCTCGGGTTTTTCGTCGAACTGACTTTACGATTGGTGCAACTGTTTTTTCCTCTTTGGTCAACTCATCTAACAAGGTCTCTGCCACAATACCCAAGTCATGCGTGGAGACACGTGAGCTATCGGAAGTCGATTCAATCCAGTGACAAACTTGGATCAGAGACTGCTTTTTTCGGCCCGGCAAATCCATGTGAACGTTACCAATGAATAATTGCGTTTTGCCATGACTCTTACACAAACCAATAAGCATATTGAAAGCCGTTTTGAGACCTGGTCTTGCAAAATACTCCTTCCATTTTCCTTCCAATTTTATCTTTTCGTTCTCGGATTGTTCCACATCCTTGGTCCACAAAGAAGGCGACCAGGGTGGCGGTTGACTGGGAACATTGTCCAGCAAGACCTTTGCCAATCGTTCCACGAACCCACAGTTTACCAATTCCACTCGCAAAGAATCGCAGACTGGATTCTCCGGCAAACTGCAGGATGCATGCACACATGTGGCGGGCAGAATGTATCGACTTTCTTCATCCCACACATCTGGCTGCGTTTCACACACACCAAGTTGGTCCATGCTGACATGACGCATGAATTCATTTGCCAATTCTTTGCACAGAGACGCTTGTCCATAGGTCAAGTATGGCAGTAGCTTGGCAATCACATTTCTCAGTGGCCGACTTAGCGAGGATGTTTCAATGGCTGTGAGAAGCAAGCGCAAAGTGGATGCATCTTGTTCATTATCTTCTTCCGTTTCTGACATGGCTGTATCATTCTGAGATGAGATCATATCGGATGCCAATACTTCAATCGACTTTTGCAGTGCCTTGACAGTAGCATTGCTTTCCGATACGGAGCCTCCCTTTCCGTCTTCTTCCAAAGCATGCAAAACGCTCAACAACAAACGCAGAAGCATCGTGGGCGCACGTGACTGAAGCAAGAGCTTTCGGTTGCTTGGCAACTTGGAGCAGCACCACAATAGTTCCAAGCCAGGATAAGGCGAAGACGACTTGAAGACTTCACGAGATGGATTCTTGACATTGCGACGAGCTTGGACTCCAATCTCCGTCACATCGTCTCGACGAATCTTCAAGAGCGTAGCATTGATATTTCGTTCAATGCTCTTGAGCAAGCAAAAAACTCCACGGCCTTCCATGATGGTTCGAGTGACGCCAAACTTTTGTTCCATCATTCGTTCCACTTCTTCGGGCGTTGCCGATTCGGATGGAGCTTCGGGGTCTTGTAAAGTATTTATCGTGTCTTCGGTCGCTTCACCATCCACACCAATCAGCCTGTAGGTGAGAATCATGGGTGGTAACCCTGACAGTGGTGTGTCTGCATTGACATTTGAGTTGGAAGATGGCATGCCCAGCAGCGACCGTTCCATTCCAGAGCCAAAGAGCATTGACAGGCCAGCGCCACTGGAAATAAAGGATCGGCCTCCTCGGCCAACTCCTCCCAGAAAGGAAGAAAGTGCGGCAGCGGATTGGGAGCCACCGGACGAACTCGAATTCTGCATAAGGTGGTCCTTCCATACGACTTGGTGCACCACCCGTAGCTTGAGGTCGGTATCCAAAATCTTGTTGGCACAGAGCAATTCCAATAGCTCGGCCGAGTCGCCCATTTGCAAATCATTTGCAATGTGCTGTCTCAAATCCTTGATAGTGGGTTCATTCTTGTTCTCATGAGATCGAAGCATACTCAATGACACTGGATTCTTGGACAAGGATCCTCGAAAGAACTCTTCTTGGGTAGGGGCACGCCGCAAGATAATCTTGGAATTGGGAGGCTTCTTGGGTGGCTGTACAATATTGACAATGGAGGACATCAACGAGTGTTCGGCGGAAACAGTCAGGCCTTGCTTTCTGGCATCAGAGGCAGATACCTTTGGCGGGTTCTGCTGGTGCAGTGTCTTCAATGCAGGATGCTGCATCTTCAAGACCTGCATGGCAGCTACCACATAGACACGTCTTTTTTGCTTGAGTGATCTTGGATTAGCAGTTGGGGGAGGATTTGCCCTGTTGGATGCTGCTGATGCTGACGATTGACGTTGAGCGGAGCGCAAGAGAGAGTGCGGATCCTCATCCACTACAATATCTTCAAAGTCCAATAGTCCACTTTCCAATACTTCGGCCTCGATTCCATGGACGCTCAGCTCTTCGGCTTCCTCTTCTTCCTCTTCCTCGTCATCATCATCGTCCGAGTCGTCGTCATCGGAATCTTCGTCTTCTTCCCCCTCCTCGTTATCTGAACCAGCTCTGTCTTCTTCCATTCCTTCAGCTTCGTCACTATCGATTTCTTCATCATCCTCCTCTTCTTCCTCTTCACTTTTGGTGCCTTCCTCGTCGCCTTCGTCTTCCTCGTTGGCCGGAGGATCCTCCACGATGGTCTCTTGACTTTGCCGACGATTCCGATTCAAAAATCGCGACACTTCGTCATCTTCTTCTTGTTCATTCTCTTGATTGCCATAGACGGCATTGAAAATGCGAGCCACAGTAGCCGCTGCCGATCGGTCTTCCAACCTTCTTCGGGCACGCGAAAACGGAAATGACGAGTTGGAGTTGGCAGCATTCGAATTCGAGGTGGAATTCGCAGAAGGGGAGGATAATCGCGAAGAGTTCCTTCCCTGCAGCCTTGAAGAAGTAGAGGAGGAACTTGACAGCATGGCACTGACAGCTGCCAAGTCAATTGCTGGGTCTGCAAAAGTGTCCATCAATCGCTCTGGCTTTTTCAAGGAAGGTCTTGAGTTGCTGGAACTTGTGGAGCCTGCATCACCACTCACAAAGGCTGGATCTACCAGTTGCTTCCAATGTTCAAAACTGGACTCCTTAATGGCGGCCTTGAGTACAGGATTGGTCTTGCACAAGTGATACGATCCAATCAGAGCGGCCAGTGGGGAAGCATCTTCCTTGCTTTGGCTGCCTTGCTTGATTTGCTCTTTGGATTTCCACAGATATTTTAGCGGTAAAGTTCCTTCATCGTCACCCTTTTTAATGACCAGCTTGTGATTAGTTCCAATCCCATGCATCAGATCCATAAGCAAAGACATGAGATCGGCTTGATGTTGCTGTTCGCAGGGATGATTGGTTTCGGAGAGGCCAATCGACAAATGCCACAACCAATCCGACCACCATGGCAAACCCATGGTGGGATGAATCCAAAGAGCCAATTGCTCTTGTGGATTCAAGCACTCTAGGGCAATGTGCTGAAACAAGGTCAAGATTGGAATTTTGGTGGCTAATTTGCCACGATGCTGCAACAGATTAGCTAGGAGCTCCAATACTTGCCACAAAGCGTGTCGCTCCATGGGACATCCGGCGCACAAGACGCCAAATGCAGCCTTTCGTTCGGCAAGAGAAGGAGATTGCAAACAAGGAATCAACCAGTGATACGATTGCTTCTTGGCGAGTGTTGCTGGCAAAGACTGCTGTTGCTTTTGTTTTGGCTCTTTGGACTTTCTTCTCCGACCTCGTTTGCGACTTTGGGCTTTCGACTTTGGACTAGCCTTTCCAGATTTCTCATTTAGCTTGGATTGCACAAAGCGAGCAATCGCATGAGCAGATGTGTAATTCCGAATAGCTTGATTGAAACACAAATCAGATGCTCCTGGACGGCACCGCAATCCTTCCAAAAGAGGCAAGGAAAGAGGACCTCTTGTAGTTGAGCCATTGTGAGTACTACTGTGACTTCCATGGTTACCGTGGTTATTAGATGTTGATGGCGACCCTGGAGAAGCCGCAGTTGCCGCAGAAGGCCCTGCCACAGTTCGTGGCATGATTGATGGTTTGCAATCAATCAGATGAAGGAAGCTAGCTAGGCTTCTGGAGTCTTATTTTGCTCGCTTCTTACAACAAGAATACAAGATTTTTGACGAGTGCAAGAATAAAGCAGAGAGAGAAAGGTCAATCAAAACGCAGCTCATCCAAACTATGCTCTTTCTTGTTCAGTAGATGGGACTGTTCCTGCTTGTGTCTCATCAGCTTGGGCCTACTCGTCTGTTTGTTTGTCCTCCGAAGTCTTGATTGATTCTTTATCTCTTCCCTATGACGATTACGCGTAAGTGTACAGCTGTAGGGCTTGGTAGCAAACCTACCAGAAGTCCGCAGTCCAAATCGGCATTTTTTACCGCGCTTTTTGTAAAGTGTCACTGAGTTGGCCGCAAGTGCAAGTGGTTTTTCCTGGGAAGCCAAGTATAAAGTGCAACTCTACTTGATGCTCTGGTTGGATTCATCCCTAAATGAACAATGTAGGGTCGGTCTTCCTTTTGTTGAATCTTTTCTACCGGTAGGTACAAGAGTACAAATATTTATATTAGATAATATGATAATTTTAATATGCAATTTAGTTCTCTATTTCGTGTCCAGCAACTACCTCTAGCCAACTGTGCGATTGCTGGATCTCGCAATACTGTACTTTTTCTCTCTCTCTCATTTTCACAGGATAGTTGGTGCTTTTAACAGCGCATCCAACCCATCAATTTCACAAACATCTATATATATATAAGCAAATGCATTTTCTTCTGCATCCCTCCTAATGCATCCATCGACCAATTTACAACTTGGATCGAATTTGCGGTTGGTTTCCCACCAAAGGACTCTGAAGGACTCGTTGTTCGGCCAATATTCTTCCATCCTCTCCGATAGGACTCAATTGTAAGAAGGACCTTAATTCTTGAATGCTATTGACTCCAAAGCCTTGTGGAGTAGACGTTTCTGCCAAATCGCGAGCATCGGCCACCAATTTCTTGCCGGGTTGCTTGGACGGTAAGACAAATTCCTTGCCCATCCACTTTTGCAAGCGTCTCACTACATAGAGGGTAGCAGGCATGTCCCGTTCCAAATCAAAACCAAACATTTCGCCCAATCCCAATTGAACGCAAAGGCCATGATTCAAATCGTCCACAAAGAACCGACTGGTGGGAATGGGACGAATGTAATCGGTGGGGTTGCCATTTTCGTCCTTGATGCGCTCGGCTGGACTGAGGACATGCCCAATCCGGTGACTGTGGCTCAACCCAAATCCCATCGAAAAGGCAAAGAAGTTGTAAAATCGCAACCGATCTTTCGAAGGCATCTGGGGCAATTCGTCTTCGCTGTTGGGAATACCTTGCGCTCTCTTGAGCACCAATTCCGTCAAACCGGATCGTTCTCCAATCTCGGCGGGAGAATTTCCGAGGGTATTGACGACCATGCGGCCCACTGGTTCTCCCCCATGCATGGAGGAAATGGTCCGCATACCACTGGGCGACAAGAAGGCATCCAAAGAATCCAAGAGGGGATAGACTTCGGCACAGGCAATGGAAGTAATCAATTGACCCGCTTCCGGATGAGCCGCACCATCGGAATAAAATCGAGGCAGTGGTGTCTTTTTTTCCTTGAGCGGCCATGGAATACGACCGTCCTTATCGGAAGCTTCGGGATTGTTGGGATCCTTGAACATGGCCGCCATGATGCATGGGTGCAACCATTGATTGGTGGCATTCATGGTACACGTCAAGAATGCAATACTGCCAGTGGGATCCGCATAATCGGCCATGGGCTTGGCCATAATGTCCGATGGCAAGGTATCCGAAATGGCCTTGGCAGAAGTCTTGCCCAGCATGACATTGCTGGAACCAACCTTGTGGGTGCCTTGCATCATTTGAGCCACAGCGACAGCGGCCGCTGCATCGACGACAGGGGCCGTTCCATCACCACCTACCTTTTCCTTGGCGCCAATGCCTAGGAATTCGCAATATCGACCAGTCGTCTGGGCCTGCAAGAGTCGATCCAACAAGATACGAGCCCTGGCTCGGGCCCTTGGAGAGGGCGGGGATAGTGCCACTAGCAATTCGGGAAAGCGCCCAAAGAGTGTCACGACGCCAGGTTCGGTTGATTTGGCCAAAAACGGAAAGGCCTTGAAACCAAACAAGCACAGGTCTCGTTTCCAAGTACCACAGAAATCAGAAGGCCTCTCTTGCGCAAAGGCCACTCGAGATTGCCAATCCAGACCTCCAGCGGCATACAAACTGCCCACAAGCAGTGGCGGCGCATTGCCTCCAAATTTGGCAGATTTGAGAAGCAATCCTTTGCGATCTAGTCGGTAAAGACTTCGGGCAATCCGCCTCAAGATTGGCAAATGGGCAAAGACAGGACAACACAAGACGATGCAGTCAGCAATACCTCCATCGTCCATGGTACCAATACCACTAATAGCCTTGTCAAAGGCATCGCCAAATTCATCTGGGTCATCCTCGTCCGAATACCCCAACACAGAGTCAGCAGCTCCCATGTGCGTCTTCCAGGACGTCATGAGGGATTCGGGAAAGATCGTGAGGGGGACTTCGTTGCATCGAATGTGTTGTTCGTTGCATTTCCAATGCTTGGGTTTGCCCTGTTCGTCTGCAAACTGAGACGGAGAACGAGTGACCACTCGTACCACATGTCCGTCATTCAGTGGATTGGTTCTGTCGCACAGTATTGCTTGCAAGGTTTTGGTGCCATTGGAGCCTCCCACTAAAACAGTGGTTTGTGGGCGTTCGGGGACTAACGATAACATTTCTGCTCTTGTTACTGTATGATTGATAAGCTTTTGAGGGTCTATCACACGGAGCCTGAGATTGTGGTTAGTCTTGTTTTAGAGAAGAAGAGGGCGCAATTTCAAATACGAGTTGCGTCTTTTTCATCATTGTTGACCCCAAAGACGGCGTCTGTCATCCACAAAAGACATGTGATTCCGTTCAGCGAGCGTGTACACAGCTGGCACGTGCTGAATATCCAGTGTTGAACATTGATATATTTAGTCGGCCTGGTCGCAAGAAATATCTCACTATTTGATATAATGCTTCAAACGACGATACTTTCTTCGTTTGTACAGCAGCTATTAATATTTTATATATGTTAACATATCACAACAAAACTAAACACAAGCCCCAAAGTTGACAATGCCCAAGTCTTCAAAGTAGAAGCACCACTACTGGGAGCTGGGGTTGGAGGAGCTGAAGTAGGGACCATAGTGGGGGCGGCCGTCCTCGTTGGATCGGGATGACCATATATCATCAACTCCCATCCCAACAGTTTATCCTCAAACAAACTTGGATCGTCATAGATAGTACCACCACCAAAAATACAACAGGCTTCTCTCAAACTTGTACCTTCCTCATCTTGTAAGCCGAGCAAATTCAATTGGGGCAAGAGTGCTCCATCGCTACAGAAACCATTTCGAACTGCCTCGAAACAAATGCTGGTGTCAATGGTGTCGTCACAAAACAAGCCACTGTTACATGCGCAACATCCCTCTTCAATTCCTAGATCCAAAAAGTTTTGGGCAGTCTCCATGAATGCTTCATCGTGAAAAATCTGTACGACTTCCATGGAATTGCATCCAAAGATATGACGGCCTCGTTCCATAATGCGAACGGCCTTGTCGGCACAGTTGCTCAAATCGCCTGGCACCTTGTCCACAATGCTTAAAGTCCATGTGCCCTCGGGCGATTCTCCCCAGGATTTGACCGTCCTCAAGATCCATTCGGCGTCTTGGCCATTTTCGGGAATAAATCCGGGGGTCAATTCGGACACGGTTCCATCGGGCGAGGTCAACGTAATTTGCAAATGACCTCGTGTCAAATGCTGGATTCTCAACTTGATTTCAACATTCTCGACAAAAATGGGCGCGTTGGTGATTTCGAGACGTGTGGAGATCGGAGTATTAGCGTCGTCGGTTATGGTCAAATCCAGGTTGTTGACTTGGGCTGTGACAAGTCGTTCGGGGCCATAATTCTCCCACGTTTCGGCAGCCGTCACGGCGGCCATGGCATTGACAATTCCAAAACCATACAAATTGGAATGAACCAAACCTGCCCCATTTCTCATTTGAGTTTCATCTTGGAATACGGTGTGGGTGACTGGTTCCGAGGTGGTGGCCAGAATGCCTTGGACATCTCTCCACGTAAGGTCGGGATTGACTTGGAGCATCAAGGCGATGACTCCGGAAACAATGGGACTGGAGTAACTAGTTCCATCGCCTGCCAATTCACAGCCGCCTCCTGCTCGTGCCACGGTTTGGCGGTCGACGTCATCAAAGTCTCCCGCTGGAGCTGTCAGTAACACACTGGAGCCGCCGGTCGAGTAACTGGAATGTTGTCCATCCTTCCCCACGGCACCCACTAAAATGGGGAATCTTCCGAGGTTTTCAAAGTTGGAATTGTCCCCATCATAGAAATTGTTGCCACTGGCATAGACGTAGATCACTCCTTTCTCATTTCGTCCCAGTGTTCCTCCCTTTTCAACCGATGATCTCAAAGTTGCCACACTTTGAAAGGAACACTCCCCGCCGTTGGTGAATTGGTCCAAGAGGGAGTTACATGCTTCTTGATCCACTTCAAAGTAGAATTGGCAATGTAGAAAGACTGCAGTGGTACAGGCTGCCGTGGGTTCTACTGACGGAAAGTCACAGACGTCGCAAGGGTGCTCCATCCCCCTGAACAAAGTGCCATTGAATGAAAAGAAAGAGCCGGGTCGATGGGTAAAGGGGCATCGGTTGGAGTTCGGAAAGGTAATGGTCATGTCTGCTTGTTGCTTCGAGCGGCAAGGTATGTTGCCCAAGGAATTGTGTGAAATGTGAATTCCATCCAACTTGTAGCTTGGATAGCTGTGATCACGGGCAGTCAGATCCAAAACAGGAGCACCAACAACAGTACAAGACGATAGTATTACTTCCGGCGCAATACCTACCGCACATTGAGCATTGTTTCCACCTGCACCAATGATTGACGCCACCACGGTTCCATGATTTCGGTAGGTTCGAGTGCGCTCGTCAAAATACGCATCAAACACTCGACACGATGCATCCGTGTCGAATCGATTTTGGAACTCAACATGTCGATAGTCTACGCCTATGAATGCGATGGGAGAATGTACAAAGTTAGAAGATTGTTGGATATACTTTTGTCTTTTGATTGACACTTCGTAGTGTTACAGACATACCTTCATCATTTACTCGTATCCGAATGTCCTTGCCGAAAATTCCCTTTTCCCAAACAGGATAAATATTAATCATTTGAAAGATCCAATCTTGGACGACATCAGGATCACTGCAGTATGGAGGAACCGAGAAGATAATTTTATTAGACAGACGTGTCATAAGGACAGAAGACTTCATCGAATGACATTGTAAGCTTACTTGAAGAAAGATGCTGCTGTGCTATCGACAGGGTTGGTACCGAGACATTGCAGTATAATCAAGAGGCTCAGAGAAGATGATAACGATATTGACATAATTGATTGTCTACCGTATGATGGACCAATGATCGATTGGTACCAATATATTGAATATGTGATCGTGCAAAATAAATAAATTGAAAGGAGCAATTTCCGACTCCGCCGACCATACCGCAGTATTAACTTTGTGATGAAACATGGCCACTACACATCCATACGAAACTGTATCTATTTTACTTCTATTCTTTTAATTGTGCAAAAGGAACAGAGCAGCCATTCCCGAAATTATGCACACCCAGTGGTAGTGTGATAACGACTGGCGAAAAGCTGTCGATGTCGCAACATCATCCGAGGAGGGAGGTCGTGGTGCCGGTACTGTACTCGTTGGCTGAATAGTTATGGGTTGTTCCGTATTCGTTGGCCGCTGAGTAGCCATCGATGGTCCCATCGTGGGGGATACTTGGGGAACTATCGATGGAGCCATGGGAGCAGGTGATCCTTCGTGACCGTAAATTCGCAGCTCCCATCCCAACAGTATGTCTTGAAATGTCGATGCATCATTGTAGATTGTTCCTCCACCTCCGACGCAGCATGCCTCTCTCATGGTAATGCCTCTGGGATCCTTTCGCAACAGAAATTCCGCAGCACCTGTTGGAGAACCATTGACACAAATACCCTCACTTTCTACTTCAGCACAAGTTGCATTGAATCCTGCACTACTCTCACAGGCACCATTAACTTGTTGCCCACCACCACATGAGCAGCAGCCATTGAGAATATCCTGATCGATTAGACTGTTGACCTTGTCCACATTTGCTCCATCTTGAAGTGCACCACGCACTTCGTAGTATTCACATCCAACAGGCGAGGCGATGCCAAATGGGATTTCCAAAACCTTCCAATCGGCCATGTCGGCACAAGTACTGACATCGCCCTCAGTATTATCAACAATTGAGAGTTTCCAAACCCCATCGGCTAGTTCTCCCCAAGATCGAACCGTGCGAAAGTCCCACGGTCGGTCGTCTTGACCATTTTCGGGGAGCGAACCGGGCGCCAATTCCGAAACAGTTCCATCTGGGGACGTCAGAGTAATCTGCAAATGACCTCGTGACAAGTGCTCGAGGTAAATGTCCACCTCTACATTCTCTACAATGACTCGAGGACCAGAGGATTCTACAAAAGTCTCCGACATGACTGGAACAGATGGATCATCTCCAATCTCCAAGTTCAGGTCCGTAACTTTGGCTGTGATCAGTTGCTCTTCGCCATACGATGTCCAATTCTCAGCTGCAGTGACCGCGGCCATGGCGTCGACAAGGCCAAATCCATACAAGTTGGAATGAGTCAATCCAGCTCCATTGGTTGTCTGCGATGTGTCATCAAAGATAGTGTGGTTGACTGGGCGTGATGTCTTGGCAAGAATTCCTTGTACGTCCCGCCAGGTGAGATCGGGGTTGACTTGGAGCATCAATGCAATGACACCCGATACCAGTGGACTGGAAAAACTGGTCCCAACACCAGTTTCGTCGCATCCTCCGCCCGCGTATGCCGCAATGAGAGTGTCGGCATCTTCGTAGTCACCAGCAGGTGCCGTCAAGAAAACTGATGCGCCAGGCGTCGAATAGAGTGTGTGCTGGCCATTCTTTCCCACCGCTCCAACAAAGATGATGAATCGACCTTGCTGCTGGAAATTGGTGTTGTCCCCATACGCAAAATTGTTTCCAGAGGCATACACATAAATAACGCCCTTTCCGCCACGTCCTTCGGTGGCACCTTTTTCGATGGCTTCCGATACTCGATCATAATCTTGCCAGAAGCTGCACTCACCCCGAGTAATATACTCATCCAGAATGGTCAAGCATTCGTCTTGTTCTTTCTCAAAGTAGGCATCGCAATGTTCGTAAATCGCAAACGAACACACTTCATCGGGATTGGAAGTCGGGAATTCGCAAACGTCACAGGGGTGCGTCAAATTGTAGACTTCTCCTTCGAAGATATAATCTTCATTGTCTCGATATAAAAAAGGACATTCCATGATATCTGCAAAGGTCCCAGAGAAATTGTAGTCGAACGTTGGATAACATGGAGTTCTGCCAAACGAATTTTGAGATATATCAAAGGTGTCCAATTTGAAGGCTGGATAACTGCCATCTCCAAAGGTTCGGTCCAAGCTGGGAGCTTCGATCACGACACACGACGAAATGGTCACCTCCGGGGCTACTCCCATGGCACACTGACTGTTGTTCCCGGAAGCACCAATCAAGGAGGCCACCACCGTGCCATGTTGGCCAAACTCAAAATCCTCCCGATAAAAATACGGCTCGTATTTGTCACAAGAGGCATCGATATCAAATCGTCCTTGAAATTCGGCGTGATTGGGATCGACGCCACCATCGTTCACTCGAATCCGAATTCCTTTCCCAAACAATCCTTTCTCCCAAACAGGATACAAGTTGATCATTTCAAAGGCCCATTGCTGTAAATTAAAGTCTGGATCACTGGTATTTCAGCCACAAATGAATGCAAGAGGAGTGATAATGAGCAAAAGACGGAACATATAGAAGGGATTTGGGAACATACATTTCATGCACTGTTGGCTGCAAGAACAAAGTTTTCCTCTTCTTCGTCACAAGGAAATACTTACTTGAACGTGGCAGCGGCCCGCCTTGTCGATGTACTCTGTGTAGGATAGACACAAAACCATTGTATTGTAAACAGGACAAGAAACACAGAGGGAAGAGCCGGCTTCAGCATGAAGATGATACAGTGTGATTTTCAATCTTGCTTAATTTTTTCGGATCTTGTGTCTTATGTACGCGTTATTGGAAGTTTTATTTGAGAAACCGCTCGTAGAATTCCAACTCGGCGGAGCGTTGCGTGTAATCGAAGATTTCCCGGCGCTGCCTCTGGGCTTGAATCGAATCAATCGCTTTCTTTTAAAAAATAGTCTGTCTGGAGCGGCCTGTAACTGGACCTACACGCGCCGAGTCAGCTTTTCGGGGGTGTCGTTCGGACAAAATGATGGGAATAGCATAGTCTTCAATTTTTTACACAAGTTTGGTTGACTGGCGCGTCTTTCTTTTCAAAACTACTCGGCGTGCGTGCCTTTTTTAAATGCTTCCGAACCGTTGAACCTTCGTCCAAATGGACGAAAATAGTCGACCCTTCGTCGAGTCCGACTATTCTCGTCGGAGTCCGACTATTCTCGTCGGAGTCCGACTATTCTCGTCGGAGTCCGACTATTCTTCGTCGAAATGGACGAAATGGACAAAATGGACGAAACTGGTTTCGGAGCTCGTGTAAAATTCTAAATGAATTCTATGGTTGGCATACCGTTGCACGCAAGCTGGTCCAAGAAGAATGACAAGCAACAACGGCAAAAAACGGTATTTTAATACCACCTGCTACAGACATGTTGCATGCTTTCAGAAATTCAAACGTCAACCACGAATTGTACTCAGTTGAGTAATAGATTTAGGATTAATCCGATCAAGAGGTTTAAAAATAATCTACCCTGTTTCTAATGCGACCAAGTTTCGTCGGGTCCGACGAAGTTTCGTCGGGTCCGACGAAGTTTCGTCGGTCCGACGAAGTGTCCGACGAAGTTCACCCATTTCAACGGAACGTCCACGAATGAAATGAATCTTTAGGCAGGCTCGTTTTCAGCGAAGCCCAAGCTCTGCATTGCGCAGAGTCTGTCACCGGCAAGTCAGCTTCCGTCATCCTTGATAGGCAATCTATACGACATCGCTGAGGACATTCCCAGCAAGCCTGCCATTTCAGGCCGCTCCTGGAGAATTGCACACGTATGCTATTGTCAATCGACTATATGGAATCCTCAAATTGACGCACAACATTTTTTCCGTTGAAAATTGATTGCGATTGTCAGCGACAGTCAAATTTGACACAAATTTGACGGGATTTTGGCGGTCGATCAAATTCGAAATGATCGGTTGACCATCTGATCGGCTCGGCTAGAGATGCTCTGATCTCAATCAATTAAAGGGCACCATAATCGACTAGATGGAATGTTCAAATTGACGGGCAGAACTAAAATGTCCGTAGAAAATTGACAGTGATTGTCGGAAACCGTCAAATTTGACCCAAATTTGACGGGATTTTGGCGGTCCGTCAAATTCGAAATGACCGGAGGGCTTATATATTTTTTCATCGCGACGCGCAATTTGAAATTTGTAGTCGAATGACGGTTGACGGCCTTGGTTGAAGAGGCTCTGAGGCCGGCTCCTTTTCGAATCACTTCAGTACCAAGAACCTTTAGAACCTACGTAGAAAGAAGTTCGCCGATTGGATTCCAAAAGATTATTGGAGCCAAATCGCTCACATAAAAAGAATTCGTAAGATGAAGCAAGACAGTGGAACTGCAGTTTCTGCAAGTGTAGACAACCGAGTGAGCCTTAGGCATACTACAGGGTGTTTGTTTGATGGGAGATGTGCGGCGAAGGCGTTGTTGGTTACACTGATTATCGTGGGTGGAGCATTTGCTACAGGTTTGTTGTTTACATACGTGCAGCCCTTGGAGGGGCTCCCCTACATTGAAAACCGAGCCGAGCCTTCCATAGTGCGAAAATTGCGCCCGGTTATGGAGAAGCCTAGGACGAAAGACTGCAGAGACACAATGGCCATGGAATTGGAAGCTCCAGAAGACCTTACATTGGGTTCGGCTGTTCAGGTACTTGCTAGTAAAGGGGCGGGCGGCAGACCTAAACACAGGAACACTCATAGATAAGGAAGGGAATGTACTACCTTTGCCGATCCCAACAGCAACCGACAGAAGGGGAAGGAAGCTTTTCTTGCAAGGAACATGGAACAAAGTGGTCCTTGGTTTTAACACATTGCGGTCGCACATGGGCACTGCTTCGATTCCGTCCGGACACAGTGCTGTAGTCATAGCTTGTGAGGTTGGAGCCGTGGGAGGCTTCATCACTGGTGCAGCAGCCAACTTCCTTGTGCACACAATCGACACCGCTGGAGGATCATGCAATGACGAGAATGCTGCTGGTACAATAGTCAATATAGTCGGAAGTGTGGTTGTTGCTGTTGTTGCTGTTGTTTCAGTGTCATCTGGGTTTTCGGTCGTAGCTGCAGCTGAAGTAGGCTTCTGCAGCCTTACTTCGGCTATGATAACATGGGGTGAGGCCGACAGTGCTTTTTCGATGGTGAAAGGCATAGACCGGTGTGACAGGAGGTTGGTAGCTAGGGAAAACGATGGTTTGGTAGGTTTCTATGACCGTGTGACATTTTGACGGCAAAGATGTGATTGAACTAGACAGACGCCTAGGTGAAAAGCCGCTCGAACACCAGGTACACGCAAGTATAGATGAGCTGGGTGCTGTGTATGACGCATGGGCAGATCACTGGATTGACGGTGTCATTGATCATGGGGACGACCATGTGTATAAGACCCATAAAGCCCATTTCAGCACTGGATTAGTGGTATCTTTCACCGACTATGATACAAATGATCATGTGGGTATTGCAGCGACAGGAGACTGATTGGACGTAACGAAGATCTTCTGTCCTACGGTGAACTGTATCACCACAAGTTGGTACTGTGACGCACCAGAATCAGACAGCTGGTGTGATATGGAGCCTGAGACAAACGGAAATACGGCACACATCATAGTTTCTGCGTTGCGGCCTGGCCAGTTCAAGGTCAACCTAAGTGAAGGTACGATGAAGGCTAGGAAGCGTGGGAACATAGGAGGATCAACCAAGAGCGGCCATACCATCAATGTGTCTGCAGGGGACTCACTCCTACCACGTGCAGTTCCTAGTACATAGTACTGTACTTGGACTGGATGACGGACAGCGCCACCAATTTCCACTGTAGGTTTGACGTTAGCGGGTTACTTTTTGGAGCTAATGTGAAGAAGCTTGTTGAGGCATAGGTGCTCAATAAATCAGAGATCTGTCACCAATAAATTGTCTCCTAGACTAACGTAGTCGTGTGCCACCCATAGCTTCATCAGGACCCACCCAATTTTTCGAAAATCGCGGGATTCGCGCGCTCCGAGGAGTCTCAACAAACGGGCCGATCTGGTTTTGAAAGGTGGATAGAAGCACAATCCCCCTTTTCTGAAAGTGTATATTTGCTCATGCACGTGTCCTCAGATTGTTTTTGTGCCTCTTCTCTTGTCTTTTTACGCGGTAAATGAGGGTGATGCGTCAGATCTTTCAACTGCATCAAACTCAAATACATCCTAAACACTCGAATTTCAAACACTCGATTTTTTTCTAAACATCTCTAAACACTCGAATTTTCTCTAAACACTCGAATTTCCTTTTTTTAAACACTCGAATATCTTGTCATCAACACTCCAACAATTTTGGAAAGCCCCAACAGTAAACCTCACAACTAATCAGTTTAAAGTTTCACTATAGATGCTTTGCTTGCATTCTGGCTGGTGCAGTTATCAATATTATGGTTGGGGACGTCTTTGCGGGCTAATGAAATACTGGGTAAAAAATGATCAAGATTTCCAATTGTCGCTGAAAATTGATAAAGAAACGTTCCAATCAACCTGTAAACCCACATATAGAAGCTTGATGAGTGCCATCATGTCATGGCACACTTGCATGACCCCCCACTGGCCGATCCATGACACATAGCCGGCAGCTAGATGATGCAAAAGTCGTATATGTGACAACAGCGCCATCTGCCTTTTTTGTAATATAGTTATTTTAGGGGGCGAAAGTTGGTCCCTTAAGTAAACCTATTTACCCGCATCTTCGGCCGCACGGAAAGCTAGCGCGGAGGTCCAGAGAGACCAAAAGTGCCACTTTGGGGGGTGGTGGTAAAAAATCCTACAATAAAATTGTAAACGCACCCCCCAATTTTGTTGCAGCCATCAAAAGGAATCATATACATAGTCCATACGAAATGCAATTTTTTGTCCCAATAAGATCCTGAACTCAAATTGTTGTTACCTAATAGACAAAAACTGCAATCTTCATAACCGACGTTGGCTAAAGTCAAATTCTGAATTCGAGATACGGTTTGCCATGCCATCATGCACAGTTGACCATTACAGTCAAAACTGAACTGCATATCCTAACCTGCCTATTCCAATCTTTCACTTCCAAGACTGTCTTGCCACATCTGAAGTGCGACATGCAAAAAAGGTTCACTTTCTTACTCAACCATCATTGGGAACAGGTCTCCATAGCAGAGTTTTTATATTTGGGGACACAGTAGGGATGGATGCGCTACTGTAAATTTAATTTACAGTAATTTACAGTGTCAAATGTACTGACCCCCTTTTTGATATTGTCTGCTGTTTGTCCGACAACATGACACGTTGACAAAAAATTCAAAATACTGTGCTAATATTTTTTGCTTCACAACGATGGTGAGCCTTGTGGCCAATGAATTCATCGCCCACAGCAAGAAAATAGTTGAAATGTTGATACTAGCTTCATCGTGACAGTATGGAAATTGACAACTGAAGTGATATGGACGCATTAGACTCTTTGATTGTTGAAATGACCTCTCAAGGCCAACCAAGAACCAGGAGGTCTGATGTTCGGTTTCAGAGCCCCTGGACGCCATGCAAAGAAAGGGTTACTCAACAATATGCCAATGTCTTCTCTGAATGGCTCACTACAAATACAGGAGACTGTGGTTCATTGAAAGATTTTGACAAGATGAAGCACACAGTCACCTAAAACGTGAGCTGATTCCATTCACAATGTTTTAAAATCTGACAAAGACGTATAGACTACTATGCCAACAGGGAAGAACTTTCTTCATTCTATCACACAGCAACCACAGGATTGTATCAACAGAGGCGCCGATCCAAGTGCACAGTGTCTCCTACCATGATTGACAATTATATGCCCACGGGCGTAAATTGATTCTTCCATTCACGATGTTTTGAAATCTGACAAAGACATGTAGAGTACTATGCCAACGGGCAAGAACTTTCTTCATTTTTTCACACAGCGACCACAGGATTGTATCAACGGAGGCGCCAATCCAAGTGCACAGTGTCTCCTACCATGATTGACAATTATATGCCCATGGACGTAAGTTAATTCTTCCATTCACAATGTTTTGAAATCTGACAAAGACGCGTAGAGTACTATGCCAATGGGGAAGAACTTTCTTCATTGTTTCACACAGCGACCAAAGGACTATATCAACGGAGACGCCAATCCAAGTGCACAGTGTCTCCTACCATGATTGACAATTATATGCCCATGGACGATGTAAGTTGATTCTTCCATTCACGGTGTTTTGAAATCTGACAAAGACGTGTAGAGTACTATGCCAATAGGGAAGAACTTTTGTCAACCAACCAGGAGTTAGGATCAATTTGCAGTAAAGATACTTTGTATGCTGTACAAATCAATCACATTATAAGGACCCATGGGTGTATACAAGTACGTTGACAGGTAAGTAGCTGTTGCAGCAATACACTGTTGTAATCAACTGAGATTTGTACAGACAGTTTCTCGACAAGGACTGAAGATGACTGTCCAGAACACCATTGGACAATGAACCAGTGGCATGAAGGAGAAGATTGTGAGAACAAACTATATGGTATAGAGATATATACAAGCAAATCACCCACAAACTTACTACAGAATTGACCATCCTAGCCAACTGATACTTGCATAGAGGAATTCAAGACAACAACTGAAGATGACTGTCCAGAACACCATTCCTCAATCAACTGCTGCCTCAAACACTTAAATATAGTTTGAGGTAATGTAATACTATAGTTATAACAAAGATACGCATGAACTATCATGTCATATTCAGGTATAACTAAGATTGGTCCTCAGACTGACTTGGTTTGCCCTCTATGATTGGCGTTCATTGCCTGGGTCATCAGTTGTTTGGGCTGGAAAAGTTGTAGTAGTCCCTTGATGAGTTCTGATTTGCATCGCTCCTTTGAGTTCATGCACTATGGTATCACCTTCCAAAACAACAAAGACATCATCATCTTTGTCCAGATCAAGATCACCAATGTTATAGTTCTTGTAGCGGCGGTGCTTGTTCTTGGTGAGATTGTTGCAATCGGCAACAGCTTGGCATTGGCCAGAGGCTTGTTCCAAGTCAACAATGGCAGGAACATTGAGTAGCATGTCACGGTGGAAGAAGATGGCACCAGGAGAGGCAACCAGAGACTTGTTGACAGTGGCACCTATTGCACGCTGAGCAAAGGCAAGGACAGTGTTGATAACTTTGGAGGCAGTCTTGATGTTGCTGTCATGGATGTTTGCAGTTGGATAGCAGCATGGGATTGCTCAACAATAGTGTTGACCTGAATTTGAAGTCTAGGAATAGATAGTTATTAAGGTTAGGAAAGCACACGGCTCTTCTACCTGTAACACTCATCATCATGACCATTACGGACTTCACTGGCTGTGCGCAAAAAGAGCTAACGTTACCTCACCACCCAGGCGAGCTACCCAAACCATGATTCCAAGGCAGTCCTTGATGCCTTTGATCCCACCAAGGACCTTCAGTTGCAAGATCTGAACAGCCTTGTCAAAAAGGGCATACAAGGGGGCGCCCCCGCCTGGTACACAGGATGGTCAAAGGAGGTGAACGCCTTTAATTTCTGGCATTGGCCAATGATTAGATACACCACGGTTGGCAAAAAGAAAGAACAGCATTTTGATAAGTTGTATGTGCTGGACCATGACGTTCTGGAGAACGGGAGCAACCCACTGGCATTCTCTTGGCCGGCAAAGGCCTTCTCGAAAACCTATCCAGTTAAGGTTCCAAAGTTGGAGGCATGGTTGATAAAGGAGGAGGAGCTTGAGCAGGATCACTCCAAGGTGTTCATGATGGAGGATATCAGTGACAAAGATCCTGAGACGGCTTATGACCTACTGGTTACATGCAAGCAAATGCCCATTCCCAAGGAGCTCTTGGATATCACTTGGGACGGATCTTTGGCACGCAAAGTCTTGAGATTGGTGATTGACAGAATCAAGATTCTCAGCAACAGCGAGGAGCCCGAAAAAATTTCAGAAGTGCAGGAAAAGTTCCGGCACTTTGTGGACCATTGACGCGTGGCAAACCGTCATCAGGAGAGATCAGCTTTTGAAGAACGTCGGAGAACCTGCTGTTCTCACTGCAACATTGGCCTGATGTTGGGTTTCCAGAGTAATCACTTTGGATTTTGCCAGATTGGACTTGGAGGACTCAATTGGAGATCCCCCTAACAAGACCTACAAACTGCTCACCAAGACCTTGGCAGCTGTTGAAGAGAGTAACAAGACAACCAAGACCTCTGTGGAATCGCTTTTGGAGGTAGTGGTAGCGGGCATCCATGGCAAAGTATCGGACAAGGCGCCCCCAAATACAGTGGAAAAGAAGTAGCCCACAAGACTCTCCTATCTGAAGAGAGTTGCTGGTACTAAAACCTCAGCTCAGCTCCCCACCGCACAAGCTAGCAAAGTGTAAGAAGCACAAATCAATTGGAATTGTGCAGTCCCTGCTGGACAATGAGGCCAAGAAGCTGAACCTCAATTTGGAATTCATCGTTTCAGCTGGAGTGATTAATAGGCTGGTGGAATTGGAATTTTGTTTGTGCGGCAATGTTGAAAAGGGTTTGAACATGTTTGATAGTGTCTGTTTCCAGCACTACAAAAATGCAAACGCGATCAACAATTACAACAAGAGCAATTATTGGTTGACAGCTTCAATGAAGGATTATCAAGCCCACAACAAGATCAAGCATGCTATCTTCCCAAAGGATCCCATGCAGTTCCGTGAGATGGTCACTGGTATGCTGGTATTCTACTGTGTAGTGTTTGGAGAAACTCATCCACTGACAGCCGTGTACAAGAAGTTTGCCAAGAATGTGGATACCATCACACAAAAAATGGGAGTGTCCCAGCAGGAGCGAGCACTCAAGCAATTCCTATTTGGAATCTATTCCCAAATTGATCGTTACTTTGAACATTTGGTGAGATCCGGCACAAACGCAGAAGAAAACCTACCCGACTTAGGCACCTATGTGGAGACCTGCTTCCATGGAGGAAGCCTACCAGAGTCAAACTTGTTTGCTGTCGCAAAGGACTCTGGCGGAACTGGTGGAACAGGAGACAAGACTTAAAGTCAGCTGAAGAGAGAGAAGGAAAGGGCCCAGAAGAAGAGCCTGGGCAAATCAGTAAAAAATCCTGACATGAACAAAGAACATCGCTACACCGGAAGAACTACTACTGAGTTAATCAAACGGACAGGCAAACAGCCTCCAAAGCATGCCAAGAGAAAGGAACTGTGCCTCATTTGGCACCCAAAGGGCGAATGCAAGGAGAACTGTGAACATAAGTATTCCCATTGTAAGCTGACTGACAAGGAAGCAACTGCGATGAAGGATTATGTAAATAAGAATAAGTGAGATGGAGGCTGTGACTCCAGCTCAACAGCCTCCTCTTTACTCAACAAAACAGTTGGTTGGAGGCAACGGATCTGTGCTGATATTGGGACCAAAGTTGATAGAAGATTCAGGATTGGCAGAAGGGTACAGTAGAGGTGGTGCCGAGCATTGGTAGAGCTGCAGTTCCTGACGATTGCGGAACTTTTGACTTGTTTTGTGCCGATGGTGAAGAATCAATTGGATTGGTCTAATTGAAACAGCGAAATAGTTCTTTCATATTCATAAACTAGTACCATGAATATATTTACTTTTCCAATTTACTTTCCATGCAAAATGTACATTTTGGACCGCCTAGCCTACTTGGAGAATCTTGAGGTCACATTTGAATGTCAATTCTGAGCTAAACTATGAGATTTTAAAGGACAATACAACCCTTGCATAAGCCAGTTGCAACCCCCCCCCGTTCAAAGGTAACCCGCAAATTTATGCAAAACACTAGAGCAGATTAAAAATAAATTGAAGGAATTTTTGCATACCGGCCAGTTTTGGTCTTTCCTATGTTGGAGTCAGAAATAAGCAGACTGTGCTCTATTGTGAGTGCCTTTAGTAGCGCTCAGAACAAACTCTCTGCAATCTAAATTTTTAATCAACTGTGCAACACTTCCACAATGTTGCACACGATGTTGATGTCGACCTCAACAGAGGATTTTGATGTTATCCTTGACGGAGGATTTTTTGTTGGGCCATTGGAATGGAAAGGGGGGAAAGAAAAAAAAGAGGGATGCCAGAAAGCAAGCAAAAGCAAAAGCTCCCTGACGGTCTTGACCAAGCAGCTATGCCCCTTCTATTGTCTCCATCTTCCCACAATCTCTCATTGTGGACAATGTCTTCACCAAATCTTCCGCCCTCTTCGTCAACACTCTTTGCTCCGTCCGCCAACCATATGTACCAAACCTCCACTGAAGCGTCGCGCTTCAATTGACGCGACGGAAATTGAGCATGCGTCTCCCGTCTTGCCGATCGATCAATAATCTCGTGCAAATTCGACTCGTTGGAGTGTTTCATTCAATGACCATAACACATTAAATTTGATAATGCGTTGGTTGCATTATTTTATCATCCATCATCATTGTCGCACTGTAGTATCCCTTGAAATCATAACAAATGTCTACAACAAAGAAAGAATTGAGCATTCGAAGGTTTGAGCAATCCAACTGCTCTTCAGTGAGCAGCATGACTCCTGCGCTGCAATCGCCCAATGATTCCTCCTCGTTGGAGGAGGAGTATTCCCAAGCTGCTCGGAAGCTGGATCATGGGGCCAGTTTTTCAGATGCGGCATCTACCATTCTAGCAAAGCCATCCTACCGCTTCAAGACTGAATCCTCTCTTCCATGGGGTCACCGACCTCATCCTGTCATGGGAATTTCCTGTCTCTGTTACTTATTGGTAGTTCCTTATCTATTGCCCTGTCATCCAGCCGCAGGTTTCATGTTCATTTTGACGACGCTCTGCAGCTATTGCTCTGACCATTTGTATACTGGAGTGAACTCGCTGGCACACATGTTTGACAAGCTTGTGGCACCCACCACCTTTTGCTTTGCGCTGCGGGCCATTTACACGACCGGTGGACTCACCTGGGCCATTACCTCCAATGTGGCGGTAATCTGTCACGTCTTGGCCATGTCGGCAGCAAAGCAAAACAACTATGAAGGCTTTGTCCTGTGGCATACTCTATGGCATGTAGTAGGAGTTGCTCTGATGGTTGCCTGTTGTATTGTCAATGACACCATGACCGAGTGCATTGTTCCAGGAAAACAAGAGGATATGGGTTTATGGTACGGAATGTAAAGGGTTTTGGATCACCACCACCACCACCATCATTACCACCACTATTATTATTATCGCATGGCAGATGAAAACAAAATGCAAAATAGTCTGGGATTGCTTATTGCCACTATTATCTCCATCACTCCAGCATTATTGGCTCAGATGTCTAATTGTACAACAACGTCTGTTGACCTGCAGATCTATGTAACTTCACAATGATTGATTCCCAATGGTTTCGAACGGGAAGTTTTCATCGAATTGTTGCTCGGGAAATTGGTGGGGTTTGATGCCCTTGTGTATGCGATCATTGAAAACTGAAACATGCGCGTGGTCTGATAGTGAAACTGCTACAATCAAGTCAAAGCTACAATCAAGTCAAAGCAGCATTTTTATTTCACACTTCTACAATACTGTACGCACAAAAGTTCAAATTTCAGTAATTGCTTTCTATGATGGTCGTGTTGCTGGTCGTACAGTAAAATCATTCAAGTTCGGTCTAAATTACTACTACTATTGCTACCTTCGTTTCATATCGACCTTGATCTTTCGGTAGGCATCGGTGATCAGTTTCGATCGTTCCAAAAGTTTTGCCTTTTGAGCTTCCGTGACATTTGGTTGGGTGTCGGGGTGGTGCTGCAGCATCTGCTTGCGAAAGGCCTGAGATGCTTGTTCCTTGGTAGCATTTCGAGGCAATCCCAACACGGAGTATGGATCATTGGGATCAAAGTCCCACTGGTATCCACCAGAGCTGCCTTGTTGCTGCTGCTGCCGTGATGATTGTGATGATGTTCGTTGTTGTTGCTGTTGCCTCTGGTAGGATTGATTCTGTTCCGCTTGCTGCCTCGACCATGACTGCCATTCTTCGAACCAATCGTACTTGCCCTGTTCGTGTTCGGGACCACCCAAGTCATTCAGAATACGAGTCTTGTGACGACGAAAGTAACTCTCGGCAGCACCACTTCTGTCAAAGAAATCGTTACGATTCATTTCCTTATCGTCGTCATCATCTTGGGCTTCATTTTCTCGTTCACGCTCCCAATCGGCGGATGCCGTCTTGTTGTCCATCCACGGTTGATAGATCTTTCGGTATCCAGCTAGCGACCCTACGAATACACCAATGATGGGAACCTTGGTCCAGATTCGGACAAAGAAAAACCAGGCTGCGGCCAAGATGCGACCAATGATTGGTCCTGCCAGTGTCGGTTGTCGCATGATGACATTCAGTGGTTGTGTCAGGAAATTGGCTGCGGCCCTGTGATATTCCGGATTCAGAAACATGCTATCCTCCCCCATGATCTGATGCGAGACACCAGCGACAGCTGCGCCTTTGTCACAACCACTCACAAAGGCTCGGTATTCCAGCCCCAAAATTTCATAATCAATGATAAAGGTTGGCATGTAAACACGTCGTGACTTCAGAACCTGGAGTTCAACTTTGGGCGCTTCTGTATTGTCACGATTGTTCCACGATACATCCACCAAGGTTTGTAGTTCTTGACGAACCAATTGCAAAGCTCGGCCTTCGGTGGTATTCCAAGCATCTGGAACAACCGAAATGGGGGCGCCAGTGGACTGGAGCGTCAAATCCCGTAGCATCCATCCTCCAAAGGGCTCCGTTTTATCCCCCAGAAAGACTAGAGACGTGGAATGCACCGGATTTACTAGAGACCGACGGTAGGAGTATCCAGCATATGCACTCAGACCTGGTAAATGTATAGGATCTTTGGACGAAAAGAATGCTTGTTTGAAGGTAGGTGGCATACTTTCGTCCGGAAATCGAATGTTCAAATCGAAGGACCATACCGGACAGAAGGCAGCGCCTATACGGATGGAATTGTAATTCATTAGATAGCTTAGAGATTGATCATCCTCGGCCCACTTTTTCCATTTTTCGAGGGCTTCTTCAGGAGATATGGAAAATGGGAGGGCGTCCAACTTGAAGTTGCTGCCACTGTTTCTGCCTCGGCTGCTGTGAAATCGAATTGTAGTCCTTTGACACTCATGTTCGTTGTACCATTTGGATATCGCAGTAGTGATGGACGGGGATGACGCTTTGGTGAGATGTGATGGCTTGTAATGTCCCTTCAACAGTCGAGAATAACTTTGAGATGAATAACTGAAACCACGACTTGAGGGTTTCAGATTGCCTTTTGGAATGATTGTAAGGGCGTTACTAACATGACGTATCTGATTGCCTCTCTTGGGAGTGAGTGTCAACACACAAGTATATATCATCTTGGAAGCATAGACCTGTCTGTGAGGTTTGAGACAAGTGGAGTTGTTTTGGTATAGGTACTGTAGAGTGCTGAAGATCCGAGCGACATCCAAAGCAACAAATGCTCCCCTTTTCGTATCCCGCGTTTCAAAAGAGGGAGATGACCCTCCATTTTGAATTTTGCGACTCAACTTATATCAGCATGCTATACGACAGTCTTCTCGCCATAAGCTACAGTACCAACCTATCACACATACACCAATTGAAAGTCAATAAAATCGGTAGCTATGAATTTGCAAAAATGGCAAGCCACGAAAACCAATCGTCGCGATTAAACTTTGCATTTCCCAACGTAATACTGTAGGTTGATGGTACAGATGATGGCCAGCTACTTTGTGCCACAAGGATCACTTCAAAGTCTCAAAAATTAATCTCGCCATTTTACCAATTGATACTTGGATCCACATCCGCTATACCCGCCTTGAAGATTCCGTGGCATTCCGTGAAGAATCGATGATTCCACGCCAGCGAAGTATGGTAGGAGAGATGTCTGGATCCTGTGCTCTATCACATTCATACTAAAGCTTCGCGATCCTGAAGATGATATTCAATTTCTGTTATCCTCGTCCCGTCTCATCCGAAATTTTGGTCTCAATAAGAACATCATCTTTGGAGTGCAGGTAACGCGCGCATTGATGTGACATGGGAACATGAGAAACCAGCATGCAAGGTCGAGTTCAAATTTCGTTTTTGTCTATGCTGCTGGCGGATGGCGATACCCCATCAACTTCATCAATGTCCGATTCAGAGCCTCTTGCGAATCCAGAAAATCCGCTTCGGCGAAACCTCCCATTGCTGGAGCCGGTTTGGAATACTTGATCCATGCCTCGTAGATTCCAGTAGTCTTGTCATGCCCAGGGCTGTCCTTCTTGGCCGACTCGACGACAAACTTGAAGGGCTGGTCCGTTCGAATCTTACCACCTGCGCATTCGCAAACCTGCCGAATGGTTTCTTTTGGATAAAAGACCAAGTCCTCCATTCGAACCACGACATATGGATAATCGGCGTCGTTCAGGTAGTAGCCATACCAGTCGTTCCACATGTGCGCCAATGACGCGTGGTCGTCTTCTCGTCCCTCGCCGTAGCGAACCGTGACGGGATTCCACCTTTGTACGTCTGGATCCTTCAACTTCGGACAGTTCGTGTCTTGTTTCCCATGTCTCCACCGAGCAGCATATGAATTGTGACACATTGATTTGAACCAGGAATATGGGTTTCGCATTGTCACTACTGGTAGAATATATTCCTTTTTGATTTTCTGAGCTTTCTCAGTGGCATGTTGATTACGAAACTTTGCCGGTGTGTGCTTGCCTGAATTAGATGGAGTGATCAAGAAGGAAGTCAGCATCTATTGTTCCAGATAGCGCAGGGGATGAAATGCTAGTCTACCATCACAGGGGCAAACACAACTAACTACTCACCCCAAGGGACTTGCCATCGCATGCCATAACATTCCTTCGACTCATGAGGCCCACACTTTTCTCTTCGCTCGGGAATTTCACAATTCTGTTTCAAGAGATGAGTCACAAGATTGGTTCCTGTATTGAAGGATCCAGCCGATCCCAACATGCGTTCCAATGGCGGAACGAGTTCGCGATATCTGGCACAACTTTCCAGATTGAGAATGTATGGATGGGTTCCTACGACTTCTTGGACTTGAGACCAGGTAGGTAGGGCCTCTATTTGATCGCTGGTCAGATTGACTTCAGCTTCTTTGAATATCTCGAGAATGTGCCCTCGTTCATCATCCTCCACTTCAGCCATCGGTTCTTGTTTCTGTTCATCATTCGTTTCGTTATGCATTTCAGTATCTTTGAGTGGAAGCATCTTCTGGCCATTATCTTTGCCACGTACCAACGATAAGATCATCACGACATTCAAGGACACTGTCAGTGTCATGAGCCAAATGACCAGACAAAGCAACCACGTGGGGCATGAAGATGATTCAGAACGAGGCCGGCCAGGCTTCCGTCTTCCTTTCATTCTAGTCTACCGGGTAAGCTATATGCTCGCCGTTGCGCTTCTTCCCTAGACGACAATGCAGTGTGAATTATCTCAATAATAGCTTGTCAATAGTAGTTATGTCCTTGTCATTTCCCGTCTCATCATTATGGTGTGTGGTCGGCAAAATAAGGTGGATGAACGAAAGGGGGATTTGAAACCCAAAATACCCAAAACCAGCAACTAAAAATGTCGCTTCCTGACATGCGCGCAAACCGTTCCTCACATTTCGATCCAGTCGCCAAAATGCAAATCTCTTTTCCAAAAAATCTTTGACTTCATACCAATCTGTCATCCAAGCAAGAGTAAACAACAGGTCATCATGTTGAGGAAATATAAGAATGTGATAACGACGTCAATCAGAACATCCATGGGAACCACAGCTGATGGTTTCAGGCCACTGGGTCTGGAACCACCAGAGAATTGGGAAAAAGACAACCAAGCCCAACTTCATATTGTATCGCCAATGAGCTACACCGAGGAAACCAATGGCTTCAAGATTATTTCTCCGACCTCCGATCTATCAAATCCTTCTGATGTCTGGAGAATGAACCAACCAGTTATGGTTCATCATGACATTAATGCTGGAAACAACAACTACAATTCACATGATGTTTTTGGGGATAAAGAAAATGTCTTCACTACTCGTAAGCCACTCATGAATAAGGAAAATATGAGATTCGAATCAACAAAATATAACAAGGAAAAGAAGGGCCATCATCACCGAATTGATAGCCTTACCAAAGTGTTCGGTTGCTTTGATGAAAACATCAAGATGAGTTCAATCAAGAGGCAGCGAGAGCAAGAGAGAAGAAGGCAGCCTCAGCGACGGCACTTAGTCGAAATATAAATGTGCACGCAAGTTGTGTGAGCAGCAGCAATATAATGGGTATGCTAGCCAAGAAGCCGAGATCGAAATTTGGAGTTTTTTACTAGGCTTTGCATTTCATGAACCAGCATGCGCCACGGAAACCTTGTTGTTCCCAATCGTGTGGGAATCCAAGAGATAGCAATATTTACTTGTTAGCTTTTGTTCAATCTGCGTCATAACGTGGACTTAGTACTGTACAGTTATTCGTTTCTAGATATTCTATGTGGTATGAACTCGACGCAACTGTGTTTACGTTTTGGCAGCCATTTTGGCTTGCAACTCTTCCAGCATTGTCATCTTGCGCTTTGGAGGTGCATTGTTTGTTTTGTGCTCTGTTATGGGTGCCTGCTGGGCTGACTTCAAAGCGGGAGGCTGTGCCAACTGTGACATGAGATTTCTTCTTGGATCCGCCGTTGGCTTTGCAGCACCACTGTTAGTTATCGGGGTCTGTTTCAATGCAGGAGGCTTAGATAACTGAGCAAGCATATTCTTCTTTGTATCAGTAGTGGGAGTCGATGTAACCCTTGTTGCATGGTTTGCAGACTTCGAAGGTTGCAAAGGTTGTTGACGAGCTGGAGCTGCCAACTTTGGCTGCTCCCATGGTTTGTTCGTTGATGATAATGCAGTGCTTTTTAGCATTGTACTTCTCCCACGGGATCCTTTGACCTTTCTTGGCAGCGAGACTATTTCAATCGGCCGATTTTCAGGTTTCATGTTCTCGTCACGTTTCGTTAGGACGGCACCAAGCTCTGCCAACAAGTTTTGCTTCTTTGGATTTCGTACAGAGTCAGGAGGCAAACTGACGGCAACAAGCTCCATATCACCAACTGGTGCTCGTTTCATCAACTGCACTCCCGCGAGCATGTTTGCAGAAACCATTGGGTTTCGTTGAGGCGCAGTGGAAGACGACACGGTCTCTTTGGCCTCATACTTATTTGGCAGTGCTTCAATCTTAGGACGCTGTTCTGCCTTTTTTGTTAGTTCAGTTAGTACGTTGTGCCGCTTTGCAATGTCTCTCTTGGTCGCATGCGATGCAAGCACAAATGGAGGAGGAACAGAAGCTTTTTCGACGAATTGCCCCATTCGAAAATTCCCACGATGAATGTGCTCGTTGAAAACTTCCAATCGACCCATTCCATGATAAAAGTCCTGAAACCACTGGCCGGAATACTTTAAAAACATGTTGGTATAGACTCCTTGACCTTGCCTCTTTCCGTGATGGTACATTCCTTTGTAAACGCTTAGATTCTCTTTTTCACCCACTAGTGTCTTCCAGGTGAACACACCGAACCCGTGCCTCTGATTCGACTCGAAATTTCCGGTGTAATATCGTTCTATTCGTGAGCCATCGTTGCACTCCTCTGTTTCCCAGACATATTCACCTTCTCCGTGTCGTTCATGCAACTGGAATTCGCCGGTGTATGTATCACCGCACTTGAGCGTGCTTTCCCCGTAACCATCCCAACAGCCATGTTCCCAATCGCCGTCATATGTACCAGTAACACACTCGTCGTCCACCCAGTAGTCAATGCCACCAACACCATGAGGCAACCCACTTTCAATAAGAATAGTACCGGTGTATTTGCCAGTGAACCCCATTGCGTCGGTAATGACCTTGTCCCACACCAGTTCTAGTTCTGGTTCAATTGATGAATCATCGTCGGAAGTCATTTCGTCCACTCCTGGGATGTCTTCGAAATAATCGTAGGTTTCCCCACCATTTTGAAATGGATTCAATACATCCATACTGAGCCCATGCTTGGATTCAGGCGCCGCATTCGAGTCTTCCAGCTTGTCCTCGCTTTCTCTTGCGCCCACTTTCGACCTTGGTTTCGTGAGTGCCCCAAATGCGCTGGCAAAAGCAGCAGGACCCCTTCGTTTGCCTTTTGCGCCGGGCTTCTGCTTTTGCTGGCTCTTCTTGTTAGAGACGCTTTTTTTCACCGGCACTGGAGCTATGCCTTCTACAGCCTTTTCGGAACCCACTTCTGATTGCGTTGTTACTTGGTCCCGGCTGTCTTCAGTGACGATGGGTGCCGCGGCAGGAGCCTTTTGTCCGGTGCTGCTCCTTTTCTTCTTGCTTGCCGACTTCTTAATTGATCTCCTCGAAAGCGATGGACTACCAAGTTTAGGACGGTCTTTAGAATCTTCGTCGCCAGGCACCGGTATGAGATGCCTCTGTGATTGCATTTCTTCTTTTGCTTCAGCCAGTAGACTTCGACGGCTCTTGATATCCGAATGGATCCGATTATTGGATTCGGTCTCTAGACGAGTCATGTCTTCTTCCATCCGTTCGATTTCTTCTTCGTCATCCTTTGATTCTTGAGATTGCCGAATCATATCATCATCTGTCGGTTCTCGAGCCACCATGTCTAAATCTTCTTCTATTCGTTCGGTTTCTTCTTCGTTATCCTTTGACTCTTGAGGTTGCTTAGTCGCATCTTTCTCTGTCGGGTCTGCCGTTTCATCGTTGCTAGTCATATCTTCTTCTACTAGTTTGATTTCTTCTTCATTATTCTTTGACTCTTGTTGTTGCTGCTGCATCATATCTTCCTCTGTTGGTTTTCGATCAGCCATGTCTTCTGCTTCGTCGATCAATGTCGGCTCATTTGACACGACGACCGGGCCCGGTCCAGGTTTTCGTTTGACGACAGCATCTCCAGGAATGACAAATATTTGATCCAGGTAAGAAGCCTGGAAGTCATAGGATAGGTTAGTCTTTGGGTTCACTAACCCAAGGTTACTCCCATGTTTTCTCACAAGGAACGAATGTCCCTTGTAAGTCGTCGCATAATGCTGTCCACCATTGGCCTCCAAAGTGGCAATGACAACACCGTCAACCCCATCATCCCATAACAGGTCTGCGCGATGCTTACTATCGTTCTGAAATCCAATTTTGAAGGCTTTTCCTTCTGCCTCTGGTATGTGAATGATCTCATCTTCGTAGGAAACATGGAACCGATATGGTTCTGCCGATGATTCGAAATCGTCAAACTTGGCAAAGAAGGAATGATTCTTGTACGTGTTGATGCGATGTTCTCCTCCTGTGGGGCTCAAAGTTCCTACTAAAACTCCATCCGAACCATCGTCCCAATAAAGCTTTGCTTCTTGTTGGCTCTTGTTGACAAATATAACCGCAAATTCGACACCCACCATTTCTGGGATTACGATTTCTTGGTCCGTAGGAGAGATCGTAAAGCCATGGGGTTCTGCATTATTTTTAGCATTTTCCCAGCAGCAAAAGAAGGAGTGTCCTTTGTAAGTGGTGACTCTATGTTCGCCATCCTTGGCCCCCAAGGACGCTACCAGTACCCCATCTGCACCATCGTCCCAATACAGCTTGACGTTAGACCTGCTTTTGTTCAATACCAAGACTTCTAGAGGGCCATTTTCGTTCCATTCCTCTATTTCATTGTCATGTTGGTCGTCGTCTTGCTGCAAGTCATCGGCAGCCCTTTCCTCATAGTCATGGTGAATGTTGGAACGGTCCAAGGATTTTTGGTGCTCTGATTCCAAAACTTGTTGCATGTGGTCCTCCATGGAGAGAGCTGTGGTGGTGGGTTTCGGACCAGCAGGTAGGTCTTCAACAACAATTGGAGTCTGTTTCTGAGAATTCATTGGCAGCGGCGGTGGTGTAGCGACAGGCAGTTGAGGAACTTGTTCCGGAATGTTGTTGTTGTCAATGTTATCTTGAATTGGTTTTTTCGATTGTTTCGGAGCAGCATTCTGTATCCGTTTTCGCTGCCCGAGGATCCATGGATGCAACTTGCTACCATCTGGAGAGACGGTTGCAAAAGTGAAGCTCCCCTCGAGTTTGGCCAACATCTGATGAAGTTCTTCCACGGATTCCAGCCTATTCTTGATTTCCACCTGATTGACGGAATACAGTTTCAGACCAGGAGTCAGCATACTCCCGCTAAACAAACTATCCTCCCAGATATCTTCGATATAGAAATCAGCAGCATCTTTTTCACTGGCTTCTTTTTTGCAAAATACCAATCCCATTTCCTCATGGACATGGTCTTTGTGAATAGTGATTGTCAATACATTCTTGGACAATCGGCTTGTGTATCTCATCTTGCTGTCTGTCGAGTATATCTCTATCTCTCTATAATAGATTCCGTTGTGTTTTACAAGTCGAGGTGAGTGTTTCAAAGAGCTAGGCGACTCAAACACTTTAATAGGTTTTCTCCTGTCATTGCGGGTGCTATATCACCGGTACCGGTATCTTGCTACCCATTGGATCTTGACTCCAAGGCATTTTCAAGATTCAAAAATGTCAACGGGTCATCCATGAGACTGAGTCGGGGATAAAATTGCGGGGATACAAAGGCGGGTTACACAAGTCGCGCGGAACTTCTAATTTCTGTTGGGGTTATGACCTTCGTAACCAATTAGCCTCTCCCTAATTGAATCGAATTCGCCACACGATATTCCGTTAAGAAAAAGATTCACATTCTAGTTGGGACTTTCGGAGCATCTATGTGCCTTTTTCCGAAAGGACCCTTATGCCGTTACAGATAACAAATGGAACGGATGGTTGCAGAAGATGTTAAAGGAAACGCGGCTCTTTGACTTTGTTAAAAAATACGTATTTAAGTCTCCATCGGAAATCTGTCCAACAAGTAGAAGAACATTATGCCCGATCAGATTTAGCTGCATTTTCAAGGATGCAGTATGTGAATGTATTGCAGATTATGCGGAACCAAATCTATCACCCCACCCCTACAGCACAGACAACGAAATAAGGAAGAACACATTGCAATACGGTAGCAATCAAATCCTCCACCTCTGGAACCCAAAGACCAAGCAATAAATCAAGGGAAGAAGTACAAGAGTCAGTCATGGATGCTGCGGCCAGCATGCGCGAAAACAGCATGATGCAGCAGAAAACGCAGCTCAGCGTTGTCAGGGAAAGGTTCAATTCTTCAGGCATTGACGACTCCTATCGCATTGATGACTCTATTAATGAAGAGGCAGGTATACAAACGGTCAACGATCTCATGCGAATGAATGGCAGCAATCTTACGGGTAATAGACATTCGGCTGGTGGCAACAACAACAATAAAGATGATGAGGCATACGATTCCATTACGGCCAATGAATCCAAGGGAGTGAATGCGTTAAAGACCATTATGTATCTGACGCTGTTATTCTCGGCCGTCACTGTGGCTACGGCGACCTATTGGTTTGTACAGGACGAGAAAGTACGCTTTTTGTCGTTGGAAATTGAGGCGATTGCGGGCGAAGCAGTCTCAGATGTCAATGCCTATTTGGATGGAATCTCAAGTCAATTGTATCAGATCAGCATGTCCTTTTCGTCGGAATATCAATCTTTATTTTCGGAGGAGGAAACTGATACCTCTTCATTATCATCATTATCCTCATGGGTCAATCTGACGTTACCCCATTTTGATCAGCGGATTAAGGATCATTCTTCCTCAGAACTTATCTTCTACGCACCTCTGATTCCAGCCAGTTCGAACATTATCCTGAAAGAATGGACCAATTATTCCATTCAGAACCAAAATTGGATCGACGAAGCTCTGATGGAAAGGGGATGGGATGCAGTAACCACTCAGATACCCAACGAAATTTATTCCTATTCCACAGCCGTATCGAGATTTGACAATCTCCTGAATCGTGTGGTGGCCCCAATATGGCAAGTTTCTCCAGTGCCAACGAACCGATCGATTATCAATCTGGACGTCTTGACCATTCCAGTGCTTTCAAATCTGCGACGCACCCTGTCTTCTTCTCCGAGCAAAGCAACAATGTCGGCATCCTATGACGCTCGTTTGTTAAGGAATTTCATCGAGAACGAGGAGGATGGGGAACAACAAGAAACAAGAATGGCACCAATGAGCTTTCTCTCCGTGCCAGTCTTCAAGACATTTGATCGCACGAATAATCCATTTGGATATATGTTTGGCCTTGTCTCCTGGCATAGGGCTATATCAGAGGCATTCCAAGATTCACATTTTGATATTTCGGTCAATGTCCAAGAAATGTGTGGCAACAACCAGAGTATGACCTTTTTGGTGCAGAATGGTGGAATCGCACAGTATCAATTGCCGACTGACCCAGCCGCGGAACTGGTCGACGACCCCAACGTGGTGCAAGAGATCGATGTTCTGTTTGAAGGTTGCAACTTTCGCATGACTGTACATCCCATGGCAGGAGCCCAGGACAAGATCACCCGTGATATTCCATTTCTCGGTTTTATTATTGCTGCCTTGTTGTTGGTCTTTTTGGTTGTGGTGTTCTTCTATTACAACCGCCTCGTCAAGGAACGACAACACAAGCTTTTGTCGACAGCGAAACGATCCAACGCAGTGGTATCGTCGCTGTTTCCAGAAGCCGTTCAGAATCGACTCATGCAGGAAGTAGCCGGTGGCCCAGGTGACCGAAGACAAATCATCAAGAAAAGTGGATCCAGAGAAGATGTGTTTCAGGAAGAATCGAAAGATACGTTGGCGGGAGAAAGGAAAGGAAAGGCAATTGCGGATTTTTTCCCAGCCGTAACCATCATGTTTGCGGATATAGTAGGCTTTACAGCTTGGAGTAGTATGAGAGAACCGACTCAGGTATTTGAATTGCTAGAGTCTATTTACGGCGCGTTCGACGAAATCGCAAGGAAGCGACGAGTATTCAAGGTGGAAACGATCGGAGACTGTTACGTTGCAGTGGTCGGGCTTCCCGACCCTTGTGACGATCATGCTATTGTAATGGCGTAAGTTAATTACTTGCTTTCAACTCCTGTTCACAACGTTACTGTTCTAATCCCTTGCTTCCTTCTTGAAGTCGATTTGCAAACGATTGCCGGGTAAAGATGAATGAGGTTGTCAGACAACTGGAAGTAACTTTGGGGCCCGATACTGCAGATCTTTGTATGCGGACTGGAATTCACAGTGGCCCAGTAACCGCAGGAGTTCTGAGGGGAGACAAGGCTAGGTTTCAACTCTTTGGAGACACGATGAATACGGTGAGTTTCCTATGACTTTTGCAGTTCGATGAGGAATGTTTTTGGATCATGCCTTGGTTCGCCTTGGAATTCTTTGACTTTGTTTTGATGACGGCTCCTCCTACCATGCGCTAACCACATTACGCAATCTTCTTAGACATCGAGAATCGAAACCACGGGAAAAGCCAACAAAGTTCATGTGTCCGAAACAACAGCAGCTTATCTAATGGATACTGGGAAAAAGCATTGGCTGGTGCTTCGAGAGGATAAAGTGACCGCAAAAGGTACGCATTCATGGTCAATTACATCTGCAAAGCGAGCTATATTCGAGGAACGCTCATGAAGACAATTTTTGTTTCTCTTCAGGCAAGGGGGAATTGACAACTTATTGGTTGCGTATCGCAAGAGCCAAGAGGGGGCAACGGAATACGCTGGCGTCCGAGTCTGAGGCAAAGTCTGTTGATGACGAGAGTATTGGCGCCGAACCCGCATCGCCGGTTCCTGCGAAGCAAGGCGATCTTTCGAATAAGGCAATGCGTTTAGTGGATTGGATTACAAACGAATTGGTCGAGCTGCTTGCAAGAGTCGCACTGAAAAGAGGCACGTTGCACTCATACCCCGATGCCCCAGCTGCTCTGGAACAATTGGAAGAGCAATCTGTGCGAAATTTGATTGCCAAAATGCCACTTGACGAGGTTGTCGACACCATCGATTTTCCTGCTTTCGATGCTGATCTCGCTGATTTCTTGATGATTAGCAAGCGAGGTGGTGGCGCGATTCTTGATGAAGCTGTCAAACAGGAGCTGCGTGACTATATCAAAACGATTGCAAGTATGTATACCGACAATCTATTCCACAACTTCGAGCATGCAAGGTGCGTATTTCCGAACCATTTTACGCAAACTTTGTTCTGATGTTATAACTAACAATTTGCGCTGTCTTTCCAACAATACAGTCACGTTACAATGTCTGTTGTGAAGTTTCTGTCGCGAATTAGCGCACCAGGGAACGAAGTTGATGTCAATGAAAATGCAATGAAGCTCCATGAGAGCACTTATGGTATTGCTTCTGATCCTCTTGCTCAATTTACGATTGCACTATCAGCACTGATTCATGATGTCAAGCACCCTGGTGTTCCAAATTCCCGGTTGCTGAAAGATGACATGACACTTTCGGGACGTTACAAGAAGAAAAGCATGGCGGAACAACAATCGCTCGACAAAAGTTGGAAATTGCTTATGAATAAAAAATATACGAAATTGCGAAGAACAATCTATCAAACAACGTCCGAATATCAACGCTTCCGACAAGTGTTAGTGAATGCGGTTATGGCAACTGATATCATGGATAAAGCGATCGGGAAGACAAGGAAGGAACGGTGGGAAATGGCCTTTAGCAATGAGGCTCCAGCAGATCCTGTTTCGTTAATGAACCGAAGAGCCACTCTTGTGATTGAGCATCTTATCCAAGCATCTGATATTGCCCACACTATGCAACATTGGCATGTCTACAGAAAATGGAATGGTCGTCTCTTCGAAGAAATGTACAAGGTATGAACTGATAATTGTGCCATTGAATTGATGGAATTTCGTTGGAACTTATCGTGACATTTTCTTTTTTCAAAAGGCTTTCCAAAATAAGCGGGCTAACTCGAATCCAGCTCATAGCTGGTATGAAGGGGAGATCACCTTCTTTGATTTCTACATCATACCGCTGGCCAAGAAACTGAAAGAATGCGGGGTATTTGGGGTATCCAGTGACGAGCTTTTGAATTACGCGCAACAGAATAGACAAGAGTGGTCTCTGGATGGTAGGAAGGTTGTGACAAGTATGCTAAAGGCAATGAAATTGGAAACCGAGGGCCCAATCCGAGGCGTGTCGCGCTATTCAAGCAACGACACCTTGGGGAGTGCGTCGTTCCTATCACCTCCCAATAGTGGGGCCAAGCGTGGAAAAGCGGCAGCCATGAGGAATGCTCCTCTTCCAACGCTGATGTCACCACCGGATTCTGGATCCAAGCGTGGAAGCGGAGCATCCTCCAGGAGGAATGCCGATCATTCTCCCACACGAGCATCTAGTGGCATGTCATCGATGCGCGATCCCCGAGCATCCAGTGGAAAGTCAGAGGCCCGGGGTCGTCCAAGGGGAATCAGTGCCGGATCTTCGAATGACCTTTCAATGTCGTCTCTCCATTCGGCAAACTCGAAAATCAATTTACTTATAGAAAGTACCAGCAATATGAATTTGGAAGACGACGACGACGAATTTGAAGACCTGCAGTATGACAGTGACCTGACGGAGGACTCGTATGCTCGAAAGGGCAAAGATTTGAATCTACCCCCAGATTTGACTGTGCTGATTGTTGATGATGACAATCTTAATAGGCGGCTTTTCATACGCGCGGTCATGGCTCTTGCTCCGACATGGATTGTAAGCGAATCCGAATCCATCGACGAAGCCCTTGATATGCTTGACAAAAGTGTAGACGGGTTTGATATCATTTTTATGGACCTTCACGATGGATCGGATATCGGAAACCTCTCGGGATCGGAGGCTGTCAAAGTGTTGCGGGAGAAGGGGTCGAATAGCATGATCTTTGGGATGTCTGAAAGGGAAACAGAAGCTATCAACGACGACGCATTTGCCAACAAGCCTCTTCCTTTCGAACCAAACCCTCTTCTGAAAGAATTGAACAAAATCATGTTGCAGAGTGGTGAATTTTCTGATTTTTAAACTAACCTATTTCAACAAATATAACATTTATGGTGATGTATCTTCTTGGACACCGTTGATTACTACTGGATCTATGGACCACTTTTGATTGATCCGTACTCTGATGACGAGGATGGCAAAAAGGAGGTGGACTCCTCCTCTGGGTTTTGAATTCGTTTTGGTTGCTCCAACCGAACATTCAGAAAAGGAACGAGAAGCAGTAGAGCTAGAATTATGATCTGAAGCCAGTGAGCAGTGACCCAGCTTCCTTCACTGCAATTCACATCTTGTCCAGTGGTATAATCCTCAATTTTATGACAGTCTCCTTCAATCACCAAAGCCACTGGCGCGACCCCAAACTGTGTGAATCCAGAGATACAAAAGGATATCCCTGACAAGAATCCAAAAAATCGAAATCCCATTCGCCTGGACAGGGACGCGAAAAAGTAAGGGAACAGGAATGCTCGATATACTGCATATGCTGTAAAGCTGCCAATCATAACATGAGAACTGGACCCCGCCACCAATAGCCCGACTTGTTGTAGAATTCCCAAAGCAATAGTGACAACGGCCGTAGGAGCAAAGCCAACCGAGTCTAGCATGTATCCACTAAGTGGCGCTGCAATGATAGCACCGGCGTCTAGAAAACTAAGCCATCTGGTTAAAGTATGCTGCATCTCAGCATCAAAGATTCCTTGGTCTCCCAACTACATGAACAAAATAATATACTTTGAGCTCCCAGTTTTCGTGGATGTCGTCAGACCAGACTTTAGATTCATTGCAAACGCCATACTTGACTTACCTCGACCGTGACTGTCGCAATGTAAAAGTTCCCCCACCAGCTTGTCACAACAAAGAATATACATAGTCGCAAATATACTCCACTAGATAACTGATCAAAGAAGGATGCTTCTTTCAAATCCTTATCTGGATCATCGTCCCCTTTTTCCTTCTCCTCATTGGCATCATCGGACTTTGGAATTTCATAAGGAGCATCCGGCCATAGTAACAGTGAGCCAATTGTTGATAGAAATACCAGCACACCTAGACCAGCAAAGAGTATCCGAAAGCCATAGCCGTGCTCCCAAATGATGTCCATCACTGGAAAGATTGCAAACGACAAGGTGATGGACTCGGCCACAATTCCCATGACAAAGTATCTTCGTTCTGCGAATATGTTTCCAATATGAAGCAAACACTGTTGGACCGATGGCCCACCAAAGGCCACGCAGCATATACCAAGAGCAAAGGTTGAAAAGGAAGATGCTGACGAAAAGATGGCCAATCCAATCGAAACAATGGCATTTGACAGAACCGAACAGGCTCTAGGACCAAACTTGTCCAACACCAGTCCCAAGAAAAGTGGCGCCACATAATTGACAGCGGCAGCCAAGCCATATAGCTGAGTTGTTTGATCCAATGTAAGACCCGCTCCTCCGTTTTCAAGAGGTTCCACCAGCATAGATCCAGCAATTCCGGGCCAACCGATGATCAAACCAGCCGCCAAGGTGATCTGGACCATGGCAAAGATTACGAGTAGTACTCTCGCCACATAGGACTTTGGGGCTGGAGCAGATTTGTCTTCCGTCATTCTAGGTGTCAATTGATTGGGGGAGTATTAGCTTTTGAAGAGGCTCCTTCGTTCAGCTGCACCATATACTGAATGCCAGCAGGTTTTTTCGGAACTCTTGAGATGTGAGCATATCACATCTTCCGCAAAGAATTCGGGATGTTTTGATAATATACAGTATATGTGAGCTCCAATCTCTCCCCTTCTCGTTTTCTCCCAGAATTACTTTTGTATCGTTCGTGCGTCCCCCTGTCCTCCTCATTTACATTCTTAGAAATTCATTGCATATCGTCACTTTCAACTTTTACGATCGTTTATAGCACGGTAGGGATCCTCTGAAATGAAGATTCTTCCACTACTCGTTGCTTCGACACTGTTATTTTCACTTCTGGACATGTCATCTGCGTTGGCAAGGACTATCCTGATTACGGGTGCAACGGATGGTATCGGACAACACACAGCCAAGAAGTTGGCAGCTGATGGAAACATTCTGCTCGTTCATGGCCGACGACCCAATGTTGGCGCTGATCTGGTCCAGGATTTGAAGACGCGAGGAGCCAAAGAGGTCTACTATTTCAATGCTGATCTATCCGATTTGGATCAAGTGCATGTTTTGGCGAAGGAAGTATCTGAGACTACCGAAGCCATTGATGTCCTGATCAACAATGCAGGTGTCTTTGATCCCACTCCAGCCCACAGCGTCCAAGGATATGATATGACTTGGGCAGTCAATGTCATGACACCATTTCTACTGACTCGTAAACTTCTACCACTGGTTGCCAATTCAAAAGACGACTGCCCGCGCATTATCACCACCTCTTCCATCAGTCAATCCTCGTCCTTACCCCCATTGGAGGAACTCTTTGAGACAAATGAAATTGCCAAGAGTGGACATAGAGCCTACAGTGATAGCAAACTCGGTGATTTGATGTTTACCGTCCAATTAGCCAAGATTCTGATGAAGAGTGCTGATGAAAAGTATCAAAAGATCAAGTGCTTGACCATGGATCCAGGAACGGTCAACACCAAAATGCTGCTTGCGGGATGGGGGGCATGCGGGTAAGTGTCTGATAGATATGATTGCTGCTTTCACACAGAAAGCGCTGCTTCCAAATGGAGTGCAAAAAATCATTGTCTGCTGTCTAACACTTCCATTAATATTTATAACATAGAATCGATGTGCGGGATGCCAACAACACCTACAAACTAGCAACTGAGTATGGTGCTAAACAAGAGTCTGGAACATACCACTTTGGGGGGAGAGGGTCGAGTGATGCTAAATCTGACGACAAGTTGAATTCATTGTGGAAAGCATTAGAGACCCATACTGGATGTACATATGATGACATATGAATGCAATAGTAACAAGAAGTCTTCAGATATTCCCAGGAATATCTTTCTTTATCAGGTTGGAACCTTTACTTTCAAAGAGCCTCGTCTTTTAGCAAAAACGGCCGACCATGGATGGATGAATGGATCAATGAATGGAAATTTTCCACCGACAGACTGATCAACACAATAAGGAGGAAAGGATTGATCCAGACGATCAAGCAAGATTCTTTGATGGTCTAACTTGCTTCACCAAGCATCTACTTTCTCGTGACATGAAATATAAAATATTAATTGTTATTGCATCACACTTTAACCATCTTTTGCTACCTTTTGCGGTGTACGCCGTACGCATGAAAGAGTGCTTTAAGATCCACGTTGCTAACCATGGCACGTCATCTGGATGAGAACTAAAAATTTCGAAGTCGAACCACTTTTTGCAACGATGACCCACCCATTTCTCATATTTCTCCGGACCCAAAATCAAGCCAAAATATCATTTCCCCGCGAGCGGTAATATGATGACACAAAGCATCATGATCACGAAGCCAGGCTGGAACGATAGGCTCCAACAGCTGATTGCCTACTATGAAGAGTATGGCGATTGCTTAGTTCCGATCGACTATGAAGAAGAGAAAGGACTTGGAAAGTGGGTTGAAACTCAACGTCGTGAGCGCCGAAAACAAGTGCAAGGCAAACCATCAATCCTCAACACCACCCGTATCGCCGAATTGGAAAGTCTGAACTTCAATTGGGATCTGGAAGAGATGGAGAGAGATGAAGAATCTAGTTGGGGGAGTGCATTGTCGGAAGATGAACTTCCACGGGAAGGCTTGCTTGGAGGGGAAGACTATGAGGTTCTCTGGAATACCAAATTTGGCGAACTGAAGAAGCTCATGAAGGCAGATCATCCTTCAGGTGGCTTTGTGCTCACAAATGATTGCAGCCCTTCACTAGGGGGCTGGATCTTGCAACAGCGCCACCAATACAGAATGAGACAATCTGGATTGGAAAGTCGTCTCACCGAAGAGAAAATTCAGAAACTTGAAGGAATCGGCTTTGAATTTGAAAACAATCATCTGTCAGACGGCGAAGGGGATGAATCAGACGGTGAAGGGGAAGAAACAAGTGATGATGAATACGAATCACAATCAATGGAGGTTGAAGAAGAGTCTGATTTGGACAAGGAGGAAGAAAGTAATCCAATATGGGAAAACAGATTCAGCATGCTGGAGAGTCACATGAAAAAGTATTATCCGAAATCTCGTTTTCCCAATGGTGCCTATGTCGCCCCAAGTAAGTGTAGAAGGCTACTATCCAGCTGGGTTATGAACCAGAGGTATCACTATCGCTTGAAACAGACAGGAAGGGAGCGCACCAAGAAGCAACGACTTTCCAACGCCCAGATTCAAAAGCTTGAGAGCATCGGCTTTTTGTGGGAGGAAGAATCTGAATCCGAAGAAGGGGAAGAAGGAACGGCAGCGTGGGAAAACAAGTTCAACATGCTAGAGAAGCATATGAAAAGGCATTATCCAGAATCTCGCTTTCCAAATGGCGCCTATGTCGCTCCAAGCTCATGCAAAAAGCAACTAGCCGGGTGGGTTTCGAATCAAAGGTATTTCTATCGTTTGAAACAGAGGGGAGTGAAGGTAACCAAGAAACAGCAACTTTCCGACGCCCAGATTCGTAAGCTCGAGAGTATTGGCTTTCTTTGGGAGGTTGAAGAAGATTCTGACTCGGACAAACTGAAACCATTGTGGGAATACAAATTCAACATGCTGGAGAAGCACATGAAGAGGCATTATCCAGAGTCTCGCTTTCCAAATGGTGCTTACGTCGCCGCAAGCAAGTGTAAAAAGTCTCTAGGCTGCTGGGTACAAAGTCAGAGGTATCGCTATCGTTTGAGACAGACGGGGAGGAAGCTTAACAAGAACCAGACACTTTCCGATGTCCAGATTAGAAAGCTCGAGAGCATCGGCTTTTTATGGGAGGATAACGACGAGGTTGACGAAGATTCTGAATTGGACGACGAGGAAAAGCTCAACCCAGCTTGGGAAAGCAAGTTCAAAATGCTGGAGAAGCACATGAAAAAGCAGTATCCGGAGTCTCGCTTTCCAAATGGTGCTTATGTCGCTCCAAGCACGTGCAGCAACAAGCCACTAGCTCGCTGGGTACTGACTCAGAGGTATCACTATCGTTTGAAACAGGCGGGAAGGAATCTGGGCAAGAAACAGATACTTTCTGATGCCCAGATTCGAAGTCTCGAAAGTATCGGCTTTTTATGGGAGGATCATGATGCGTGGAAGCCGAACGCTGAGTTTGGATCTGAAGCAGAGTCTAGCTCTGCGGCTGAAGAATCGAATGACGAGGTCGAATCTGAATCCGAAGGAGACTCTAGCTCCGAGGCCGAAGATTCGAAAGACGAGTCCAGCTCCGAGTCTGAATCATCGGAAGATGATGATGAAGAGGATGATGCTGAGTCCGAAAAGGCGGGAAGGAGCACTTCCCGATGGGATGTCAAATTCAACATGCTAAAGGAACACATGGAAAAGAATTATCCGAAATCTCAATATCCAAATGGTGCCTATATCGCTCAAAGCAAGTGCAACAAGCAACTATCCTGTTGGGTTAGAAGCCAGAGGTATTACTATCGTTTGAGGCAAAATACAGGAAAGTTGGATATCAAATCGCTTCGCGACGACCGGGTTCGAAAGCTCGAGAGTATTGGCTTTTTGTGGGAGGATAACGATGATTGGAGGCCCGAGCCAGAGTCTGAAGGCTGGAATCCTCCAGAGTCTGAGTCGGAATCAGAACCAGAAACTGAAGTGAGACCCAAGCCAGACCTGAACCAGGATAAATGGGACTTTAATTTTGATAGGCTGCAGAAGGTGATGAGTCGCCACTATCCGAATGGTGGTTACGTTGTGAAAAAAGCTTGTGGCGGGAGGAGGCTTTTCACTTGGTGTGGCAGGCAGAGATATCAATATCGTCGGAAACAAGCTGGATACGAAACCCCAATGACCGATGATCGTGTTGCAAAGTTGGAGAGCATCGGATTCTTTTGGGAAGAAGGTCAGCAACCCAACCGTACCAACAGAAACATGATGAACCCTCAAAGAGAACAAAAGGATCATGTGTCATCCCCTCAAGTCCAAAAGAAAGCAAACGGCGACCGCTATTGGGAGGTATGGTACGGTCAATACAAACGTCTTGTTCAACATATGCGGAGGAACTATCCAGCTTCGAAATATCCCAATGGAGCCTATGTGACCGCCGCTAAATGTGAAAAACGATTGGGCACTTGGGTATTACATCAGCGCTCGCAACATCGTTCGAAAATTGCTGGCCAAGTATGCCAACTTACGGATGCACGCATTGAACATTTGGAACGTATTGGCTTCCTCTGGGAGAAGGAGGAGACCGATGGAACGCCGAGATCACAGCCAAACAGCCGTCGTGTTGCTCAAGAGCCGGAAATCTCTGACAGTGACGGAGAGGAGGTGTCGGAAGATGAAAGTAGTTCGGAAAGTCCCGAGGAGGAGTCGGAGGAGGATCGGCCTGAACCATCGCGCCGCAAGTCGGGACAGCAACGAAAACTGGCACACAGGAGCATGGGTGACACGGGGAATAAGGGTGGTACTCCGCTTCCTGGTAGAGTCAGTGATTTGCTAGGACTAAC